TGGAGCAACCAAAAACATATAGTAATTTTGATAAAGTAAACAAACACTAAAATAAGGTGTGGCAAAATGAAACAGTAAACCTTCATCCCAAGTTAAAACTATGTCTGATTTCTTTGTAATATAAGGTATCCTTAAAAAAATTCATATTATACTGATTATCATTTTCTACACAATTTCTATACAAAAATTCTTATATCGTTGAATTACGTGCACTGATCCGCAACAATTAGATGAATGTGATAGCAATCTTTATTAAAAACTATATATAAATGTTCTTAAAAAGGGGCTTGCTATTTGCCGCCAAACAAATTGCTATTTGCCGCCAACTAAAAAAAAAAAAAAAAAAAAAAGAAGAAGAAAGTATATATGTACATCTTTGGTTAAGTTTTTTCACAACCTACAACATTTTCAAGTTTCAGAAAACGTATTGAATCAGAAAAAATCGACGCTCGCCGGAAAAGTCGCCGGAAAACCATCGGGAAAGCCCATCCTCGACGTAAACTGCGGTCACGCATCCATGAATCATCACTAAGCAGGTGCGTCAACTTTTTTTTAGTTTCGAACAATTTTTCCGACGATTTTTAACGAACAGAGGGTGGGCCGAAATTTTCCGGCGGCCGGAACCTGGCCGGGCCGAAAATTTTCGGCGGCCGGAACCTGGCCGGGCCGACGGAAAAAGGTGGCCGGAGCCTGGCCGAGCCGAAAAATATTTTCGGCCCGGCCAGGCTCCGGCCACCTTTTTCCTTCGGCCCGGCCAGGTTCCGGCCGCCGAAAATTTTCGGCCCGGCCAGGTTCCGGCCGCCGGAAGTTTTCGGCCCGGCCAGGTTCCGGCCGCCGGAAAATTTCGGCCCACCCTGTTCGTTGCAAATCGTCGGAAAAATTCGATTTTAGGAGTTGAATTTAGATTTTAGGAGTTGAATTTAGAGTTTAGGAGTTGAATGGAGTTGAATTTAGAGTTTAGGAGTTGAATTTAGCGTTTAGGAGTTGAATTTAGCGGTTAAGAGTTGAAATTAGCGTTTAGGTTCACAAGAATATTGATGTGTTATATTGTAATTGTAGGAAAAATGTCAGAGTGGTTACCGGCCGATCATGATTACACAGCAGAATTTGAGAATGGGATCCATTATGCAAGTGTGGAGTTAGCTGAGTTAGCTGCAATAGCAATCGCTCAGGAGAACGGGTTCTTTATTGTTAGAGGAGCATGGAAACCGAATACTTCTGGACTTACTGCCCTCTGTATGTATTGCGACAGAAGCAGTAGGATCGTTAAATCTTATAAACCAGACCCTACGAAGGAGACGCGTGGGAATACTAGTTCGAAGGGTACTGGTTGCCAGTTTCAGATATGTATTAAGGAAGTATGGCAAAAGGATCGTCCAAACACATGGGTCCTAGTGGGAGTGACAAGTCGTGCAACCGGAGCTAATAGAGGGTTTCACAACCATGAAAAGGTGTTGTATCCAGAACATCACCGACACAACAAACAGTTTAGTGAGGCTGAAAAAGAGAGGTTAAGATTAATGAGGAAGGCGGGGGTGAGACCAAATCAGCAGAAGACGACACTCAATACTGAAGGGGGTGTGAGTCATGATATCAAACAGATGTACAACAGAAATTACAAGAACAGATTGGATGAGATGGGTGAAATGGATGTGATACAGTTTGCGCTTCATGGAGCTGAACAACGTGGGTACCATATCTGTTTGCAAAAGGACTCTAATAATGTGCTCACTAATCTGTTTTTTGCGCAACCGACGTCCATTCAGATGTTGCATGCATGGCCGTACGTCATCATCATTGACTCGACCTACAAGACGAATAGGTATGGCTGGCCATGGGTTGAGATTATTGGGGTTACTCCAGTCAAGAAGAATTTCAACATTGCATGTGCACTTATTAAGCAGGAAACAAAGGAAACATATGAGTGGGTGCTGCGATGTATTAAAGGGTTGCTCGGTGATACGGTTCCGAATGTCATTGTGACAGACAAAGAAGGTGGTCTGCTTGCTTCTATGCCCCTGGTCTTCCCTCTCCCACATACTGTCCACCTACTATGTTTATGGCACGTCAACAACTGTGTGAAGCAAAAGTTTGAGCAATTACTGGGTGGAATTTCAAGAAGAGAGGTAGCAGAAGCGGTATGGAAGAAATATTTCGACAAAGCTGCATGGAGTTGGACTCAGGAGGGTTTTCTCGATGCAGCACCCTGGTTCCCCCCATGGGAACCAGACGCCCGTGATGACGAACGAGCAACTATAGTAGGAGCCTCTGACTGATGTCCAATATCTCGAGTGCGCTTCTTCTCCTTATTCTTCTGAGGCACCTTCCTTCGTGTTGATGCATCAACAACCCTACCATTGAATCTACCCAACTCACTCCCACCCGCATCATCCATATCTAATTATCTACAAATTTACACAATATCATACTTAGATGCGCACTAATTAATTAAATTTCGATTAACTAATTAATTGTTAATTAATCACTAATTAATCAATATCATACATAGATGCGCACTAATTAATTAAATTTCTATTAACTAATGTACTATTAACATTAATTGTTAATTAATCACTAATTAGGGGCACACTAATTAACTGCAAGTCTATTAACTAATGTACTATTAACATTAATTGTTAAACCAATTCTTAATTATTTAATTTTCTATTAACTAATCTAAGTAATTAAAAAAACATTTAATTAAGTAGTTAATCGAAATTAACTAATTAAGTAACTTTTATTGACTAATTAATTAACATATTAAATTAAATTAAATTAAAAAAATATGCCGGGCCGAAAAAAAATAGCGACCGGCGCGCCGCCGGGCCGAAAAAAAATTGCGGCCGGCGCGTCGCCGGGCCGAAAAGATTCTGCGGCCGGGACGTGGCCGGGCCGAAATATTTTTGCGGCCGGGACGTGGCCGGGCCGAAACATTTTTTTGGCCGGCGCGACGCTCAGCCGAAAAAATATTTCGGCCCGGCCACGTCCCGGCCGCAAATTTTTTTCGGCCGGTCGCCGAACGCGCCGCCGGAAAACTTTTCGGCGGCGCTTTCGGCGACCGGCCGAAAAAAGTTTGCGGCCGGAACGTCGCCGGGCCGAAAGAATTTTTCGGCTGGGCGTCGCGCCGGCCGAAATTTTTTTTCGGCCCGGCCACGTTCCGGCCGCCAAATTCTTTCGGTCCACCGTGTTTTTCGCCGGAAAACTGGAAAAATCGCCGGAAAAACAGAAAAAATTGTCGGAAAAAGTAAACTTACTTGTTTCCGACGATTGATGACGACGGGAAGTTGGCCGGCGACGGAGGAACTGTGCCGGCGACGGAGGCACTGGGCTCGTCGACAAAAGTGTTTTGTTGGAATGAGGTAATGTTATGTGGTATTCAAATTTATAGGAAGGGAAGGAAGGGGAGAATTCAAAATTTGAATTCAAATTTTTTTTTTTTTTTTTTTTTTTGGTTGGCGGCAAATAGCAATTTGGTTGGCGGCAAATAGCCGTTCACCTTAAAAAACCCCGTTAAAGTCCACAATGAAATTAGAAATTAGATATTCAAGTGTAAACGTACAAGTAAATGCTAAATAGTCGTAAATTAATACGAACAACTAGGAAAGGCAAAAATCAGCTAGCTGTTAAATATATTTACTACCAGGTTTTGAACTCATATTTGTTCTGTTTCCCTAAAATAACTCATATTTGTTTTGATTATATCTAAGGCTGTTCCGATCACAAATTATGTTCCAGGGTGTATTTTAGTAGTCAAATGAATATGTAACGAAACTTAGCTGTTTGTGGCCTACATTTTCCACATGCCCATATCCTATTTTTGACTATTTGTGTTGTGACATTTGTTGGCTTTAAAATTCATACTTAATAGTATAAATAATAGTATAAAGTGGAGTAGCTAGCGATGGAGATGCTCGGTTGCTTTTGACAGGAAAATTATTTCTCTCGATCTCGTTAAATAAAGTTGCTATGAATGGAATTTGGTCAAACTATAGACATGTTTAAATAATAATAATATCCTACCAAAAAAAATAATAATAATAATATACACACACCAACTTCTGTCCCACTGATGATCTTAAATATTACTCATAAATGGTATAGTTTTTTATGGATTAAATGAGTAATTTCTAAGAAAGCTGAAAAGGGGAAGTTTGAGAGTTTCAAGATACTGATTACTTGTAAGATAGAACAGATTTATCAAGGAAATCAACTATATTATACACATGCCTTTACAATAAATTTGACAATTGATTTATTAATTTATTATTCGAATTGGCAGTCAAATTATTCCACTATATGTTTCTTGAAGATGCCTTGAAAAATAGTTTGTGTATGTTAGATAGATGCATAAACAAAGGTTGATTATCTTATTTTCTATCACATAAATAATTAATAATATAATGGTTGCATCAAACCATAACGCATGTGTTCCTTCTTCAAGTTGATTTTGTTCCGACCATGACGAGCAATGTAACTAATCAAGAAAATTAAAAAATGCGAGACGAAAAAATCTCATTTGTCACCGAACAATGGATGACAATAAAAAAAGTACTCAAATTTAAAGAATTTTTTAGTTTAATCATACGATGATAACATTGTAATCTGATAGAATAAAACCGAGTTATAACATACAACATGTTGTTTCTCTATTTTTTTAGTTCAATTTTACAACCTAGAGTCAGTGTTACATGGTGTATAAAGTGTATCTGTTTTAAAAAATAGTGCTCGCAATTTGAAGATGAAAAGGGAATGCACAAAAGGGAAGAAAAAGCACTACGATGAAACTAAAGTAAACTTCCTCGAAATCTTGGTTAATTGCTTAACAAGGATTAGATCGTCATTTCTGCAAACGTTCATCGTCGTCAATTCACTCGTTACACAAGAAATTACAAAACCATACACGCAGGGAGAGTGGAAAAACAAGGAAGAGAATTAAACGACAAAGAAATTAATGGTCTAATTAATTAATTAACATATAAACATAACCAACTGATTCATTATTATCTGGCGTAGCAAGTACTGGTGGCGCTCCGCTGGAGGATCCGGGAAGGATCCGCGAACCGGGCCGAGAAAGACCGGGGCAGGTTATCGGGCTCGGCCCAACCCGTCCCCTGATCGAAGTTCATGCTGTACTCCTCCGGTTCGTACGCCGAATGCAGCGTCGCAACCGTCGCCGTCGAAGTACACGTGGCCGCTCGGAAAATGCTCCGCTTCCTCCTGTTGATCTTTCTCCACAGCGCTTGCCAGATGTTCCCGCCCCGGCCGGCCGGTCTTCTGGAGTAACCGCCGTCTGCGGGGGAGGAGGAGGATTGGTGGTGGTGAACGGATTTGGATCGGCCGAGGTAGATGGTGGTGCTGGACGCCTTGACGGAGGAGCTGCGGTGCAGCCACGTGGAGGCCGGCGACTTGATCATCCCCATGGCCGCGGCGGCGGTTACGGGAGGGGGAGAATTAGAGAGATTTCGAGGGAATTTCGATCGGGGGAAAGTTTTTAATTAATGATTTTTGGATAACGAGTTGAGGATTTCGGCTTTCTGCGCGTCATTTATATATACGGTTACGAAAGTAGTGGGCAAAGGTGATTACTAATTAGTTTAGGAAAGGGAATGACTCGGCGCTGGCAAAGGCTGACCGAACCTTGATCGGCTCGGCTAGCCGGCCCTTGGCCATTTGAACAATTACGGTCTTTTTTTATTTGATAAACAGCATATTGGATTTGGAATGTTGCTTTCGGTAAATCTTTCGTTACTATGATTCCTTCTCCGAGGAGTTTACATATTAAAATCCTATGAATTGGAAGGATTTGACTAATTAGGTTGGTGAAAGGGAAACGACTCGTTGTTCGTTTTCGTGTTTTGATTTTAAGAGTACCGGCGGCCGTCAGGATGGGAATATACATATATATGATGCGATGTATTTTTTTTTTTTTGACAAAAGATATATTATATTAATAAGAAAAGGATAGTTACACCCTGGAGATCAGCCAGGCCTGAAAATCAAAGTTACGATCCATGGTCGGGTACACAGAGAGGGCTTTCCTAGCCACCAAATGGGCTACCCTATTACTACGCCGACCTACAAATCGAACCGCCAACCCAGGATGAGAGCGAAAATACATTAAGACCTCTTCCAACACAGCACCCACCCGATTGTCTCTGGTCTCTCCTTGGTGAAGTTTATCAATGACTACCTTTGCATCTCCCTCGAATACGACATTAGTGAAGCCATTCGCCAGGCACCAAGAGACCGCCTCTCGAAGGACCAAAAGCTCAACCGTCATCGGATCTCCCACATTAGGAACGTGGATCCCCTTGACAAAAATTATCTCCCGAGCAGGGGAGAGCAGGACCATCCCACCGGCCGAATGTGAACCCGGCCTAACCGCCCCATCCCACATGCAAACGGCCCTCCCCGCTACCTCAATCCCCACGTCCTCTTCCACCGTCCCCAACGACCGGGACACCTCATCTCTCGGCAATCGAACCCACTCCTCGTATTGCTGGTTAAACTGACGCATAAGGGCCGGGAAACCAAACTGTTTACCCTCAAAAACCACCCAGTTTCGTGAACGCCAAATCCTCCACAAGATGGCCACCACCGCCATGAACAACTGGGGCTGGTCAATCAAGCCCATCACCTTTTTAAGGAATAGCGGAAAAGTGTGCCTGGGTAAACCCTCCCCTACATAATCCAGTCCAGACAATTCCCATAAAGCTCGCGCCACCGGGCAATCAAGAAACAAATGTTCCATCGTTTCCGATTCATCCCAGCAAACCGGACACCTAGGGAGCACCGGAACATCCCGGGTAATGAGGCCCTCAGTAGTAGGCAAGATTCGATTAAGAATCTGCCAGACAAAGACCTTCAGCTTAGGGGGAATCTTAGCCGCCCATACCCGGACCCAGCTTGCTTTATCCATCCAGCTGACCGTAGCCTTCCTCCCCTCACACCGCTTATCCACATTAACGGCGAGATGGTACGCCGATTTCACCGAGAACACCCCATCCGATGTTCCATCCCAAATTAATTTATCCTCCATATCACGACGGGGCAGAGGAATTTCCTTAATGGCCCGACAAGTGGGTGGATCGAACCATTGCCTGAGTTTGTGATCATCCCAACGACCCTCATTTGGGCACATAACAGTCGCCACCGGCGGGTCACCACCTTCCGGAATGATCACAGGATTAAAGACCGGTGGGTCAAGTTGGCGCTGGGGGATCCAATTGGAGTTTAGCAGCGATGCCGATTTGCCATTACCAATTTGCCACCTCAGACCCTTCTCTAGCAACTGCCTCCCAAACAGGATTCCTTGCCAGCCCCAGGAAGGCCGAGAGCGGGCCGAAGCTTGTAGGAATGACCCTTTTGGGAAATACTTCCCTTTATAGACCTGGGCCAGCAGGGAATGGGGCTCAGTCAGGATGCGCCATCCAACCTTCGCTAACAGCGCCTGATTAAATTGTTCGAACCGCCGAAAGCCCATCCCTCCCTCATGTTTACTCCTGCACATGTTCCGCCACGAAATCCATCGAATCTTAGGGTGGCCTTCAACATCCCCCCACCAGAACCTTGCCACATACTTGTCCAGCAGACGACATAAGGAAGCAGGAAGCTTAAAACAAGACATAGCATGCAGAGGCAGAGCCATTGCTATCGATTTTATTAGGGTCTCTTTCGCCGCCCAAGACAGCGTCCTTTGCTTCCAGCCCTGGAGGCGCTCGAGCAGCTTATCCTCCAGGAACCGGAAGGTAGCCGTTTTTGACTGAGCAACCAGGGTAGGGAGGCCCAGATACTTATCCTGGACCCCAACTGCCCCCACCCCCAGCACTGCCGCAAGGAACTCCTGATCCTCTTGCACAATATTCTTGCTGAAGCAAACCGCAGACTTTGCCAGGTTTATCTTCTGTCCACTTAGTTCCTCATACTCATTGAGGACCACCAGCAGATTCTCGCATTCCTGGAGGGTTCCACGCAAAAATAAGTACGAATCATCCGCATAAAACAAATGCGAGATCCTAGGGGCCCGAGGGGCCACTTTCACTCCCTCCAACTTTTTATCCGCAATAGCCTTCCGTAAGAGCGCCGCAAACCCTTCAGTGCACAACACAAAGAGAAGCGGGGAGAGCGGATCTCCTTGCCGTAAACCCCTCGTCGGGGAAAAATATCCCGCTGGAGTCCCATTCATGAGCACCGAGAACGAGGCCGATCGGAGGCACTCATAGATCCAATCCCTCCAGACACTGCTAAAGCCCATCTTGTCCAGGACAGCGAGGAGAAAAGGCCATTCAACCCTATCATAGGCTTTTTCCATGTCCACCTTCAAGGCCATGAACCCTTTTTTGCCTCGCGTCTTAATCTTCAAGTAGTGCATTAATTCGTGTCCTATCAGGATATTATCCACAATTTGTCTCTCCCGAATAAAGGCGTTCTGGCCATCAGACACTATCTCAGGGAGGATACAAGCCAGCCTTTCCGCCATGATCTTGGTAATGACTTTATAGACAAACTGGCATAGACTGATTGGCCGAAGTTGTTTCATGGTCTCCACATTCTCAACTTTTGGGATCAACGTAAGCCAGGTGTGATTGAAACTGCGTAGCATCCTGCTTGTAGTAAAGAAGGAGCAGACTGCATCAACAACCGACGTGCCCACAATATCCCAAAAGGCCTTAAAAAACTTCCCCGTGAATCCGTCCGAACCCGGGGCCCGCTTCGATCCCATTGAAAACACCATTCGCCGCACTTCCTCAGGGAGCACCTCCGCTGTCAGGGATGTATTCATCTCAGGAGTAACACTTCTGGCAATGGGGAGAGCTGCTACTCTCTCAGCCATGTTCTCCACTTGATTCTCTGACGTAAAGAGATGCTGATAAAAGGATGTCGCCACCCTAGCCTTACCAGGCTCATCCGTGACCCAATCCCCCTCCTCCGTCCGGAGCCCTCCCACAAAATTTTTCTTTCGTCTAGTCCTGGTCACTGTATGAAAATAGGACGTGTTCTGATCACCTTTCTTCAACCAGGTAACTCTGGATTTTTGCTGCCAGTACAGCTCTTCCGCCTCCCATTGTCGGCTTAACTCCCCTTCCAAAACCCGGACCGTCTCCCAATCAATCGGATGGGACTCCTTTATCCTCCCAATCTCACCCTGCAGGGTATTAATGTTCCTTAAAGAATTGGTAGTCCCCGCCCTACTCCAATCATATAACAGGTGGCGTAGCCTCTTAAGCCGCTCCCACAGGCAGAACATCGGGGATCCCCTAATCTCATCACGCCAAACATAAGTAACCATAGCCCTAACCTCCGGGTTATCTGCCCAGCGGGCATCAAACCGGAATAGAGGCCGACAATTCCTTGCATAGGCTTTATCAGAAAGGAGAATGGCCCGATGATCCGACCCTTGATCTGTGAAATGTTTGACCAAGGTTTCCGGGCATCGCTCCATCCACAACTGGGAGCAGAGGCTTCTATCCAGACGTTCCCGAATACAAGCCGCTCCCATCCTCTTATTAGTCCAGGTGAACTGATCCCCAAGGAACCCTGGATCGTGGAGCCCCAGATCGTGGATAAATTCACGGAGGCTAAGAGCCTGATTAGCATTCCAGGGATTCCCGCCATCCTTCTCACTTTCAATAAGAGTTGTATTAAAATCACCCATTACCACAAAGGGTAGGTGGAATGAGGAGCAAAGCTCCTGGAGTTGAGCCAGCTGGGCGGATCTGATCGCATTATTACAACTAATATAGACAGTAACCACAATATAGGAAAAATCATCTTCATTGATTCTAGTGCAAATACAAAAGTTCGAATGATAAAACACCGATGCGTCAACCCCTGGGGACCAGGCTACAACCAACCCACCCGCAGCATCGACAGCATCAACAAAATAACAATTAGAAAGAACAAAGCCCAACCCCCTCATACGACGGGAGACAACACGCCGGCTCGACCGTGTCTCTGAGAAGAACACGAGATCCGGTTTATTCGAGCGAACCAAGCTTAGAGCCGTTTGGAATGTGAGGGATGGTCCAATTCCCCTCACATTCCAGGCCAAGAGCCTCATTTATCTGATTGGGGCCACTCGAGGCTGGCTTCCTCCACCTTGTCTATGGTCTCATCATCTTCAACAAATTGTTTCTTTGGCGAGGGCATCTCACCCACATCACCATCAACCACCTCCAAAGGGCGCTTGCGTACCCCGATCACTGGGTTCAATAAATTGGTCCCATACTCATCCAGGTCTGGGCCATCTCCCTGTATCACCACTTGGTCCGGCGGAGTCAGATGAGCTCCTCCCGCTTGTTCCAGCGAACATTGCTGAGTCTCAGTGTTGCTGGGGAGTCCCGCCTCAAAAGCAGCTACGACTCGGCTAACCCGCCCTTTGGTTTGACCAGCCGGGGGCGTCGGACCAGAGGCGGGCGCTCTCCTCTTGATTTCAAAGCCGCCTGCGTCCTCCTCCGAATCAGAATTGTCTGACACAAGAGCCCTGATAATTTCTTCACTAGGCGCCGCACAGGCTTCCCGGCCCGCCGCCTCAACCTCATCCAGCGGCTTTGACAGATTAAGCCCACCCGATTTACACTGTTTCGGGCCTCCCTTACTTGGACCCGCTCGGCCCTCTGATTTCTTGGTCAGGCGAGCCTTATTCCGCCTAGTGGGCCGCTGAGAAGGAATTGTCCACAACTGTGGACTTCAATGCATTTGTTCTTCTTAATAATTATTCTGTAAATGATTTTTTTTTTTTTTTGTTTTTTATACGGAAATCTGTGGAATGTTATTAGGGGTCGTTTGCTTGTTGGATTTGGGTTATGGATTTGGTATCCAAATCCTAAGTTTGATGGATTTAACATAAGTCCATTGTTTGTTGAATGATGCTAAATCCGTGGGGTCCACGGATTTGGTCTTTATTTTGGAACCAAATCCGTGGACCCCACGGACTTGTAAATCCCACATATTGATTTGGGATTTGCAAATCATTGATGGTTAGTTATTTATTTAACAAATCCATCACAAATCTATCATGCAAACATTAGACTTTTCAAATCTATAATCCAATAAATCCAACATAAATCCCAAGGTTTTTGTTGGCCAAAACCCTCATTTTTCAAATCCAACAAGCAAACGAAAATCCGCTGATGAGGTTACATTGTCCAGCAATAGCTGGTCAACAAGATATATCGGTGGGCTCGTTCCAGTGAGATCTAGAATGAGCCATTATATAAGCAGCCATATTCCATCCTATTTTGTTTTTCTTTTCCGAGTGTTTATCACGTTTTCCTTAAATTAGTGTTAATTATTAAGTTTTACTTGGAGTTTAGACCATGTCATCATAACTTAGAAAATAGTTATGATTTATAATTAGTCTCTTACTTACCGACACTCCATTTCAAGTGATTGGATTCATAGAGGCTCACCATCCATTTCCAGTCTAACAGAGCATAATCCAGAAAAAATTGCCTTATCAATATTTCATAGAAACAATTCAGAGAAGCTTACTAGCTGCTGGCTTCTTAAGATATGGCGAAATGAAGCTGCTAGCTTGAAGGAGCCTAAAGAAGAAGAAGAAACGTAGTAGCTAGCACATGCCACCGATCCTTTTACCCTAACCAATTGCATTATTGTAATGCTCTCCGTTATGTTGTTTTTTTAATGTAAGAGTGCAGAAAAAGACCGCCGAAAGGTCCAAATATGAACGCCGGACTGTTCGATCTTCTGCAGTTCGTTTCGCAACTCCCCATATGATACCATCATCGTTCTCAGATCCACCAAACGTACCATAATCTTCTTTTTCCATCCTAACATATTCTAATAAAGGGGTTCGGTTTGATGAGAAATTTTACAATGCTATATAGTATTGGTGTTATAGGTTTTTGTCTTTATGGTACAATTTAAAATTGTACATTTACGTTATGGTACAACTTTATATTGTACTTATATTTTTTGTACAAATTCTTTTATGGTACAAATTGAATTTGTACCTTTATGTGATGGTACAAGTTCAAGTTGTAAAGTTGTACCATAACATAATGGTACAAATTGTTTTATGGTACAACCTAAACTTATACATTTAGGCCTTGTTTGCTTAATTGATTTCATTATGGATTTGGTACATAAAAATCAACCATCATGGACTTTGTACACAATCCGTCGTTTGCTTGATGGATTTAGCAGGGGAGAATTCGTGGGGCCCACAATTTTTTAGGGTGCAAATTCCTGGACCCCATGGACTTAGAAATTCCATCTCAAGGGGTGGGATTTGTGTGAGTGTCTCAAGTCCATAATTGTTATTTACCATTTTATCCTCATTTTGTTTTGTTTCTAACAATAAATAAGATATAGTAAGGGTAGATAGGTAAATTCATAATGTAACCATAATTATAATGATGCAAAATCCATCATGAAATCTATCAAGCAAACAATGGTTTTATCCAAAAACCAAATTGACCAATTCCATCATAAATCCTTGGTTTTATAAAACCCAAATTTTAACCAAAATCTTCATTTATCAAATTCATGAAGCAAACGAGCCCTTAATGTTATGGTACAACTTTAAGTTGTACATAAAACCAATGATATATATCATAGTAAAAGTGCTCACCAATGATATATATCATAGTAAAAGTGCTCTGGTTTGAGCCCTACGATAAAGGTATTATGCTTCCGGCCCATTTTTCCGCCACTCGTTTTGGTCAAAGGCAAGGCCCACTGAAGCAGTGATATTGGGCCATGTTGATTAATGAATTAAAGTCTCGGACCATGACAAGCCCACTAAGAAGCTGCTGAAGACGTGGACAGTGGACTTCAGTTGAGCCCAGATTGAGCAATTGGGGGGAATGCCACACCAGGCAGCTCAACGCACGTGACAAGCACGCAGCAGGCTGACGCGCGCACTGACCAGTGACACACGACGAAGATTTTGTCCTCGTGGATTTCGGTCTGCCACTCTGCTCTCTGGTCTCTGCCTCCTGAGACCATGATTCATAACTGACTACACTAACATGCAGCCAGTCGCAAATGTTGACAATTTACTTGATCAAAGGGCTACCGCTACACATTGTTGACTAATGACTACTCATCCGTTTCGACTTCGACTATAAAACGGTTTTAAAATGTTGTTCGAGTTCAGGGTTTATGATGGCATTCACTGGCCATGCTGCTGCAAGCCAATGCAAATTTAGCACCATACTATCAAAGTTTTGTCATGAAAGAGATGTACGGAACAAGAATTCGGTATATCGATACGAACATAATTCAAAGGTATTCAACCTACAGATCTTAAGTTTAGAAGATTCCAAGGCTATGTGAAATGAAGTCAACTCATCCAATGGTTTGACATTATATATAGTCACAAAATGACTCACTGCCGCTGCTCACGACCAAAATCCCCTGCCGAGTTTCACAGGGCACCACTACATTGCAAACCTTTAAATTATGCAAAGCAAGCAGCGTATTTCCAAACTACACTTTCCATTGCCTTCCGGATCCCAAAACACTCCCTACTAATACTAACTGCTACACAAACACAGGACAGTTTCTAGTTCCTGTTCATAATTTACCTCTCTAAACACGCAATATAGCCCTTACACCGCGTCACGGCGCCCACCTCCACTGTTCTGCTGCCGGTGAACGATGGACCTCAGCCTCTCGTACGAATCATAACACGCATGAGAGTAGTCCGACATGGCACGAAACAGCTCGGGCAAACGGATCTTCAGACTCCCCAGCGACTTCTCCCTCACCTGAAGGCAATGCCTCTGGTGAGCTTCCACTTCCTCCTCCAGCCTCTTCTGCAGGGTCTCCACAGCAAACTGCCTCTCCGCCACCGGATCTCCGGTTCTGTCACCACCACCGTTTTCATCCTCCGAGGGCATCGGGGCCCTCTTCATCACATACTTCTGGTGCCAATCCTCGAAAGCCTGTCTCTTTCTTATGTACTCCTTGCGAGTTTCTTCGCATTTCTCCTTCAGCTTCATCTCTTCCTCCTGGTGGAGCTTGATGGTCCTGATCACGGCTGCGAACGACGAGATGGCGGATTTGGAGATCTCGTCGGGGAGCTTCTCGAGGTGGTCGTGCCACGCGTGGAGTAAGGGTTGGATGGGTGGGGTCTGGACTCGAGGTGGTGATGATATCTTCTCCTTCAAGCTGCTCTCTATGGGGATGAGGTTCAGCTTTAGCCAGCTGTTGAGACAGCTGATGTATTGCTTCTGATGTGTGACGAGATGATTGAATTGGTCGTGCCATTTCTCAATCACTTCGCATAACTGGGTGGTTTGTTCATGATGCTGCCTCGTTGTTTCTCGGATGGCGTGGGCTACATCAAGCGATTTGAGGTCTGTTACAATCTTCAGCTGGCTATCATGGTGGATTGTCATGCTTCCCCACATTTTCGACATCCTGTTGCAAATTGGTAGATCATAGTCAAAGGAATTGTAGATAGATTCTAGATCTAATCAAGGTACAGCCCTGTAAAAGCATAGATTGTATTCCAATTGTAAGGAATTCATTGATTTTGCTAAATAGGTTTTGCATGGAATCGGTCTACATTTCCTTGAATCACATTGACAACAGGCTCAACAGAATTGTTTAAAACGATATAAGGTATAGCATGAACTAACATCAATTAAGCATTTAGTACTTCATAAGAGTACCAAGAAACCAGATAAGAGAAAGCAAATGCGGGTTATTATTTTCTCTATGAGAGCTTACCCTTCGACGAGAGCAACAAGCTTAGGATACAACTGCTGATCACGTATATGATTAACTTCGGAGACGGTGGAGTCCATGGACTGCATGTCAACTATATATCTCGTGTGCAAATGACTCACAGCAGCTTTAGTCTTCTCCAAGGATTCAGCACTAGCACCGCGTTTCTTCTGCTTGTTGAGTAATGCCACCTTCCTTTTGTACTCAAGCTTCATCAGCTCACCTTGCTGCTCAATAAAAACCCAAACAAACAGAGATAAGTCTAGAAGCAAGCAAACGAACTAGTTAAAGGATGACCCAAAAGGAACCAAGCAATAACCAAAACACTTCACCTTGACTTCATCATAGAGTTTCTTTTCCCATGCCAACAACTTGTCCAGAACAGTGGCATGAGTTTCGTAATCGTCCGAATCAAATTCATCATTCCCTCCTTCTCCACCACCGCTTACACCTTTAAATGATCTATTCCAAGTAATGACACGCATAACCCTCGCCGAATGATCAATGTGCCCTGCAGTAAACAACAAAACACTCAAAACACCCATTGCATATGCAAAATTGCAGTCACTTTCTGCAGAAAAATGGGGAAGTATGTTGTTGGTAACATGATGCAAGAACTTTTCCTCCCTTTTAAAGGGGCAGCAAGCAAGCAAGAACGAAAGGTTCTTTTCCACGTAACAAAAAGTTGGCTCCTTTGGAAGAAAGTAAACAGTATTCTGCAGATTCCCCTAGACCCCATCAAAGAATTTGAAAGCTAGATACCAACTTTAAGGGAAGGGAAATGAGAGATTTCTGAGTTCCAGACCTCGATTGTCAGCGAAATTGGAATGGTAATGGAGTCGAGTAGCTTCGAGCATCTTGCAGACCTCCTGAGCACTCTCTGAAGCCCTAAGGAAATGATCATCGATCTGACCTAAAACATGCATCAAATCCACACTCCCTGCAGCAGCCTTCTTCCCAATTCTCATGAAATCCGGCGGGGCCGTTTGGGAATGCTCAATCTGCTTCCCTGCTGTAGTATCTCCTTCCTCTTCTTCCTCTTCCTCCGCCAGGTTGCCCTTCGCCTTCACCGGAGTTATCTCCGGCGTCTTGGGTTCATCGGCGTCGACCTTTCCCCCAAAATTACCATTCGCGTTCTGCCTCTCTGCCCGCCCATCGTCGTCCTCGTCTTCGGGTTCCAGGTTCGGACCGGGCATACTGTCCACCATGAAGAAGTAATCCCAAGCCATGCTCTTCGCCTCCGGCATCGGCGGCACCGGGTGATTTCCCAGCGGCGGCGGCGGTGGGGCATCTCCAGGTCCCACCGTCCCAGGGTGTGGGCCCCCAACTCTGGGCTCTCGCGAATCTCTGTTCTTATTACCTCTATTCCCGTTTCGAAGTCCGTGATCCAATTCCTCTTCCTCTTCTTCTTCCTCCTCTTCGTCCTCTTCAGCAATGGCGACGGAGTCCAAATCTCGCCGGCCCCTCCGCTTCAGGGGAATCGCGGGCATGCTGATTGCGCGCTTGATTGGAGGGCTAGGGCTAGGGGAGAAGCTCGGCAGCGGAGGCGGAGGCGGCGGGAGATTGTCAATCGGAGGAGGAGGCGGCGGCGGCGGCTGCTCCAACCCCACATCTAGCGGGGTCTGCTGCTGTAGATTGGCCGTCTGAGACGACGGGTCCGCTTCCCCGTGGGCATAGTCACTGAGAGCGGCGCCGGTGTTCTTCAGAGACATGGCGTAGCCGGATTGGGCGGCGGCGAAGGCGTTCCTCGCCGCCACCGCCTCCTTCATCAGGATTTTCCGCTCCTTGCATCTCGTCACCGATTCCTCGTTGTCCACCTTAGACTGGGCGCAACCCATTCCTTTTTATTTCAGCTGGGCACTCCAAAGAAACAAGCTTTCTTTTTTATAGAGCGTGAAGAAGGATAACAATGGCGCCAGAGGCAGAGAGAGTGAGAAATGGAGAAGAGAGAGAAGAGGGAGAAAGGAGTTTCTCCTTTTGGGGTTGATTGTTGAATGAGCAATCAATTTTCCAGAGAAACGGAGAAGAAGGGTGAAAAAGTGTGTTTGTGAGAGAGAGAGAGAGGGAAACGGCCAAAGCTCAGTGACCGAGTGTGAGACTGAGAGCAGAGTGTGCAGCAGAGGGAGCTGCAGACTGCAGAGTGTTGTTTCCTTCTCGCGCCACGCGCCCGTAGTACAGGGAATTGTAGTCTACGCGCTCAATTTGGAATACGAGGTGTCCGTGTCGTGCTTATTTATATTAACGGTCATTTTTTTTAATTTTCTATAGGCGTCAAACGCTGTCGTTTATGGGTTAAGATCTGGTGACTAAGGGGGGTCCCCTTAGTCACATGGCTAAGTGAATCTCCACCCTTGCACCTCATTAAAATCCAAGGGCTCCTATTAATCCAATTTAATGAAGGGCAATGTAGTAATTGCATGTTTATTTTTAATTTAATTATAAAAGAAATAAAATAAAAAACCCAGCGCCGGCCGGCCGTCTCCGTCGCGTCGCCTCCCGCCTCCGTTCCAATAATTGCGCGGCCGCCGACCAGGGAAATTACTGGGCAACTGGGCGCCATTTTTTGCATGGGGAATTTCCCCAGAGCCCATTGTGCCATTATTCCAGAGAGAGAGCTTTGAATTGCAATCTTGCAATTAACCACTAGAGAGAGAAGCTGGGGATTTTATTCCTTTGCTGTTTCCCCCAAATGCAACGAGAGAGAGAGAGAGAGAGAGAGAGAGAGAGAGAGAGAGAGAGAGAGAGAGAGAGAGAGAGAGAGAGAGAGAGAGAGAGAGAGAGAGAGAGAGAGAGAGAGAGAGAGAGAGAGAGAGAGAGAGAGAGAGAGAGAGCTTTTCCGGCGACGGCGGAGCAATTTTCCGGCGACCAGAGACGGTGGTGGATGGTTTTCCGACAACAGTATTTGAGTTCGTGATGTTTGTAATGTTTATATTACTATTTTGTATACATTGTAATGTTTGTAATGTTAGTAATGTTTGTTTGTCTAGTTTGTATACATTGTAATGTTTGTAATGTTAGTAATGTTTGTTTGTCTAGTTTGTATACTTTATGTTATGATTTATACACTTTCTATTCATTGATTTGTATTTGTAACTTTTGTTATTCAAGTTTGTATACTTTTATGTTATGATTTGTATACTTTGTATTCATTTGTTTGTAATACAAGTTTATCAATCTGTATTGTAAGTAGTGATATTCTGTACGTGTAGTATGCTTTGTACTGTTTGTAATGTTTGTTTGTAATGTTTGTAATGTTTGTTTGCAATGTTTGTAATGTTTGTTATTTTGTAATGTTTGTTGGTTTCTTTTGTACTGTTTGTAATGTTTGTTATTTTTGTCCACATTTTTGTCAACCATGTTTGTAATGTTTTTTGCATCACAAATCAATACATATAAAGTATACAAATTATTAGTACTTACAATACAAAGCGAAACATACTAAGAATACAAGCAAAACATACTAAGAATACAAACTGTCAAAGAAAAACATACTAAGAATACAAACTGTAAAAGAAAAACATACTAAGAATACAAACTGTCAAAGAAAAACATACTAAGAGTACAAACTGTCAAAGAAAAACATACTAAGAGTACAAACTGTCAAAGAAAAACATACAAACCATACTGACATTTTGTACAAAAATACTAACAATACAAACTAATGTTACAAAACATACAAACTATACAAATCACTGTTCTTCCTTCAGACGACTCTCTCTCCACCGCTGCCGCCGCCGTCGACTCTCTCTCCACCGCTGCCGCCGCTGATTCAATCTACTGCCATCGCAACCTCTCTCTCTCTCTCCATCGTCGCGCCGCCTCTCTCTCCTCCATCGTCGCGCCGCCTCTCTCTCCTCCATTGTCGCCGGCGCTCTCTCTCCGCCATTGCCTTCGCCTCCGTCGCGATCTCCTTTCCCTCTTTCCATCGTCGCCGTCGCCGTCGCTGTCGCCGTCGCCGTCGCTGTCGTGGTCGAGGTCTCCTTTCTCTCTCTCCATCGTCGCCGCCGGTCGCCTCTTTTCCATCGTCGCCTCTTCATCCCGTGGCTGGCAGCGCAGAAGAGAAGGTGGAGAATTTTTTTTTTTTGAATTTTTCCTAATTCCAGAATTGCCCTTCTTATTAATAAAATAGTCCTTCCATTTTCTACACCATTAGATTGATCCAAGGGCTGAGGGGGGCTTAGCCAAGTGACTAAGCACCCCCCCTTAGTCACCAGATCCGGACTCGTCGTTTATGCCTGAAGATGGGACGGCGGAGTTGCTCTGCCGGCACCTCGAGAAAATAAAGGGTGAATTACCCATCCATGGTCACTTAACTTTTGGTTCCAAACAATATTACCACTTAATTTTACACTCAATAAGAAGATGTACACCAAAATGTTCATTTGGTCGTTTCAGTTATTTGAATTTTAAAGTAGACAAATCGCCATAAAAACTAATTTTATTTCTGTTTAAGAAGACGATACATTAACCCTATTTGTGTAATCTTTTCCAGAACATAAAAGATACACCACAGCAAAAACCTAACCTAAAGCATTATAACCTGACCAACTTGCACGAAATGTTATCTTCATCCTTCTCCCTTCCAACAATTTTTTTAACCAAAATCATTATACCAAAATCGAGAGCCCTAAACCACAACCATTTGTACAAAAGCCTAATAAGGGTAAATGATACATGCTGATTATGATCAAAACATAACATAATATGCGTATGCCATTGGCATGTTTCACACTCATACACTTCCCTCCCTGTTTTAGGATCGAGCAGAACGAGTTGTATAGCATCATGTACGCTCTGTTTGGCAACAAGGGGGGTGCAAATTGCAGGAGGGTGCAAGTTGAGGTGCAAATTGCTGGGGGGTGCAAATTGCTGGGGGGTGCAAATGGAGGGGTAAATTGTTGTTTGGATGAAAAAGTAGGGGGGTGCAAAATGATGTAAGAAAGAGTTTTAGATTATTATATATAAAGAGTAAATATAATAATATGAATGTTATATTATACATAGGTAGTAAAATACGGTACGCGAAAGTTGTGTATAAAGTACGTACGGATATTTTACTTCGTCTCTAACCGAATGTTACGTTTAACAGTCATAAATATATAAAAAAATTATTTTAAAATTAAATAAATATATAAATAATATTAAATTGAATAATTTAATTCATTAAATACGGATATTAAATGTGTTATACGGGTTTTATACGCGTTTAGTACGGGAGCCATCAAATGAACGAAAATAAACGAAACGGCTTGACAATAATATGGATACGGAAGTTTTAAACAGATACAATATGTACGAGTACATATACGTATATTAAACGGAGTATTTACTAACTATGGTATTATACTTATGGTATCTTACTAGTGATAAAATAATATGTATCTCATGAACACCAAACCTTTATGAATAATCATAATAGTTATTATATTAAAAATAATTACTAATTATGTGACTTCTAACATAATATAAACATCATATATAAAGACATGTTCCCAAACATAGTGATAAAGTCACTTTACAGCCCACTGCATCCTAATAACAAGACAAAGTTCACAATTTGTACATATAGGACATCCATAAAAGCCACAGCTTGCTTTCTACTAGTAACCAATGACCATTTCAGTATGTATAGGTCATGGCTCATGGTTCATCAGCAAGACCATAACACTCAAAATTACAAGCATAATAATACCTGGCTTTTAGACATATAAGCAAAAATAACTAACAAACACTCTAGTCATCATTCATCCAGAAAGATGGTTTGTTAGACAAGCTCATCACCATTGAAAGCATGCGGTGATGGCTCACGAGTGAAAGCATTCAAATCTTCACCACTGTAGGCACTACCTTGCAAAAAACAGGAACATCATCTCCATTGAAAGCATGCGGTTCATTATCCATCTAAGCATGACACCAAAATTCGATACCCATTAACCTTCCAAAATGAAGGCAATAAAGGTAGTAACAAAAATGAATGCAATGACAACCCATATTTAATTATCCTAGCGAATGAGAACCCAAATGCTAACTATCCTAATGCATCAGATAAAGCTTAGAAAATGAAAGTAATGAAAATAATCATGACCCATCTACTAATTATACTACTGAAAACTATAACATATAAATAAACACATATTTCAACCGAACATCTGATAAAATTGGATCAATCAACAAAAAAACATTTGCAATGACACTCATTATAAGCATACATATTTTATCAACCTAATAAAGAAGGAAAAATACAGAACACCATAACAGAGTCTCACTCAAAGAATCAGCTTTCATTTTGAAACCCCCTGTTTCTTTCACATACCAGAGGTTACACGCCATTGCCATTGGCCTTTACTTCTCCCTCTACCCTCTCTCCCTCTCTAGTCTCTTCCCAATTGACAACCATAAAAGCCTCTCTTTCCCAAGCCTGACTTTCCATTGCCCAATTAATCCCCAGAGAAAGAAACCAAAGCAGATAAAAGATGGAAATTAAGGTTGCCCCTGCCCCTTCATCTTCTCCCTCCATCCCCAAACGTTAACCTAACAATGAGAACCCATCTAGTGCTAACCTAATGCATTGGATAAAGCTTAAAAAATAAACAAAAGGCAAATAATCATGTCATCTACTAATTATACTAGAGGGAAATGTTATAGCTAAACAAAATTATATACGGACACAGTTCAAATATTGGAAGGAACTCAAAGAGGGATTTATAAGCATTCATCGGACCAAAAAAAAAGGAAGAAATAGCGATTGCGGAAGTGACAATCATGGACAAGGTTGGGGTTTTATCATATTCACCTTCAAAAAGAGCAGGGACACGTCCAGCAAAGTTTGAATGAAGAAAAGAACCCTTCTCGAGCAGGCCAACGATCCGAAAAACAGAACACCACAACAAGAATAGTAGATCGACCCAACTCCTGTATAACACAGCCATCGGAGATGAGGATGACAGGACTCCGCCGGCCGATTGAAGCCGACGAGTCGGAGTGGGCGGAATCAGAATTTCTATCTTCTAAATCTAGGTTTATGATTTGTTTGGGTGGGATGGGTAGGTCTTTCGCAGTGAATGGTGGAAGAGAGATGGAAGAGAACAAAGTAAAAGGGAGAAGAAGAACCGTAGAAAATTAAAGTGGGGAGGAGAAAAAAAAAATATAAAAGCAAATAATTTTTTGCTTCCCTTCCTTCCGCCCCAAATTGGGGGGTTAACACAAACAGTATAATTACCCCTTTAATGCACCCCCTACCTACTGTTGATAATTATCCAAACAGGTACATATTTTTTGGGATTCCCATTTACCCCCAAAAACTTGCACCCCCCTCCATTTACCCCTCAAAACAAACATAGTTTAAACCCTGAAGAATTCTTTGGGTTTAATTCTATCTCCTTCTATGGAGGTAAATTGTTTGAACCTAACTGAGTGTAGGAGTGAGGTTCGGGAAAATGGGTCGAGAAGAGTCAGCAATGGGTATCAACTACGAATTGAAGAACAAAGGAAAAGGAGAGTGAGCCTGAGAGAGTGATATCTTAGAGAGAGAAGTTGGTAGTTTATAGAGATAGAGTCTGAAAAGTCGGATCCTCTCACCCACCAGAGTAAATGCCATATTTATAGGCTACATGGTAGTGGGTGAGTTACATGATGACATGACTACTGACATGTCAGAAGCTTAGGTCATACCTCTACCTGGGACAAGAACATTTACCCATCACTATACCTATGATTGTACCTAGGACTATGATGTGACAACTCTTCGGGGAACGCGGCGTCGCTTTCACGGTTTCTCGGTCTAGTCGACGCTTGACTGGAACGTCGTCGTTCGGCGTTTGGGCTCTTCGTCCGCGGATGTGGGCTTCGCCACGCTCGAGATCTTCGCGCTGGCGCGACTTTGGTCGCGTCTGCCTTAACGCGCCTGGTCGTAGCGGAGGCGATGCCGGGGTGCTTCCTTGGTGCGGCTAGGTCCGAGTCATATACCCAACATAAATGAATATATACGATACAACAATCCTGTCGCAGTATATAATCATATACATAGATGTATGCTGTTTCTGTAATGGTTAGGGGAGGCGAAAACACAAGCTCCATCCAACTGTCGACAAGAGTTCTGCATGTACAGAGGAACTCCATTAGCAGCAGAATTCTCCAGCAACTTGCAAGGCTTCTATCCCATCTTTCTTCCAAATGAACAGCCCCTGCATTTGTTTTACGGGACAACCTTACGAGGACAACACCTTTCGGCGAGAAGATGGGTTACAGATAGATTGTTCTGCCCTCTAGCAAAACTAGTCTCATAACTTGAAACTTGAAAGGACGTGGGCTTGTATACTGTTCACTTGCACCCCAAAAGTTTGAGACTGAGAGTTGCATTAGACTGTTGAGAGTCCGGCTTTCCATATGGGCGCCTTCTTGTGACCCTAACAAAGGACAAAGAACCTTTTCAGAGTCCAAATCACAATCATTTTCCACCACTATAAATGCTTGTAAATCTCGACTGCATTGATATTCAAACATAGATATCATTTGTGTACAACAATCCAAGACCTAAAAGAGGGTGGCTGGGACCTAACTTTTGATCGTCAAGGTATCCCAATAGTGAAATTTGATAAATGTAAATATGTAACACAAGAATATGGATTGAGGAGACGTTAGCTTAATCTAGTTTCATTGTTTGATGTGAAGGAGAAGCGTTGTGTTTTGTTGTCTTCATGCTTGAGTAAGAGTAATTTTGACTGCATCCAAAATTAAATATCATTACTGGATTTGAGTAATGGCTGCGCAATTTTATCCCCTTTATATTGACATCGCGTGTGCGTCTAACTGACCTTTTCTCTTGTTGTGGGAGCATCGTTTGTAAAACTTCGAGCACAATAGAGGTTTCTTGTTCGAGGGTAGGGAGGAAGAGAATCCTGGGCAGAGCTTATCCATACAATGCCCTTGGAAGAAAACAAAGTAGTGATGATTGCCACGAATGCAGCCCTCGAGTACGTGTACAATAAGGTCTTTGCCAATTCCTGTCGACATGGTGCGCCTTTCAATAAAGGAGCGTTAAAACGCCACGAAGACTTTGACCGAAGTGGTTTGGGCATTTCCATCGCAAAAGCTTCAAAACGAGTCCTATCCGATTGAGATTCATTCAAGGGTGTGGTTTGACTGGTAAACTACCTCTAACTCTCTATTATCAGTTTCACTCATTCTATTTGAAGTTGGTTACCTCCTTTGGTGCTTTCCTGGAGCATTTCATTGACCTAAGACACACTCCTTTTTCTTTTAATAAAAGGTTGTTGACTGTGATTTTGCCGAATCAAGGGTCAAGGGCAAAAAAAGATAGGTTCTTTCACTTCCAACGGGGGATCAATGCCACAGCTTCCCCTCGATTTTCCTAACCAAGGTTTCAGTGGGTATCGTGATTGCTCCTATACTAACAAAGTGGAGCAAAAGGGATAGACATAGAATTGCAATACCAAATCAAGGAAGGAGTGAAGGAGTGTCGAATATAGGACAACTAGAGATGACATCGTTTTGGAAAGAATTGCTCCAATTTATTTTAATCCTTGGTCTGCCAACGCTATTAAGCGCGGGTAAGGATTTTGCTAATTTTGTATGTGGTCGTTGCAGGGACCTAAGCCTAATTTCATAGGTGAATGAGACCTCATCGTGCTCATACCAAAGAAATCCAGTCCAGAGCGAAGTCCAGTCCAAAGCGGATTCCTAATCTTTGACCGCCTCTACAACGAGGTGTACAAAACATTAATGTAGTGTCTTACACATAGACTCAAACAGTTGATGACGCAACTAGTCAAGCCAATCCCCCTTGCACATTTATGATAATATTGTTATATTTGCAGGAAACCATTAACAGGATGGGTTCGAAGACAAGGAGAACAGGGCAAATGGAGTGGAATATTGATCTCGCTAAGACTTACGACAAGATAAGTTGGGTTTTCCTCCAATAAATGTTGCACGATGCATGACTAGCAACTATGTTTGTTGACGTGGTGATGAGGTGTGTTACCTTGCCATTGTTCCAGGTTATTTGAAAAGATGAGACGACTGAGGCATTTGAGCCATCCCACGAGATAAGACAGGGGTGCCCGCTCTCGTTGTTCCTTTTTATTACCCTCTGTATGGAACGTCACAATAAAACGATCAAGGATGTTGTGTATTGGGGCGCAATGGAGACCAATCACTCTAGTTCGCGAAAGTACTCCTCAGTCTCACCCTTCTTCTTTTTTTGCTAGTGACCTTGTATTGTTTACAAAGTCTAGCACCATTCTTGCTACACTAATTTTGGATTTGTCTGGATCAATTTTGTGAGGCATTCATGCAATCAGTGCGCCATGAGATGTCTAGAATTTTTTCCATGCAGAACACAGGTAGACCGTAAAGTCCAAAAGTAAGTTGGCAGCAGCGCATTCCAACTACACAGGATCTGAGCAAGTATTTGGGGTTCCTATGCTCCACGTTCCTACGCCCGTGTGTGATGAGATTGAAAGAAAAATCAGGAACTTCGTTCAAGGAGCGAAAAATGGGAAGCGAAAGACAGCATGGCTAGTCCTCAAGATCCCGAACGAAACCTGGGTAAATGTTCGAACGAAGAAATATCGCCTTATAGCCGGTAACACGGTTACCCCACGCAGATAGGTAGGCATTTTAATTCTTTAGAGGCATCCGCAGAGCATCACAATCAATATTGGAGGGAGTCCAGTGGAGATAAAGGTCGATAAGTTTCTAGGATGTTATTTAGCTTGACAGTGGCGTTCAGTTGGCTTATTGGTTGACAAGGCCGCTACTAGTCCACCTAAAGGACAAGTTGATGGCGTCTTGCGTTCTTGACACATAAGTGGGACACATAAGTTATCGCTCGTTATTTTGCCTGGCGATTTGTGCTTGCTAGTGCTTGGGATGACTCCAACGCAAGAGGAGCTTAGCAAGGAAGACATAGTTTAGGGCCTTGAAACCAACGAAAAGTTCACAATTCAACAACAGACTATCCATTCTGGAAGCGACGGGTGAACACTCTCATCAGCAGATGAGCTTAGAGCTCTAGTTTCAAAGTATCCACTCAAAGGAGTGGGATGTTAAACTTTTCTCGTATTTCCAGAGAGACAAACTTCTTAACCGATTGTTTGGCTCATACGAGTCTGTCAGTTCCTTTTGGCGTTCATTACCAATCGACCTAAAGGACAAGCCAATGGCGCCTTGCATTCTTGACACATGAGTTGGACACATAAGTTATCGCTTATTATTGCCTGATGATTTGTACTTGCAGGTGCTTGGGATGACTCCAACGCAAGAGGAGCTTAGCAATGACGATATAGTTTGGAACCTTGAAACCAACAAAAAGTTCACAACTCAATAACATGCTATCCATTCTACAAGCAACGGGTGATCCGTCTCATCAGCACACCATCTTAGAGCTCCAGTTTCGAAGTCTCCTCTCAAAGAGTGGGTTATTGTTAAACTTTCTTGTATTTCCAAAGAGAAACTTCTTAGCCGACTGTTTGGCTCATATGAGTCTGTCAGTTCCTTTTGGTGCTCATTATGTTCCTAAGCATGACCCTGAGATCCGTAAGTGGATTTTATGTGACATTCTAGGGACATCAGTGCCCCGACATTTTAATGTAATGAGGTAGTAGAACCACACGCCCTTTCTCTTTCCTTTCCCTTTTCAGACATATTCCATAGAAACATCTATTGTTGATTTTGTATACCTTAAACCAATAATGGAACTTTGAAACTATTAAAACTCTGTAACTTAATGTTAAAGAGATTGAAAATACTCCAACTTTCCCTTCACAAATAAAAACAGTTATCCCCAGAAGACCTCAAGAAGGGACAAATGAATCCCGACTGACATTGTTACCTTATGCCAACCAAGCCCTTGCTAAATCAGAAGAGTTCAGTGACATATTCAGAAGGCATACCCTGACAGGAACATAAAGCCAACTACAATTCCAGACTTCAGATTTGCTTAAAGGCATGCTCCTAGTAGTCCAGCAAACTTACAGTTTACGGTCTAAACTCTAAACTAGGGAGCCTATTCTGAATTCCAATAACGAGATTTTCATTACTGAAGCAGGGGTCAACTAGGAATCGCTGAAGTTAGAGAGCAGCAGCTGATAGATGAAGAGAAAAGGAGGTTGTAGGCTAAACTGACTGAACGGCTGAAGTTCAAAATAACAGCAGAAATAAGCCGCCAAATTATCTACAGCTAGATGGAATAGAAAGTTCATACCATCCTGCATCCCCCCTGAGTAGTAGAGTCGAACGGTTCGGCCAAATAGTGAAGTTGTCCAGGGAACAGAGAATCGTTAGCTTCCCACTACCTTCCGCTGCACATGTATTCACACTTGGGCCAAAAATATTCTCCATCGACCACATTCATCTCCAGCTACCCGAAAGTTCACTTGCATCCTGACCTGCAAACAAAATGACTAGATATTGACTGATTGTGTCAAACCCATAATCTAAAAGGATCGTGATGGAAATATGAATCAAGAATGTCTAAGGTAGGCCTGGCCAAACCAAAATAGGTGACTGGCAAGCTTCATTGAAAATCAACCAGTCAGAAAAAGTTCAGAGAGAGGCAAAAAAATATCAAGATTGGCCAACCGCAATTGGAGGCGCAAGTTTCAAAGTTGTAAGCTCAAAGGCACTGCACTTACCAAAACGATTATGAAACAGGAGCACCATCGCTCACACAGACTTCAAACGATCTCTAAGTCTCTTCAGTTCCTCGCCTTGTTGCTGAAGTTCAACAAGAGCATAACCAGTAATGGTATTTTAGCAAGAATGAGACTTTCAGTTTCTGATAGAAAAATGCAGAGGAATCTGACCTTGTGTATGGCTTCCCATGTTAGATTCACTCTTGCTTGATGTAAGGCCCACTCAGTAGCCATTTCATGCTCAATTGTATTTGGCTGCGAACAATGAGAAGTAGATACAGCTTCTCTCTGCACGATAGAATAGGAAATGATGATGGGAAATGTTAACCAGAGAACAAAGAATCAAAACCAATAATGCAAGGCACATTTTGAGATGTAGCAAAAGTAATGCAGATTAAATTTACCTTCTCTCGCTGCATTTGGTATTTCAATTTGTCAATGGCAAAATGACCGAAAAATGGTGATTGTTTTCCTTTAAAAGCACTGGAGGCAAGCCTGCCTACAAGGGGCCTGACCAGAACACAGGCAAAATAAATTTTTCATATTGGTGGTCGATCAATTGACTATAAATGTTTAGAATCTCGGGAGTACAAATTGGAAATTCATTACTGAATCCAGTTTTGTCATACCTTCCGCCAGGTAATACCAAACAATGTCTGTCCAATTTCACAACCACCCTTCCTGCCACTTCCTTTGACGAGAAATTGACAAAAGCTTGACCTTAAAAAAAGCACGGGAGGAAAGTAAGACAAGAAAAATGTCAAAGCTATGGAACATTCCCCTTCAATTCAGGCAGTACCAAAGTGAGGGCTAGAAAAAGCTGTCCGTTGAACCATCTTTGCAGAGCAATTTTCTTTCAGAGCATTCTTGATCAACTCCTGATCCACAACAACCATCATGATGAGTAGCCAAATAAAGAAACTGGTGTATTGCACAGTAGACCTAAAGTGAATGTATCACATACTCTTCAACAAGCATTACCTTCACCTCATCTGATGTGTATGATGGATCCAAGTTTAGAAGGAGTACGAGGCTTCCATTCACATACCCATCTTCCATTGCTTGATCCCAAGGCTGGCCATAACACATGGCTGAACCAATTAGTGCAATGGGTTGCTAATTAAAAAACAAAGCAATGTCTAAATTTGCACACTACATATACAGGCTTGCCTATGGCAGAAAACTTGGCGTACTTGCACGACGGATTACAAGCAGTTTGCTAAAATCAAACTCGGAAAATTCCTCATAAGTCATAGTATTTGTACAATAGGAAACTTTTGCTAGAAGCACTATATTAACAGAAAATCAGCTTTCCCATATTCCTAATTTACCCATCAGATATATTCCAGGATATTTTAAGCAAATAAAGCACCAATACCTTATAAGTTGACTACAAAATTTTCTGATTTGGAACATAATTTATTAGGTACATATTTAAGTGCATTCAAAGTGGGCTGAAACTGAAAAGACAATCATCAACCACAGTATCAAAGGAAGCAACCTAATACTCTGTGAATAGCACTAAAATCACCCAGCTTACACAATCAATCTCACTATCAACATGACCAACCAAGCCCCGAACACTCTCGCCCGTGTCTCAACGGCTCGCGCTAATTGTGGCCGTTCGGGAGAATCGATGACTGTCCACCAGCTCAAAACTTAGCATTCTCATAATTACATCTTGCCAAAGCATTTTATTTTATCCTCAGTAAAAAAGATATGAAAAAGACAATTAAAAGACAATTACTTAGAAAAATACAATTAAAAGATAGAATGCAGCAGAAATGGGATTTCATACATAAATAAACAAGAGCAATACAACAAAAATACGGAGAATAGATACTTACTTGTTCTTCGCACCATCTCGATCTTCTTTCCTCCTATGATATGAATAAACAACTTGTTAACTAACTCACGACATGAACATTAAATCACAGAGCATAATCCGAAGAGACATCTGGAAAGGTTCTCAATAAAACAAATAGTCAAATGAAAACATTTACTCATCCATTTATTAATTTAAGTGTGAAGATTTCATTGGGACAAATCAAATTTTGTTAAGTATGTTGAGATAACTATGAGATGCAAAGCAATGGCCAAGTTAAGTGCATTAAACTATGATTACATTCGAGTGATATCTGAGCATGAATGAACCGAACAACTACACCAAGCCTTATTAAGCTTCAAATCTGATCAAGCTTGAACGAGACTGCACGCTTACTACGCTATTCAGAAAACTCAACTTAACTAGAAAGATCAAAAGTTTGCAAGCAAAAGCAGAAAGATCTCAAAATAAATGAGTAGACAATTGAAAACCTAACAATGCAACTCACAATGCTAATAGCTTCAGGCCCTTTATTATCAACCCTTTTCCTTTCATCAGTAGATTGGACTGGAGATGGTTTAGGCAACTTAGCAGCCTTAGTATCCTCTCTTTCCAGCTTTCGCTTCTTAAGACCTTCTTTATTCTTGGGTACATCCTTTGAACTTTTAGAGTTTTCCACAGACGGGGTAATTGTGGAAGGGATAGGCCTCTTACCCACTTTATTAAACAAAAGTTTAGCTGCAAGAATTATGAAACGTCACATGTAAGGATCTAAGACACAGACACACGTTTACACATAAAGCACTCGAGGCACACAATAATAATTAAGTCCTCGCGAAAATAAACAAGTGCTGAAATTCTAAAGGAACATACTCTCCACTCCAGCAATTTTATCATCCATCTTTTCCACGATCTTGCTACTTCCTACATCAAAGGCACGGTTAAAGATAAAGTCCGCACCGATGATCTCTTCCTTTGATGGTTGAGGATTCCTAGAATCTCTTGATGTGCATACGACTTTGCATTTGCCCGCAATGGCTTCCTGATTATTCAAAGATAGTATATTACTATATTAACTAACCCAGCTTAATATGTACAGAACATCTTCAGAAAGCTACATTTCCAAGAGAAAACAATGAATAGTCGATCACAATAAGAAGCAATCTTACCAAGGGATTCACATTATAAAGCCCTACTCCTTCCCCGGCTGCCAAAAGCAGTTCATTCTTCGGAAAGGTTTCCCCTCGCAAGTAATATGTAATTTCCCAAGGGCGAAAGTACCATAAGATCCTGCATTTTTTATGTCCTTGAGGATCCTCCCAGAGTCTCACGAGCTTCCCGATATCAGGCTCGTCGACATTGTCTCGGTGCATATACACCGAGTCATAGAGTGTATACTTCTCGCCATCATAGATGAAGGACTCATAAAACTGGATGTTGTGATTCTTTCCACCCAACCCTCGCTTTTTTAACCACTGAAATTCAATCCTGCTCGGATCATCAACTTCAGCCATCCTCTATTTTGCAAAATTCAGACCAAAACAAACCACCAACGAAAACATCGTCATTATTTCCACCATTCACATAACGATAATGACGCTCTGAGTAAAAATACACCAAATGAGCAACACCAACTGCCCGTACACCATAGAAAATCGGCATGCAAAGAGCATATAGATTGGGAATTAACTCGCCCTGAGAAAATGCAATCTAGGGCCAAAGAAATCAAACCGGCCCACCAGTCACTCACCGACGGGGGTGACGAAGAACAAGGCAGTTCGATAATTGAGAAGTAGGAGGAAGACACTTACCGACTACCGAATCGGAACTCCGAAGGAACCCTCACTCCCTGAAGGGGGAACGACGAACACGGCGATTCGAGAATCGAGCAGTCGGAAGGCTCTTACCGGCAGCCGATATCAACTCCGAAGGAACCCTAGTTGGTAGTTACCGGCGCATCGGGACGGTTCACCTTCCCCTAGTTCCGACTGTTATTGTTCGCCGCTGATTATCATATTTGCCCTCTTTTTCATTCACAGTGAAGCACCGGAGTGCCGAGCGCATATATACGCGTGGTAATTCGGGACGCGCATTTTTTTTCTCGCGGGATTGATTCATGAATTATGTGGATTAATTAATTAATTACATTTCGGGCCAAGAATAATTAATTAATGGGTGAATACAATTTAATAGCCATACCTTTTATTTTAAACAATATAATAGTTAAATTTTTTCGAAAACAATTTAATATCCAAACTGTTAATTTTCCGTCCGATCAACCGTCAAAACTGTTAATTTTCCGTCCGGTCAACCGTTAGTTGACTCTGACGTGGCAAGAGTTGAATAATTTTTTTATGACGTGGGAATTTGTTAGTTTTAAGTTTTAACCAATCACTTACAATTTTTAAAAGAGAAAGTTAGAAATTAAAAGATAATTATTCACAACCACACAAATTTTTCTTCATTCACCTCGCTCTATTTCATCGGAAGAAATCAGAAGGTGCAGAGGAGAATTGATCCATTGCAATTTGCAAGAGACTGAGATGGTAAAACCCCCCAAACCCACATCTCCCCCATCTCCTTCCATATCTTCGCCTACGGCTCTGTGAAGTGGTGGAATATCTTTGCCCCGGATCGGTATTGCGGAATCAACCGATTCGTCGCCGTGTTCGCCGTCCCGCTCCTCTCCTTCCACTTCATCTCCACCAACGACCCATTCGCGGTTCGCCATGAACTTCCACTTCATCGCCGCCGAAACCCCCCAGAAGATCATCATCCTCGTCGCCCTGTGCTTGTGGTCCAACCTCACAAGCCGGATTAACTGGAATGGATGGAATCGGCCTGTACGTGGAATCTTTCGGAAAGGAAATTTTGTTTTTGGGTTTGCTCGAAGTGAGAAGGGACGTTGCGATGCAAAGGACGATTGATGAAGCGGAGAGCTAGTCGCGGTAACTAGCTGAGACGATACAGATCTGTGGGCTGCAACTTGAAGGGATTCGGGATTTGGGCAGATTCAAGTGTCTTCTTCCCTTTTCCCTTTGGTTGTTTGCTCGGTTCGTAGATCTGCATTTGCAGCGACAGGAGTGAGCTGTCGCAGTCCTTTATTGGTCGTCAGATTCAAGTGTTCAGCACAGAGTCCTGAAGTGGTAGGAGGAAGGGAGGGCGCCTAGCATCTTGCCTTTGTACATGCCGAAGTATATCACTCTGTTACTTGCCGCCGGGAGGGATGCTGTCGTAAATGTCGGAGGTTTGGGTGGCGGCTTGAAGGAGCAAGTGTAGGCAGGGAGAGCCGGGGAGTGAGCGATGTTGAACACTTGAACAAGAGATTGTGAATGGGAAGGTGGAATAGGTTCCATTGCTAGGTCGATGGGGAGAAAAGGGAAAAAGATACAAGATACTATCTTATTTTTTATTTTTTCATAAGAATATAAAAATTAATTACAATTTATAATTATCTACGTGCCACAGTCAAGTGGCACAGTCAAATGTTTGATTTTGTACCACGTCATCAAATTCAGTACACCTCAGCAATGATTTTGCCACGTCAGAGTCAACTAACAGTTGACCGGACGGAAAGTTAACGATTTGACTATTATTTTGTTTTTAAAAAGGTTTGGCTATTATTTTGTTTAAAGTCAAAAGGTTTGGCTATTAAATTGTATTTACCCTTAATTAATTACATCAATGATTTACAAATCCCACCCCAATATGTGGGATTTACAAGTCCGTGGGGGTCCACGGATTTGGATCAAAAAAAGGAACAAATCCATGGACCCCACGGATTTAACACCTAATAACAAACAATGGACTTGGCTAAAATCCATCATGCTTGGGATTTGAGTATCAAATCCATGACCCAAATCCATCAAGCAAACGACCCCTTATATTTTGATTTGCACTAAGCCGCTAACTAATGAAATTATCATTCTGTCTTCAGTTGTCTTTATTATTATTTTTTTCATATCTATGTGCCATGTAGCTCCAAGTAATAGTAAATAACACATGTGAGATAGTGTGTCACATTATAATTGACATAGTTTGTTTTACTACATTTCTAAACACTTCATGATTCGACCTTTGGACGTGATTGAGAAAATACGTGTTATACATACACATGTGTATATGTTTGTATTGATGTGGCATGATCGTGGAGTCACTTATATTATAGGCTGTATTTAGCTATGTACGTCATTCAATTTATGTGTTTCATGAGTACAAGGAGGAACATGGTCATGTTGACAACAATGTTAGACAATTTATTTTCATTCATTATTTGGTCATAGCAGCAAACCAACTCACCCAAATCGAGTCATGATAACTCCTAAAAGTCTTAAGTCTCTCAACATTACTTAATCAACAAACCAACACACAAGAATTGGTTAGTTCACTAAACTTAACTAAAAGGGGCAGTTTGAGAAAACACGATGTTATTAACAACAAAAATAGATATGTAGAGTTGGTCCATTTTGACAAGAGAAGAAGTTCGGTGTCAAGTGGCCTGCATTTCAGGGTTTGGTGATCATTTTGTGACATGTATAAAGTTCACTGACTCTTTCTGCTCGCTCCGTTGCGTGAAGCAAAATGACCAGAAGGAAAGGAATCGGGCGCTCAGTGCCAGAATTTGAATGACTCTCGCGAGACGGCAGAACAAAGCCATGCCGCGCCCAGCCGGGAACTAGGGTCTAGGGTTGTGTTGTGGCAGATTCAAAACACACTCCTCTTCTTTGCGAACTCTCCGGTCTCCGCACATGGCGTCCAATTCTCCCAAGACGGGGATTAACCAGGTTTGTTGCGGATGTACCGAATCCATGCTGATTGTATAACGCTTGTGTTGAACTTCAGTTTTGTCATGGCGCGTTTCTCCCATCGGCGCTTTCCGTCCCTACTCATCACATACCACCTCCCCAGGACGTAAACCTGCCGATATTGGGCGCAATTGCTTTTTCTGTGCATTGCATGGACGAGTTACTGCAGTAATGCAGATATGAGATATCCAGTTTTTCCTTCTTGTTTCTTTTGGGAAGAAGTAGGGCTTATTATTGCTTCTTTTATCCTTGTGGACTAACTTGAAAAGCGAAATGGGATAGTGTCAGTAGGATGACCTCATGAAACAGTTGTTTGATTTCCCCCCTCACTGGCTATGGAAATTGAACATAGGATTGTGATAGCAAGAATGGGGTGTGGTTAAAAGGAGAGATTGAATTGGGAATGAATTCAGTTCAAGACTGTGTATAATCTTTCATACTGTCCTTTTGTTTGGAATGACAGTTTTATGCTTCAAAGAAGAGAAAACCCCCTTCACCATCATTGAAGGCAGGGCGAGCTGAGAAGGGTGCCATACTGAATGTAGAAGGATCACCATCAAAAGGAACTTTGTGCAGTTACTTGGTGGACTAAAGCTGAAGACTAAAGCTGCCCTCGAGGTTCAAGGTTCATTGGCTGTAAAAGAAACACCCGAGTGTTCAACTAATGCCGGTAAAGTTGTAATTGAAGGTACTTCGAAGGGTTGCTCGGTTTCAGGTGGTGGGGGAGAGAACTTGGAACTTAAGCCGCTTGCCTCTGGCTTATTGTCTTTGTACTGTAGGTAATATACTAGAAATACACTTTATTGTTCTTAAGAATGTGCCATATTGAGTGCTATATTTATTTCACTCTCATGAAACTAACACAGTAGATGTATTTTCTGTAGTGAACTTCAGTCAACTGCAACTTCGCCATCAAAAACAAATTTGAATGATAATAAGAGATGTTCAAGGCAATTGTCAGAGACTGGCAAGGATAGAATGCGTAAGAAGGGGTTCTACATAACAGATCGGTTTCAGTCAGGACAGCTTGATGCTTGTTCTACTATGAGGAAAGAAGAAGAGAGGGAGGTGAGAATTGTGGATATTTTGTATTCAGGTACATGAGGAATTAGTTCTGTAAGTTGATCCCTGTGCGATCAAAGAAGCGGCATTATTGCCACAAATCAGCATGGAAAGGGCACTATTGATTTGTGGTTTGTACTTGAATATCTTCCTATTTTGCCCATTTATAACTTTTTCCTTGGTCTCTGAAACATCGTTCTGGCAGATCTTCATTGTTATCCTCCAATTCCGCTGCAAGTCAAACTGAAAGTTGGACCAACATGGGTTCTTGGAGCCGTTTCAGGCTGAGAATTATGCAGATGGTGTTGAAGTTCCCGGTTATTGAAGAGCGATTTTTTTTGGCTTGTGCAAGTAAAACAATACTGATGATAATGAAGCCTGAATTGAACGTCAACTGCAGCAGCATGTAGTTTAAGTTACATGTAGATGTAGGTGATCAATGACCTTCTGATTGCTTACACATTGTATATTGTAACCTTTCTCTTGGATTTTTATGATATTTATCTTCTGATTATAACGCGTCTGTTGTGTACTGATTATATAAAGTTCCCCTTATAGATCACTCTCGGTGGACTTAATAGCATTGACTGTTGATCGCAGGAGAAGCTTTCACAAAAATAGACCCAATCAGGTTAACATTAGTTTATTGGTTGATGACCTTGCCACCAGGTATGCTCTCTGCATCCGTCTTGTTATCCTTTTTTTGGTTTCACTTCTGGATATAGCAAGTTCTTCTGGGGAGAGAGAGGTCATTTCCAATCTCAGAACTCCGAAGCCAGAATTTATTCTTATAATAATAATACCCATTAACGTATTGTATTAAAACTCCCCGGACAAGTTGGCAAATATGGCTGGTGGTTTTATTACTTAACATATAGACTATTGTATATTCGTCCACTGGAAAAGCAAAGAGTTTTAAGTGTGCATAAGGTGAATGCAGTAAATTTGACGAATACATTATTAATAAGCAAACCTTACAACATTCCGGGTGTAGCTATCCTGAGCTGACCGATATAATTTAACTGCCATGTTTGGAATTTGTCCTACAGGATAAACCTACTTCTTGGGAACCCAGACAATATGATCCTGAGGAAGGAAATGACAGACTGGAACGCTCCCTGGTTTAACTTTCAGCAGCTGGAAAGCCAAATGCTTGGGGTTCCACCCTGAAGTATCCGTATGACACACGGCGACTGCATTCACCTTCTTTCCATCGGCACCCTCCATAGGAACGACGTACGCCCTTGAGGTCTGTGTTGTATGGCAGTAGAACACAGCGTAAGCATACTTCTGGTTGTGGCAAACCACAGACCTATAACCTGGCAACTTCTTTACTCCGTCTTTGATCTCATACTCCTGCTTCATCTGACCTTCTCTGCCCTTCACTTCTGTAGAGATCGCCTCAACATTCCTCCCAAGCTTTGAGGTGCTGAAATCAACCATCGACTCGAGCGATGTGGCACAGTACTTCTCCTCTCCTTTGATCGCGGGGCTCTCGCATTCCTCTACCGTGTTCTTCATCGTCTTGCCTTCTTGGGACTCGGGTTCAACCGAGAACTGGTTCAGGATCTCGGGCAGCTTCTCGGATGAAAAGGGTATCGAACCAGCCACTTGTCGAGGTAAGAAGCTCGACACATGGTGGCTTTCGGTGAAGTCCAAGTTCATTACTTTGCCAGCGTGGATGTCTTTTTCCAGGAAGAAGATTGCTGCGTTGGTGTTGTCGTGTAGTTGATCCTCGGTGGCAGCGTAACTGTACAAGAATGGGTTATACGTCGGGCTTACTCCGACGTAAACGGGTCTCTTTCCTTTTCCTCCTGTGTTTACTGATACTCCGCCTTTGCCTACTCCAACGTTTGTTCCACCGTCGGGCTTTGCGGTGCTGACGCCAACACCACCTTTGCTTACGCCGACGTTTGTTCTGCCCCCAGGTTTACCGGCGTTGACGACCACTCCACCTTTGCCGACGCCGACGTTTGTTCGACTGCCGGGTTTCCCCTTGCTGGTGTTCACGTTCACGACACTGCCCTTTCCAACGTTTACTGTAGTGCCACCTGGCGGCTTCCCTTTGGCTGTGTCAACGTCTACTGCAGTGCTCTTGTCTTCCAAGAAGTCTGCAAACATTGCCATGGTTAAAAATGGCGTCGACAAAGAATGGTTTATATAGTAATCTGGCAGACATCTGGTACGTTGCCATTCTCGTCTGTTTCAACTGTCCAGACTGCATGAATATACTTCTCTACCCTCTAGTTTGCATCATATGTAATGAATACCAAGAGGATGTGAATTCAGGAATCGTATACATATTTCATGGATGGAATATGATAAGAGGGAAAGCAGAGGTTTAGCAACTTTATGTAACGTTGTCCAAGTTTTTGCTTGCCAAATACTTTTCACATTGCACATATTGTCTGCTTGGAGATTGGAATTTGGAAGCTAAAGTTGGGATCTTTTTTATTTCTCCTAGTGCAACACTTCGAAGTATGGAACGGTGCTAGCTAGCTGGCTAGCTTCAGTGGATAGGTTACCTGGTTCCAGAAGATCACTAACAGCTTTTGGCATGGGTGTGTTTGGCAGGACAGATTTCCAGTAGAGTTCAGGCGGCAAGGCAGCATGACTAGCCACAAGTGCAACCTGCAACACAAGAAAAGGTAAACAACGCTAAGATATCTCATATGGCAATAATAAGTAAATAGGATCAGAGAATAGAAGTAGCCATGAAACCATACAGTGAGAAAGCCGAGAATATAGAGGGGATTGGAGGACTTCATTGTTGTTTCCTCTTTTGCTCAGATGGGTATTGTTTGACTGATATGGGAGATGTAGTTTGAGAAGAAGGGTTAAGTGGGTGGAAATATTTATAGAATGTTTCTCTAGATCGTACGGGGCATCATCATAACAGCATTGCTATACACACCTATATTACCAGCAACCGCTTTGAATTCTCACTGCCAAACTGCCCCCCCAGCCACTGTCTCTTTCATTAATTAATGACGTCGTGGGACACGAGTTAAAAGAGGAGTGGTAATGTGGTGATCAATGGTGGCAGCATGAGACTAAGATACTCCAAGTGAAGAAGTAAAAGGACTTAATTCTGCAACCATGATCGTTTCAAGTTTTTGCTTTCTTGGTGACTTGGGAAGTACGGTATCAAGGTACGATGGGACATCTTGATGCGGTTTTATACAGTCTCAAATTGGTTTCTGAGTTGGGTTTTTGGTAGCCAACTCTGTAGTTTCCTCTGCAGGTGACCATCCAACAGGCAGATTGCATAACGCCAGAGTGTATATTACGGCCATTAGTAAGATGCACACCTTTGATTGGGATGTTCAACTCATTCATATGCTCTGTGAGATGCTCTGCAACGTGTTAGCTTGTCCATCAATTTCCTTAATCATCTTTTGTTTCTCATGTTATCGATTGCCACTAGATCCTTATCTACCTTATGACTTATGTATAACGTTATTACGATTTTACTTACGCATTTTAAGAAGGATAATGTAGTTTGTCATCATATGCAGGGATGTGTACTGATGAGCTATCAGAGGGGGAGAGTTGTGATTTATGATGATGTTACACTGAACCAGGCGGTGATTAAGTTTGCATGGACTTTGTGGTTCCAAGTGAACAAACAACTACCATATTAATGGAGAGGTTCAGTGACAGTTGAGGTAAGGGGCCGGCGATCTTCTTGGAATGAATGCATCAGCTGGTAGTTACAGCGGTGACATTTGGAGCTTACAGTACTGTTCTAGGTGTACGTTACAGTTCAGGCTTTCGGTTTTAGGGTTCCAGAGAGTTGCCTTCCACTGAAGACAGCTCGTTTGAGCGCTTTAGATGAAGAAGCCCAACAAAATCGTATTCGAATTGGCTAATGGGTTCAAATTTTCAGAATTTGGAGTTGGGCCTATTTTTGGATCCAAATGTAATGTTTTTCAAATGGTTCCAAATGAGCCCTTTGGCATGAGATTGGATTTGGGCTAAAATCCGATCCAATTTGGATTGATTTGTATGACTGAAAATCATGTTCTTGCATTCCTTTTTGTGAACTCGATTTTGTAATCTTATCGAAGTCCTTTTAGTTACAAGAGTTAGAATTCAATATGAGGCTGTTGGACCTCAGATCCATGATGACTCCCATACAATCACAAGACAAAAATATATGAGATATTTGAGATTTGAGATTTTAACGAAAAGAAAAATATAGAAAAGTCTAATAAACATTATCTATGAGTTCAAGAGCTTATAATTAGATACATTTTTTTTCTTACAAAAGAATTGCAGATTCAGATGAGCTTACTGTCTTTTTTTTCTTTTAATCTATCAGTTTTCAAACCTTGGATCAATGGGCTCACATGAACTTTGCAGTTCATAGTCACACTTATCCATCTCATCCAAGGGAAAGACTAGTTGAGCGCTGTCTTGATCTTCAAATCTATGTACCATAATTTTCTAAATAGGATAAGAAAACGAAATTATATTGTTGGTTAATATTTGCATGCTTGGCAACTAAGCATTGGATTGGCGGTTTTCCTTTTGATCATGGGAATGATTGAGGAACCAACTTACCAAGTGAAAGTGCGCCTCTGTTAATCTGCAAACCCTATTATGCTTTAGTCATTTAACACTGATTAACCCTAAATTTTAATATTTCTTTTACCCAAAAAGTCAAAAAGTTTTCACATAGGTTATTTTTTTTTGTTCAACAAAAAGTGATAGGATTTACTTGTATATTTCCCAAACCAAACACCACTTACTATCATTGTCTTGCTAGTTGAAACTATTGTGCTAATTTCAAGCTAATTAATTGCTAAATTAAGTCTCTATTAATACTTGTATACACGGACAATAATTAGCTACAATCACTAGATCAGGGTGGAAGGAATTCCTACCATCTATGCACATGTCAATGTACAATTGGATTATATTTAATTTTTTATTTTCTACATAATTCAAAGGTGAAAAAGGTTACTTCTCACAACCATAAATATATATGTTTCACCATCTTAGTTTAATTAAAATATTTTGAAACTTATATAGAATCAAGTAATCACGACACTTGACGGAGATTGCAAGAAAAATTGATTGTAGATAGAATTGAGATTTGTATGAGAAATCAGATTACGTGTAAAGAACTAAAGATGAATGAATTTAAAGTAATTGATTGATAATTTTGAATAAAAAAAAATATTTTGTGTAACCTAAATAATAAGAAAACTGCTCACTCTAACTTGAATGTAATCAAAACTTATAAAACAGAAATGACTTTATCTCCTTATATAGACAATATTAAACTACAAACACGATTTTGATTGGAGGAATTTGTACAACTACAATCACACACATGTCAACTTATCAAGTTATTGTTGCATTACATTCATTAAATGAAAACAACAAATAAACAAATATATATATAAACCAATGATAAGTCGAAACGTAGTCATGGAGAATAAAAAAATAACATAGTGCTCATTTCCATTTCGGTGATTTATTTCCATTCTTTTATATATTTTTGCAATTAATTTGTGGTTGTAGGAATCTTGAAAAGCTTCAAATTAGGCAAATACCCACAGTTAAGAGAAGTGATGATTGGTTCTGTGCAATCCGGCGGCCGCTCACTTGAGAATATATTTCCATGATCCAAAGGTTACCTTAGTTTAAAAGCAAAAGAAAACTTAAATAAATAAAAAGGACCAAAAATAAATAAATAATTTCGTGCAGATTGACATTCAAATACGCTTACTATATTTTTCTCAATAAATGGTGTCTTTTGGATGTTAAGGAAAGATAAGTGGGGTGGATTTCAGGACAATTATGCAAAAGTTAATCCCCACAAACTGTCTAATCAAACTTTTAATCAAATTTTTGTGTGTGCTTGAATATATATAACTTTGGTACAGAACCATTTCAAGTACAAGAGAAAAGATTAATAAGGGCTTGGAGAAGTGGAGCTAGTGATCCGTTTGTGCCTATTTGTGACCCACCAATGATTCTGTGGTGTGTATTATCATTAATCAAATTGATAAATTTTTTGATGGGTCGTAATAGATGAAGATGCGGGTTGCTCCATCGATACTATCAGAATGAAAATGCTAACTAGATCATGGTTATTATGTACCTAAAAGTCAATGGTATTTGATCATCCGTGAGTATTCACCAAGTCGAACATAGTGAACTCCTTTAAAAAAATTAGTATTTTGTTTGATGTATATGTTCAATTTTCCTTTTCCCCCTTCATTTTCTGCTATTTTCTTCTATATAATTTGTTTATAATTATTTGATGGTGTTATTTCAGATCAACAATGTCATAATCAAAGGGATATCATATATCAATAGTGCACACAATCATACCTGATGGAAAATAAAGTCTTTGTTTTTGGTGTCACCATAGAAGGTTATGTCTCAAACTAATTATTTAATACAAAACTTTTGCCATCATATTGTAGCAAATGTATGCTTGCCAAACGAAGGACCGATAGAACTTTCTTATCACAAACAAAAATGGAATTCATACAACAAACAAGAAAAAAAAAAGTTTTTCTTGACTACTCTATTTTTAAATTTGGTACGAGTTTTTCATGTAATTCTACATATATTTCAAAGTTGGAGGCGCTATTACCCTTCCTAGTTTAACCAATCTCTGCCACTACTCAAGAGTCAACACCCACATTTATTCGATACTAGAAAGTTATTGTAATTTCTTAGTTCCTAATCACTCTATATCCTAGTTTTGCCACTAAATCTACACTATAATTAAAAAAGATTTTGAAACTATAGTTATCCATCCAATTCCATCAAATGCTTGCTCTCGAATCACCATTAAAGTTTTCAGCAATTTAGGCACCCTCTATGCCCGATTATCCTTCAAAGAAAGTCGGATGTGATCCATGTAAGGAAATAATATTGGACACATACTCGGGGAAAAAAGTATTGGACACATGGCGTGATAATTCTCTTCCGACAATTCAAATTATTAAGACTAATTTGCACTCTATGATATCAAAGTCATTGATCAAGATGACTTGTGGTTTTGAAATCTCAGGACCTTCAACAGTAACAACTAGTTTGAAACATAAAATATGGCATGACAGTGTAAACTTCAATCCCATGAATCGAAATTAACTTCATATATACACCTATTCTCACAACCCGATTTAACGAAACGCAAAAATTAGAAGAAAAAAAAATCTCCTAATACTTTGGGTGCATGAAACTAGCTAATATGATACTACCTTGTCGATCTAGACATCATATGGGGCCACTCATATCATAAGCATTGGTGGATCGATGCTCAGAGACTTTTGAGTTGACAACATTGGCAGAGAGCTCTTTTTTTTTTGTTAATGGGAAGAATAATAATTATATCCTAATTAGCAACTAATTATGAACTAATAGTCTAATCATAGGAGGAGCCAAATATTAATTAACACTGTAAATCATCACGAGAGTGATGTCGTATTATGCATGCTGATCGGTTACACTTACTTGTAGGGTATATGAGATAAAAAGGTTTAATTAAAGCAAATATAATATTGGGCCAGCTAGTTAATCATATCATTACTACGTGATAATATCAGGGTCGTTTCTTAGCGGCTGCAGCAAAGAAGGTCCGTGGCTCTTTTGAGGTGGAGATGGCTGAAGCCCTTGCTGCGGAGTTTGGCGTCCAACTTGCGAACCAACTCGGTTTCCAGTCCCTGGTGCTCGAAGTCGACTGTCTTCCTCTGGTGGAGAAGCTTCGACACCCGGACAGCAATCATACGGAACTTGGGGTCATTTCCAGGAGAATTATAAGCTTCCTACAGGAAACGAGTTCAGGGAGGGTCGACATCATGCATGCGAGAAGGGAAGCAAACAACGCAGCACATATCATGGCGCATAGTGAGACTAGATGGGATAGTAGAGAAGTGTGGATCGATAGACCACCGATTTTCCTTGTAGACCAGCTCATCCTGGATGATGTAACTGTCGCTGCCTGATTAATATAATTCTACAGGTTACCCGTCAAAAAAAAAAAAGATAACTATAAATTAATTGGTTATTACTCATCAATTCGTCGTCTTCAAAGGGTTATTATCTAGTGGTTGCCAACCGAGTACTTCCCACTTTCAAGTGGCACAGATAATATTAAGGCTACTTAATTAGCCTTTTCCCTTCTTTATTTCAAAGAGTGAAAGTTGAAACACGAGCTTAATTAAATGACCACAAACGGGCTTGGCTTTGGAGTGTCATTTCAATCAAAATGGTTGAAGTTTTTTGTTGTAAAAAAAAAAAACCGTGAATCAAGATATTTATCCATTTTATAATCTCTTAATCGCTAATTGTGTTACTTCTTAACTTATAAGTTCACATATTTGTCAATTAATGAATCTCTATTTTAATGTCAAGACATCAGAACCACTATATATTCTCGTTGCACTTCCTTTTTTTTTTATAAATGTTAACGTCCTCACTGTTATTTCTTAATATTGCTATATTATATATTCTCTTGACCAGCGGCGGATCCGAGGGCCGCCCCCTGGCCAAGGCCCAGCTCTCCTCTAGATCTCGAGCTAGTATAGTACTTGTAATTTTCAATTTTTGGTATTCGTTTTCAGTGTTTTTCATGTTAAGGTCCAACTCTCTCCGACTTTTTTTAAAGGTGACCCAATGCTCTACCCTGTCCTGGATCCGCTGCGGCTCTGACCTATTGACTTGACGTTGGTGGACATTGGCTTCAAGCTTGGGCTAGAAAGTGGTATAGCCATTTATCCTAGTAGATATTTTATGTGTTCATTATTCACATCCCAACATCTACAAAGTGGGTTCTTTTTCCCCACTACACAAAATTTTAACTGTGATATCGAATAGTGTTTTGGTTTCCACTATCACTGAACCTTCCTTGACCATCAAATCATATAAACCTGAGAGAGAGATAGTCGAAATGCACATGATTGTGTTTGTTTAGGATCTGATGATGATTATAACTTATAAGGTGAGGTATATATACAACGAGGAAGTAGGTCATTGAAATAATAAAAGGGTACATCATCATAATTGCCCAAATCAGATTTCACATGAGTGGGAAATCTCTCACGTTTAATTATTACCATTTTCACGTCCCAAACCTTTTCCATGTATCTTTGGTCTCACAATGTTAAGAGCAGAAGAAATAGTGCTTATCACATATGAAGGAACAGCTAATATTTTTCATTAATCACCTAATATAAATTTATGTCACTTTACATATTGTGATCCTGTTTTATCGTTTACTTGACTTGTCGTCGTGTAGAATAAGACATGCAGGGAAAAAACAAATCTAGTAACTCGAGTCAAAATTTGTCATCCGTGCTATGTGACGACAATATAGCAGAATGGGGAGAAGAAAGCTCATGTTCGGATTAGGACTTATGAAGTAGTGACTGATCTCTCTTTTTTTTTAAAGGAGAGAAGACTTTTTCTTCTAGGTTTAAGAGAATAGTTTTTGTATAGAATTTCTCGACTTTTTCTGAGACATACGAATTACACGGAGTTAAGGGGTTTGATTTTTAAGTTATGATAATTTCGAGGATGTGGATTGTGATCATGTTTTATCGTTTATTTGATTTATTGCAGCGTAGAACAAGACATGCATGTAAGAAAAACCAAATCTAGTAACTCGGGTCAAGATTTGTCATCCGTGCCATGCGACGACAATGTAGCCAAATGGGGAGAAGAGAACTCATGTTCGGATTAGGACTTATGTCGTAGTGCCTGATCTTTTTAATTTATGAGACAAGACTTTTTCTTCTAGGTTTAAGAGAATATTTTTTTTACAAAAAATTCTATACTTTTTCTGAGACAGTCACGATTTACATTTCGTTAAAGTGTCTGATTCTCTTTGTCCTCTCTCGCTTGACTCTTTCCAATATGTGACCTAATTTTATAACAATACCTAAGTAAAAAAATCAAGTGTCTTTGTTGGTTCCTCTCTTCATCCGAATCGAATGTTGGTCACCATCTCCTATCTAGTAGTCTAGAATTCGAAACTTGTAACCAACTCTCAAAAATCATAAATCATGGGAAAATATTTCTGTGTTAACATATATTGTTTTTCTAGTAGGTGGAAGACATCTAAATCTCCCATTCGGGAGAGAGAGGTCCAAGTTGGTCCGGTCCAACACATTGCCAACCCAAAGTTTCAAAAGACATTTAAATCAATCGAACATCACTTCATTCCCTACACAACCCCATATATGCGATAGTCACACTCGTGAAATCAAACCAAAGCAAAATTTGTTTGTCTTTTATATGGTTAACCAAGCATTTTTAGGGTCAATCAATGAGCTCAATTAGTTTTTGCCGATGTTAATTTATTTGGGTGCATTTATAGAATCTGGTTCAATAGGTTTAAGCTTTTAGTCTTTGTATTTAGTGTACACTAAATTATTTAGATAAAAAGTTAACAACGAAATTCATATTTCATTGCTCTTGATTTTGACTTGATAATATGATCTTCAGACTTGAATCATCTTGATTCTAAATAAGATTACCATCTAACCCATTCTTGAGTCTTAATGGAACTCGATTCATACCTATTTAGATCCTCGTGTAGTTTCAAAAAGGCAATAATAACAACAAACCCATTCGAGTGACAACCCATCCTAACCTTGAACCAGACTTGAATCATGCACGATCCCCTCGAATCAACATCTACCTGATCTCAGACTCTTTACATGCTTGTCTTACTCCCGCCTCCAACCCATAGCTTATCCTAACCCCCACTCGAAAAAGAGTAAACGGTAAATAGAACTAAATCAGTCTCACAATCTTTTCAATCTCAAAACTAAATATTTGGGGTATTATATCATAGTCCACCATTTTCCAAACTTTTTTTTTAATTTGTTGAACGAACAGTTAAAACACAATTACATCGATTAAAATACAAGGACCCTCACAATATTTCTTTCTTTTTTACTTACAAATCTTCCCCATATCCAAACACACATTCTTTTATATCTCCCATTTAGTTATAATAAATCCACGGACAAAAAGAATAAAATTTAATAACTAGACACACACATATATAAACCCATCTCTTTCAACCCTCTCTCTCTCTCACTGTCCATATACTTATCAAAATTCAATTCATTTGCAACTCATCATCTCTACAAAACTATCGCCTTCTTCCTTCCCTTTCCCTTCCCCTGCGATCACCCTTACATTCCGCTCACCCTTATAACTCGCCTCTTCCTTCGATCTCCGGCCAGACGAAATCTACTCTTTCCCCACAATCCTGGATATTCCCTCCCTTTGTACCCTTCTCCTCCCAAAAACCAAATATCTAAATTTACACCACCCCTTTCCCCTCTATATAAACCTGGTAAATGCCCCTTTTCTCTACCGTCACCAAAACAGGACGACACAGAGAAAAACAGGGCGACAACAAAACATCCACCACATTCTGAGTTCGAAAAAACATTTTTTTTTATCACACACAACATTTCCTTAACAAAATGGAGGACAATTACCTGAGGGAAATGGAAGGCAAGCAAGTCCACGACCCATTCTACCACCGCAACCACAACAACAACAATAACAAAAAAATCTCCTGCTCGCCGCCGCCGCGGAGGCAGGAGATCGTGATGGGCCCGGTGATCGTCGGAGCAGGCCCATCGGGCCTCGCGACGGCGGCCTGCCTAAAAGAAAAGGGGATCCCCAGCGTGATCCTCGAGCGGACCAGCTGCATCGCTTCCCTATGGAAGCACCGAACCTACGACCGGCTCTGCCTCCACCTCCCCAAGCAATTCTGCGAGCTCCCGGGCCTGCCTTTCCCGGCCCACTACCCGGAATACCCGACCCGGGCCCAATTCGTCGACTACCTCGAATCCTACGTGTCGAAATTCGGGCTGCGGCCGAGGTTTGACGAGGCGGTGGAGAGCGCGGAGTACGACGAGGACGCCGGGATGTGGCGGGTGGCGACGGCGGCGAATGCGGAGTATCTTTGCCGGTGGCTGGTGGTGGCGACGGGGGAGAATGCGGAGGCGGCGGTGCCGGAGATCGAGGGGATTGGGGAGTTCGTCGGGGAAGTGAAGCATTCGAGTTTGTACAAGTGTGGAGAGGAGTATAAGGGGAAGAAGGTTCTGGTGGTTGGGTGTGGGAATTCGGGGATGGAGGTGTGTTTGGATCTCGCCAATTTCGGTGCTTGTCCTTCTCTTGTCGTCCGTGATACCGTAAGCACCCTTTGCCAAACACTTCCTTAAGTCACAAAAACAAAAAACAAAAAAAACAAAAAAACAAAAAAATTCCTCCCATGTTTTTCTTCTTCTTAGCAATTTCGTTTCAAATGATTAAAGAGTCTGATGGTGGATATCGTTGAATCGTACAGATTTCGTGAATTGTTATGTGGGCGTAATGGCATTTCTATAAATAATGTCAATGCGGGTAATTGAAGATTGAATTTTGCGGATTGTATAATTCAACGATGTCATTTCGTACCAACATGAGTATCGGCATGTTTGCAAAATTCGTGTGTCGGGGACTTAAAAGAGGGTAGATTTTTTTTTCCCTTTTGTTTTCAAGAACCAAAAGGCTAAAGTTAAGTAAGGTTTAATTGGGTATTTTAGAAAAAAGGGAAAGCGAGGCATCAAATGATGAGTTTTGGGGGGGCTTTTTTTAGTGTGTTTGGCTTGTTTTATTGGTATGTGTCTGAACCTTAAAAACCTAAACAATGGAGGAAAGCTGCTTTTTCCCTAAAACTGATATTTATTTTGTAGTCCAATGTGGAACTGATTCGTGCAGAAAAGAATGGTCTTTTTATAACTACAACAACTTTTATGACACAAAGCTTGGATTTAACAAATCCATGGTTTTTTTCAAAATCCTTCTTTAATTATCAGCTTTGGAAGAGTAGAGTACTATATATCTACTACCTAACTTCTGAAACCATTTGAATATTATTGAGTACTCTCTTTCTTGGGATTCTCAAGCATGCGCATAATGCTATATATACATGTGTTTCAGAATCTCATTTCTATATATGTAATCTAGCCATCAACTACTATCCCTACATACATAAACAAACCATATATAACTCATCATATTGGGTGACAAGTCTGCATTAACGATATCGTTCAATTGTCGATTACATACATTATATATTTTTTTATGTCAATATCATATCGTTTTTGTTTTTGTAAAACGACGCAATTACATCGATTTAACGACGGAAAAATACACGAGATCATTCAACGACATCAACACGAACGGATTAGGATGTACGGAATGGGGAGTGGGTAGTGAGTGATGGCCTGAAAGCAGTTCAGCCCATACATGCAACTCATGATAAAGAGAGAGCCTTTTTTAGGGTTTTGTTTTTGTTTATGGTTTTTGGAAGTAGCTAATGGATGGTGTGATGATTGATATGATCAGGTGCATGTTCTTCCACGAGAGATGCTAGGGAAGTCGACTTTCGGCCTGTCCATGTGGTTGATGAAGTGGCTGCCCATACGCCTGGTGGACCGGTTGCTACTGTTCGGGTCCTGGTTCGCCCTCGGGGATACCAGCCGGTTCGGTCTGGGTCGCCCGAGCTTGGGCCCCCTGGAGCTCAAGACCGTCCATGGAAAGACCCCTGTTCTTGATGTTGGAACATTGGCCAAGATTCGAAGTGGCCAAATTCAGGTACGCAATCATGCATGTTTCCATTTCTCTCATATTGTATATTATCTTTTTGTTTCTTTTTGAAAAAAGGTCTATTTTTGGTGAAGAAAATATATTTCTTAATAGTAAATAATTCACGATCACATAAAATTATAAAATTAAAATAAGCATACTATCACAAAACTCGGATCCCAAAAGCATACCAAACCCTTTATTCGCAAGACCGTGTTATAACTAATTACTCGACAAATCTATGACACCCGTTTAATTTTCTCTCCCTGATTTTGTTCTCTACATTACAGGTTCTCCCAGGGATCGAGAGGGTTCGAAGGCATACGGTTGAGTTCGTTGATGATAGAATAGAGAAGTTCGACGCTATCCTCTTGGCGACCGGTTACAAGAGCAATGTGCCATCTTGGTTGAAGGAAGGGGAGATGTTCTCAGAGAAAAATGGGTTCCCAAGAAGGCCATTCCCACATACTTGGAAAGGAGAGTTTGGGCTATATGCAGCAGGGTTTGCCAAACGTGGGTTAATGGGAGCTGCCATGGATGCCCAGAAAATTGCTCAGGATATTGAAAAGTGTTGGTTTATTGACACTGAACCCAAATTAAAGACCAACCCTAATAATTCCATGCCCTTCACTAGGTCACCCATTTCTTTCTTCCCCAAAACTACTACTTCACAGTGATCAATTTTTCTCTCCAACAAACAAATTTTTTTGCCCTTTCCCAATAACAACACTCTCATCACAAAACAAATGTAAAGAGAAGAAGAAAAAAATTGGATGAGAGATTCAACAATTTTGATCCAGAAATTTTAGATTTTAGGGTTAGCTCTAGCTAGTGAGCTAATTGGTTTGCCCCATTTGAGAAGGCAACAAGGGATAAGGACTTTAGAAAAGAGTAATTAATTAGCCTTTATCTGTTAGGTTTTGTTTTTCCTTTTATTTTTCGAATTTTATGATGAGCAAGTGAAGAATAGAGACAGCCAGGCAACCAACCAGCAATTTGGGGATTTATGGCACATTTGAGGGGGAGGCTGAAATGAGATGGATAGGGTTGAGGGGACCTTCAATTCTTTACTATAGATTTTGGTACCATTTCTTTGCTGTAAATTCCTCAATTTTCTTTATGTAGCATTATTATTATTATTTTAAATAATAAAAAGTGTTTTGAGATAAAATGATGGGTGATCTCCAGAAGCAACGAAATTATCGATGTGATGTTGTGTGATTATTTTGATGCATCTCACAATAAGTCTGACACGTTAGTCTCACGAAGGTATATTTTCTTGTAGTGCTTGAATAAAAGATGAAGACTTTTCGTTGAATTTCGAGGAGGGAAATTGTGGGAGATGAGAGAGGTAGCTAGGATAGAGATGATGGGTAGGTTGTTTTGTGCTTTTGCTTGCTTGCTCTAATGATGAGAATTAGTGTCCTTTGATTAACTATTCTTTTCTTATAGGAGATGGTTTAGTTGTGAGAGATTGCACATTGATTAGGGAGATATACAGCACTGATTAGAGATGCTCGAAGAGAGCTTTTTGTCTCCAACTTTTTCTTTGGTGAATGTTTTCTCTAATCTTAAGCACTGTGCTTCATTGATCTCAATGAAAATCGCTTTCATCTGCTCTCTTTATCCTCTTGTATGATGATTTTCCCCAAATTAAACCCACTCTATTAATTTTATTACTAATCAAGAGATTAAATAAATAACATCTCATTATCATACTTTAATCTTAATTAATTAATATATTACTTATCATTGATTAGAAGGGACAATAATGTTCGCTTGTTGGGAGAGTCGTCTGCCTAGCTGTTCTTACACAGTTCACGTAATGTACGACATGGCAAACTCGTAACTCCTACCAATGAATTAGTGAATGTTGGAGTATTCATAATGTCAAACGATGAGGATAAATGTGTAGTTGTGAATTGAACTACTCACGTAGTTACACAGATCCCAACCGTCTGTTTCCTCCTGTAAGTATTTTGTCATCTCCGTCATAAAGAATAACTGCATCGCTCTTCTCGTCTTCTACATATAAAATATTTCACACAAACTAAATTGTTTTACATGTCGTATGTCTGTTCAATTTCGTACAAAGAAACCAACGTTCACTTCAAAACACCCATACCCACCCAGACAAACAAATACGCTCTATTTAAATCCCATCCATTCCTTTGAAATACATGATTGACAAGAGAAACCTAACAAGAAAATCAAGGAATTGAAGAAGGTTCGTTGGTGGGAATCCGAGAATGGAGAAGTGGTAGGGTAAGTCGTCCTGCAACTATAATAATGATGATCAAATAAAATTCTGCCTTGGAATCTTTGGCTTCTGAAATGATCATCATGAGACCATAGATATGAATGATGAACAAATATGAGAGGCAGAGGTATCACCATCCACAATTCAACGTTCAACATTTTTATCAGAGATACATATATGGGCTGTTATAAATAAAAAAAAACGATATTTATAGGCTGGCAATTTTCTGACCAAGAAATGATAAGGGAGCAATCCTGCAGCAGGTTCTTCCCTCTTCTTCTTCTTCTTCTTCTGCCTGATAATGAGTAGCACATTGAAAGCCGATCGATCGAGTTAGGGCAATTGGGCATCCAGTCCAGGGACACTTTCTGTCTTGTCTTGTTTTACCGCTTTTGTTCCAATAAGGATACATCAGTAGTGCCGATGTATATGCAAACACTCAGAAGTTCACTATTTGTCTTGTCAACTAGGGATGGCAAAAATATCCGTAACCATGGATATCCGCCAGAACCCGGCCTAATCGGGTAGGGTAAAATCCGAACCCGAAGGACATTTAGTGGGTATGGGTAAAACCCGAACCCGAATATTACGGGTAATGGGTGGGCATGGGTTTCTCACTATCCAACCCGAACCCGTCCGATTATTCACATACATATGTATTTTGTCTAGAAATAATCATTATTTTTCTCTAAGATATTTTATATTTAGCATATAAATATAATATTTTCATAAAATTGTGTTGTTTTAATTAATTTTCTTCATTCTAGTGAATTATTGTCATACTTTTCCTCTTACGTAATGTGAGAATACGTGTGAATGTTAACATACTGGTTAGAGTTATGAAGATAAATCATTACCCATGGATAACCGTGGATAACCGAAACCCGAGCGGGTATGGGCATGGTTTTAATTTTCTACCCATTTCACATGTGGGTATGGGTATAGGTAAAACCCGAACTACTTTGGGTAGGGTAACGGATATGCACTATCCGTCCCCGACCCGACCCATTGCCATCCCTATTGTCAACACATGATTAAGTCGAGGATTTTATATAATAGTTTACTTTAATTGGGTTTGAAACAATGGGTTCCTCGTAGTCGAGGATCATATATAGTAGTTGAAGTTTACTTTAATTGGGTTCGAAACAATGAATTTCTCGTAGTCGAGGATCATATATATGGAGAATCACCAACCGTGCATACCAGCATCAGCGTTCGCCAACAATGTTGATTACTTTCTGTGTGTTTCGTTGTTTACGCAAATACCAACAGAGTTGATTCAATGATCAAGAGATCTTACATATAAATGAACATTAATACACGTTGATCGCATTCCAAGTATAATATTCGGATTCTGAGAATCACAATGCACTTCCAACTAGCTAACTTGGTCGGGTGGCAAAATCGATCTAAGTAACAATGTGGATTGGAGTAGTGATTCTACTTTTATGGAAGTTTTAGGTTTTGCTTGTTTTGTTGCATCATGCATGACCCTTAGAATATAGGTCTAAGAACATTGGGCCACATCCCTTTGTTACTATCGACCGTCCTTTAATTTTGTAATTATTATACTTCACTTTCCTTTTCCTCCATCATTAGGTCAGGTCCAAATACGATGTCCTCCTAACCTAACTGACCTTTCGGCCGTTTGTTGATCGACTAATTATCGAGCTTCCTTTTTTGGTTACCCTTTAATGCAGCCTTAAGGTAACCAAACCCTACCCTATTGTAACCAAACCTTTTGTGTGATCCTACCAAAGGCTCTTTCGATCTACTTTGAGCTTAAATTAAGTACTTTGCCTTTCTTTTTATACTTCCAAACTCCCCATTCTATCTTTGTCATCATGCTTTAATTCCAACCCAAAAATAAAGGTTGATTAAGTGCAATTCATATAATCATTAGTATGATCAAGTAATCATTTTGGATATGACATGCAACAACCGCAATGTATGTGACTATAAGAGTCTGCCCAATACTTTGTAGTACCCCTTGATAGGGTGTGTAACGATTCGGTCTACACCGGGTCAAATTGTATCGAATGGAATCATATCAAATATATTTCAATTTGATTCCCATTATACAAATTACTTTAAGTTAAGTTAAGTATGAAATAAAAGTGCACCAAAATTGTACTTGGACCAGATCAAAGTTGAACCATATGAAACAAGCATACTTTTGATTGGATTCTGGTCCTCAACTTTTATTTGATTTTGGTCCGGTCTTATCTCGATTTGATCCAATTTTAGACAGTATCAATTGACCTCCACCCCTTGATGCATGCTATTAATTATCCATGAAAACGAGTAAGTTGTATTATAGTAAAAAAAAAATAGCAACGACAACTATATTGTTATTAGACTATTTTAGTTACGATATACAAAAATTAAGTAATTAGATTCTTGGAATCCTTTGATAGGGTATAGAGAAGGGTACACGTCTCTTCCAAGAAATTAAGTTATTGGAATGACTTATTAGTTGTAAACATGATAGGACGAGTTATACTGATTTATCAAGATGTCGTTGTCATAATATTTTCTAAACATCACTGTAATGTTGAACTTAAGCACACGATATTCCGAGAACGTGCAAATTGAATAGGGGTATTGCTGAAGGACCGCTTACACAAATGGTACGACATTGGCCTCTTAAATATGGGGTATATATGTAGTTTTCCCCTCCTCTTGGTCTTGGTACAACTCATTGAGGCATGGCAATTTAAGAAGCTAGGGAGTGGTCCTTAACAAGGTGAATTATCATCCACAAGCTATTGATAGCTATAGAGAGAAGTCGCAATTTGTTCAACTTCCTTCTTCTTCTCTCTTTCAATTTGGACTATAAGTTCTTTCGTTATCATAAGTTTTGGTACACATAATGCATGCATGGTGCATGCAAATGCTGACTTAGCTGCCTTTACAGGATTAATTGGGCACCAAAGTGTTCTGTGATTGCTCAACCTCGTGAAAGCTCTCTCCTGCCCTTATTATTTTGGCCAAATTGAAAAGAGATTATCAACTCTCAAGCTTAACCATTATCGTTCTTTCTCACGTCTGATTGGGGCTGGAAAAAATTGATAAGATCGTTAGAAATTTTCTGACCAAACAGGATCACACAGATTCATTTGACTATAGACCATTAAGAATAATTTGGTCTGATCCATGATTTATATATTATGAGATGTTTTAATCTCTTGATTCGGTCTGGTCCAAGCCGTAGTATATCATATCAGACTGTGGATCCAACCAACCTCACAATTCGTGTTAACAGCCTACTCAATCATTCTCCCCAGTCCTCTCAACAATATCCAATTCTTAACCTTAATTATGCAAATATCTTGCCCCTCATTCATTCATTCATTATTCACACTCCACAGGAGAACAGAGACCGTGGCATCTCCATATCGAATTATGTTAACGTTGTATGACGTTATAGTAGAAGTTGGGTTGCTCTGTTTTTTTTTTCTTTGTCATTCAATTGGATTTACGATATCAAAGTTATGCATGCGTGCTAGAATTTATGTTTAAAGACAAAAAAAAAATATCTCAATTATTGGTTCAATTTTTTTTTTTGTCTTGAATATGTATGGTCTGTATAATGTAGTATTTAGTTGGCCCTGACTTGTATGACAATCTCTCGATCTATACCATAAATCGTATCCCGATCCAACCCTCTCCTTCCAACTGTCGCCCCAATATCAATCTCACCATGGAATCACTAAATTCGTTGTAAATAGAACACTATCGATCTATTGAGTAGATCAACAATATCCGAAATCTCATTTCAGGACCATGCATCTGATCTGATCCAATCTGATGGTGCTAGAAATGCTGCTGCAACTACCCTTCTGCAATCGCCTCTCTGGTTTCTTAATTACCCTATATATGATTCATTATTGGTTTTTCATTGTGGTCCAATAAATCGAGGGGGCAATGCACAGTATGTATATATTGATTGCACCTCTTAACGGTTTTGATATTTACAGGTAATAATATAATATAATGGACCATTTTATATCTTTCTGGGCTCTTTTTATTTTATATCAAAGGGCAAGTAATGGGGACTGCCGTCAGAAGTCAACATCTGTGCGTGGCTGAATCAGAGGGTGAAGGTGAAGATTCACTCCTAACTTGGTCAGCATAGCCAATGACTGTGATTGACTTATGCTTTCGTTGTCAAATATGTGGTGATTGGATGTTAATTATTGGACTGTTTGTTTTGTCATATCTGAATTCTTTCTTCTTCTAATCAATAAAATAATTAAAACAGATTTAATTTCGTTGATGAGTCACAGAAAAAGCCATAGAGTTGTTTACCAATATTTGTGATACTATCTATATATGTATTAATAGATCTTATTGATGGGAGATTGCATATTGGTGAGTAGGACAACATAGTTTGATTTTGATCATCATTTATTTGTAACTCATTTATAAAATTTTATTGAGTTTGGTATACATCATTAATCGAACTAAGCCAAATCGTAGGAGCTGGAACTTGATATACATCAACAATCAATTATCACAACAGACGTTAAATCGTCAAAGTTCAAGGGTATAAAAGTTATGTTTCGTAGTTCAGGGACTCATTTGTCAAAGGGACATAGTCCAAGGGCTCAAACAGCTATTGACCCTATTTTGTAAACTAAAACAGTCGGTTGGTCCCTTCAGGCTTCAGCACACCATGCATCTATTAACCATTTCCTTCTCCTTTGCGGATTACTCATACTCCAAAGAATCACAATCACGGATCATGATCACCTTCTCCACCTTGGACATCCGAACAATCACCTCCGGCAACTTCCTCAACTTCGTGCAGCCGTCGAGCCGCAATGATCGAAGCCCGGGCATGAACAGCAACCCTCCTCCTTCTTCCCCATCATCGCCATCTCCATTAATCTCCTCCCACTCTTCCCACTCTGGGAAATCGATAAACCCAAGTTTCGTTAGCCTCGGAAACAACACCACCTTCTTGCTACTACTCCCTGTAAACTCAGAGCCAACCTTCTTCACACTAGGGAAGTTCCTCAAAATCAGAGCTTCTAGGCAGGGGAGCTTCCCTAAACATGGCAGTTCCACACAGTTGATGAAATCGGACAGCTTAATCTTCGTCACAAACTTCATTGACTCCATCCAACTAGGTGACATTGGCGCAGAACCTTGGTAGAACTCCACCCCTAAGTAGTCCAAATTCGGTGGTGGTCGTAACGCTTCGATCACCTTCTCATCCTCTGCCTCCCTTCTCTGCTGCTGATCACCATCGTTTCGCTCTTCTTTATCGACACTAAATCGGAGCGAGAGAACGGTTAGTTTAGTTTTCTTGTCCAGTTCAGCATGCTCAGCTTCCTCAACATGTTCTGACGATCCTCCCAGCCAGATTATGGTCAGGCTGTCTTGAAGCCGGTTCAGCTGTCGTAAATCCTTGAGAGAAGCTGCTGATGACTCTGTACCATTCTCACGATGATTGTCGCGCCCCAATCTCAACTCGAGCAGCGTCTTCAGGCCTTGCAGTTTCCCGATCCCTTTAGGTATCAGCCCCCAGACTTGGGAGTTCGATAGGTGCGTCAAGTTGACTAGCTTCTCCATCCCGTTCGGCCACCTTTCCAGGCTTGTGCAGAAGTTCACGTCCAGAGTTTGCAGGTTGTAGAGGTCGGACAATGCGTCGGGGAGCTCTCTCAGGAAGTCATTGTAGGACAAGTCCAACATCCTCAAGTGGATCAGCTTGTGTATTCCGGATGGAAGCTCTTCGATCCAGCAATCGCGGAGATCCAGCAATCTTAGAGAAGTCAGTCGAGACAACAACTCGGTGTCCATGTCTTCAAAGACGTAGCCCCAGCGTGGAAGAAACAGAAGGCTGCGCAGACCTCGCATCGAGCAAATCGATTCGAATGGCAGGCCATATACTGCTGATAGATGTCGCACCTTCACCTCGGTCAAGTTTGAACCATCAATTTGATCGGTTCCCATGCTGTAACATTCGTTGCTCGAGGCGAACTGTGCGAAATCATGTACCAAATCGTGCATCTTGAACCCCACCCGGCTGCCACATTGATCTCTCACTGTCTGAAAATCTTGGAAGAAGGAGCGTATGACTAAGCTCTCGAAGTACTGTTCTCCAGTTCGTTCCAATTCATCTGTGTCGTTGCTGCTAGTGCTGCAGCCTGGCACGACGAGGTAACCTTGAGCCATCCACAACTTGATCAACTTGTCCTTCTCGATCACGAAGTTCTTGGGGAAAACTGAACAGTAGGAGAAACATTGTCTCAGTTGTGGTGTGAGATCGTAATAGCTCAACCACAGAGGAGCAAACAGATCCTTTTCCTTGCTCAGCTTCAGTTCCCACACTTTGCTATCCAACACATTCTGCCACTGCATTCTACCGCCCTTCTTCGACCTCAGCAGACCTCCCAACGCTTTAGCAGAAAGAGGAATGCCGCAACATTTCTGCCTCACTACTTCTACCCCAATGTCCTTCACCATCTCCACATCCCTCTCACCCCATCCCATGAACGCAAACCGACTGAAAATCGCGAAGCACGCCTCATCCGACAGCACTCCTAGCCGGATCACGCGAGGTTCCCCTCCTACACCGCAACCAAGAGCATTGGCAACATTCTGATTCCGCGTAGTAACCAGAACTCGACTTCCATACCGCGCACCGCTCAAGGCTCCCATCAGTAGCTCCTGCCACTTCTCTGGATCTTCCTCCCAACAATCATCCAGCACCAGGAACAGCTTGATCATCCCCGCAGCAAGACGACCGTGTATCCTCTCCAACACCTGACCGAACGACAGATCGTTATGGTACGGATCGACACTGCCATCATCAGACAAAGACACCAGGATCTCCTTTGCAATACGCAGCCGATCAAAAGGCTGGGAAACACACAACCAGATGCTTCTATCAAAATAGCTCTTCACCTCGCCATACACCGATTTCGCGAGGGTCGTCTTCCCCAAACCCCCCATTCCAATCAAGGAAACCACCTGCAGATTTCTCCGATTATCATCACCATCATCATCCGTCGTCTGGTCACCCAGCAGCACGGCTTCGAGCAGCTGATCCAACTCCGCGTCTCTCCCTTCCATCACCGTATCCATTAGAGAGCTAGTCAACTCTCTCGACGGAGCATCAGCACTACTACTACCGCTAGCAACCTCACTGCTAATTTCGAAAGTGAAGGTCTCCTTATCATTCGAGATATCATCAATCCTCTCCCTAATTCGCTTAATTCTGCTAGCGATATCGTACCGCAAGCAGATATCATTCACGGGGAAGAAGCAACAGGAAGCGGGATTGAAGAAGGGGCATACTCTGATTTGGAAGCTGGAGATCTGATACAGTGCGGTCTCGAACCAGTTGGGATCGACATTTGACTCCTCTGTGGCCTCTTGGAGCTGGCGGCGGAGAATGGCGGTGCGCCACTCGTCGAGGACGTCGACCATGTCGTAGGAGGCGTCCTTGAGGTTGTGGATCCAGAGCTTGACTGTTTCCTGGGTCAGCTGCTTCTGCTCAGCGTCGGCGAGCAGGGCCTGTATGGCGGTCAACGTGTTGGTTAGCTTCTTGACATCTCCCTCCGCGCCTATGACGAGCCTGGCGCGCTGCTTCAGCTCGTCGACGAGGATCGGGGCGAGCTGCTGGATCGCCATGGAAACGATCCCGGCCATGGTGTTTTGGGGATGGTTTTTCTAGCGTAATAGGGACGCCGATGATCTTAGTAGATTAATTCCGAGCAGGATCTGCGTTGACTATATTGGGACGGGAGAAGAAGACAATCAAATGATCCAGTGACAAAAGGCGTTCGCAAGAACTTATACTTGATACGTGTCCCATTGTAATAGGCTAATGAGTACGTCAACGATCAATTCATAGCATGGGCCGGTTCTGTGAGGCCCTGTGAAATGATATCTTGGGCTTGTCGTTGAAATGCCAAACTGAGTTCCTCAAAAATCCATTTAAACTGGGCTATTTGCTCGCAACCCAATCAAGGCCCAAAACCAGGTCATTGACCATCAAGCCCAAAATATGAACGCCCAATGTGAACGTTTGCCCTTGCATCTTCAACTCGAACACAGGGCAAACGGCGGGAAGATGGTTTCGAAAAATTCGTTCTCGAGCAAAGGAATGTAGCCGCTCGACTCATGTATCCATGATCTAGGCTGTTGGCACTTCGATTCTCAAAGGTCGCCTGCAGACCATTGAGCGTGACTGAACTACTACTATACACAACAATACTTGGTAGCATGAATTCAATACGCCCTTAATGTATTCAAATTTATCGGTACGCGAATACTTGGTAGCATGAATTCAATACTCAAAAGCAATGAGTTTGTTGAAACTTGAGAAGAAAATCAGCTTATAATTCAACCACGAAACAATCATCATCATCATCATCGTGCCTAAGTAAAAAGAACAGCAAAAATAGGGAACAACGAGTGACGATGATACCAACACTTGAAAGCCACTGGTTCTCTAATTTAGTTTCTCGACATCAGAAAGTGCCATGATTTCATATGATCATCCACTAGTATCGAACATAGATTTTGATCCCAAAACTTTGGCAGTTCATAAAAGAGCTGTCATTCAGACAAACTAAAAACTGCAGAATGAACAGAGAAAGACTTGGAGTTTTAGGAGGAGGCAGCCGCAGTTCCTTTAGACCTTGGTGCTGCTTCCGTACCTACAATATGAATCACAGTGTTGCCAACCATGGACCGATCATTCTACGATTTGATACCGAAAATTTCATGGCAACCCTAGTTCTGAGAAGCTGGCTAAGCTAAAAGGTGAGTTGTGGATTGCTTTGCTTACCTTCTCTGAAATTGGTCTTGAAGCGTCGAGGCACATTGCGTAGATATCTCATCCTGCCCGTCCCTGTTGTCTTCCTGCGGATCGCTTTCTCGCTCCAGTTATCTGAAAAGCGCACACATCCATGGCCAAATGAGCGTAAGGCAACTAATCTCAATTTCAATTCAACTCAATTCACTAACAAGAACAAAAGAAAACAGAGAAAACAAGGAGGTATCAGGCCTTGAGGACACGCCGGTTGGTTGGGTCTGTTCCTTGAGGACTTCACTAAAATAGGGTGGGATTGGAACTCGAAGCGCAGAAAGGAGGTATCAGGCCGCACCATTCTGATTGAAAGATTCCGTTTGAGAGGAGTTGCTTTCCTCAAAGTCATAGAAACGACAAGGCAGGGGAGGTTCTTCATTACTCTTCCGACGTCGACGACTGGTTGGGAGAGTTTGATTAAATGCCTTCGGGAACCTGTACAAGTTAAGAGTCCGGTTCGGAAGATCATCAAGAGAAATGCGTGGGTGTCCTCGGATAAATCTTATGCTGACGCGGTCAAAGATGGATGCCCCACTGAGGAAGGCGCTGCCAGGATCAGCTCTCGTGGGCAGGTCAAGTACATCGATGTGAAGGAAGATGGAGTTGCAGAAAGACTGCGTGTTCTGGATAGATGCCTGACGTTGGAATTCTTCGATACTCGCAACACTGGCTTACCAATCGCGCTTTCTAAGGATTTTGTTTTCTGGGCCCGGAGGAATTGGAACCTCACCCCGGACTTTCATTTCTCCACCAGATCGGGAGATTGCTGGATGCTAATTTGCCCCTCCCGCCGCGAAGCCATTAGAGTCCAGAGCCTCGGTTACAAGAAGTATAGAGGTTGGAACGTTGTCACCAGATATTGGAAGGAAGAAGCTGGCAGAAGTTACGGCTCCCCGGGTGACCTCAAGTGGATTTTCGCTTTCGGAGTTCCTCCTCACCTTAGATCCAAAGCTGTTATTGTGAAAATAGGGGAGATGGTGGGTGAATTCCTTGATTACGAGATGGGTGATTGGTGTGATCCCTGCATCAGAATTAAAGTGCGCCTAAATCCAGATGCCCCGGATAGGATTCCCATTATGTTCGGAACCACCTTGTTCGTGGTAAAAATTTTGATTTCGCCGGCGGCGGATCACCCGGCGGTTGACATAAAGAGTTTCCGGCAGATCGCTAGGAAGGTGAGGAGCTGGGAAGGTTCTAGGGCCCGCATCGCTGTATCTCATCATGCTTCTTTCGAGGAACGGCCGTTACCGGGTCTCGAGACAAGGGAGCTGAGAAGTCAGTCTAAGGGCAACGTGCATGGAAATGTAGAAGGTGGACCCCTGCTTACCCCATTGTCGACTGATTCTGTGAAAAGAGTCTGGATCCGCAAATTTGGGCCGAGCCCGAAACCTGTTTATCCAAGCCCATGCAGGAGCGAGACCCCCAGTAACCCTGGCCCATTCACCCTAGAACCGACCAAAGATAGTCAACCCTCCCCTAATCATGTGGTCTCGCTTCCTCCTCCCCCTCCTCCTATCCCCAATCCTAACCTGATCCTCACCCAACCCCAAAAGTTCCATTTCCAGTTAGTCCTCGATTCAGCCATTTCAACCTTCCTAAACTTTATCCCGAGAACCTTTGCGACCACTTCCCTTGTTGGCCCCTACTCACCACCTCCTTCCTTCCAATCCCCCCTCCTGAATTTTGAATTCCTACCTTTGACCGAAAACCGCTCACCTTTCTCCTTTAACCAACTTCAGCCTACTCTTGATCCCCTAGAACCCTTTGAGACTCCCCCTTCTCCTCCCCCTTTCTCCCCTGCGGAGGAAGAGCCAAATAACCAGGCTATTATCCCCTTCAATCCGATCGTCCCGGAGCACATCTCAGAGTTGCAGGATCAGGCTGACCAGGAAGAGATTATCAGACGAACCATCGAAGTAAGTAGGCTACTGGATCTTCAGGTAGCCGAGTCTGCTAGTGTGGCTGAAGAGAAAGTTGCGGCGATTGCTTCGGAAATTTGTAACAACAGGCGAAGGAAGAAAAGAACCAAATTGGAAATGGAGAAGCATAGACTGGGAATTGTTGAAGAAACCCCCTGTAGGTCAAGCAATAGAGACAATTCTGGAAAGGGTGGTTATGCTTACCCGAAAAGTTCTGCCCAGAGCAATCCTCTTTAATGATCCATTCAGTTATCGCATGGAACGTTAGGGGTTTGTGTAACCCTACCAAAAGGGCAAAAATCAAGCGGATCCTTCGGAGGAAAAGGCCGACGATAGTTGGGCTGATAGAGACCAAATGGAGGAGCTGCGATCAGAATCTTATCTTCTCAATCAGTGGCAGTAGGTCTGTGGACTGGGTGGCTAAAGACTCGATTGGGGCTAGCGGAGGTATTGCTATATTCTGGGATAAGAATCTGTATGAATCACTTTCGGTATGGGAAGGTAGTTTCTCTCTTGCGATCAGGTTGAAAATTATCGAGTCCGGGAAGATTGTCTCTTTCCTGTTTGTCTATGGCCCTCAAGAGAAGAATGACAAAATCCAGTTCCTGAAGGAATTGGAGTTTGTTTGTCAAAATTATCTGGCTGCTCTCTGCATTATTGGTGATTTTAACCTTGTCAGGTCTGATAATGATTTTGTGGGGAATCCTAGAAGTTCGGAGCTCATAGAAGAATTTAACAGATTCATTAGTTCTTTCAATCTCGTGGACCTCCCTCTCCAAGGCTCTCAGTTCACTTGGAGCAGAGGGGGCTTGGAGAACTTGCTCTCTCGTATTGATAGAGCTCTTATTAATGTGAGCTTTGAAGAGGATTTCGGACCTGATGCTCTTTCTGCCTTGGAAAGAGTTGAGTCCGATCATAATCCAATTCTTTTGCAGTGGGGATCAAAGGAAAACTACCGACATCCGTGGCGCTTTGAAAATATGTGGCTTGCAGAAGAGAGCTTTTTTCAAGGATTGGTGGGTTGGTGGAGTGTGCCCGTTTCAGGGACGAGCCATCTGGTCAGGTTTGGTCAGAAAGGGAAACAAGCTAAATTCCTCATCAAGCAATGGAACAAAGATCACTTTGGGAAAGTGGACAGAAAGATTGCAGATCTTTTGGCTAATATCAATGCTATTAATTCCAGGGAAGAAGCTGGATCTATGAATGAAAATCTGGTAGTGGAGAGAGATCTCCTGAAGTGCGAGCTCGAAAGAATGTTGCTGCTGGATGAGATTGCCTGGCGGCAGAAGTCCCGCGAACTGTGGCTTGCTGTTGGGGATAAAAATTCGGGCTTTTTCCACAGAATGGCTAGTCATAACAGGAGGAAAAACAGAGTAAAGAGGCTGAAAATTGATGGCTGCGTTACTGAGGATGAGAGTGTGATTAAGGCTGCATTCCTTGAGTCTTTCAATTCTAAGTTTACTGAAGAAGAGGCTAACAGGCCTTTTCCTAATAATTACAGGCCTCTTTTACTCTTGGAGGAGGAGAATGCGGTTCTCGCAAGACCCTTCACGGAAGCGGAGATCTGGGAGGCCATTCGCAGATGTAATGGCGATAAATCGCCAGGTCCTGACGGCTATACTCTGGAGTTTTTCAAAAAAGGCTGGGGTGTCATTAAAACTGATCTTCTAAAGGCGATGGACGACTTTTATCTCTCTGGATCTCTACCTCACGCAATTGCTCACTCCTTTATTTGCCTCATCCCCAAAAGAGAAGCCTTCGAAGATGTTTCGGACTTCAGACCTATAAGCTTGCTTGGCAGCTTGAACAAGATTATTTCCAAGGTTCTTTTCAACCGGTTTCAGCCCTTCATTAATAAAATTATCTCCAGAAATCAATTCGGAGGGAAAAAGGGGCGCGTGATTCACGAAGCTAGTCTCATAGCCAATGAAATCATCGACAGTCGGAGAAGAAGCGGCAAATCGGGCCTTGTCATTAAACTCGACATTGAAAAGGCCTTTGACTCTATAAGCTGGAGTTGTATTCTTAACGCGCTGAATAGCATAAATCTTCACCAAAGGGTACAGAAGTGGATTAGGGGTATTATTGCATCAACAAAGCTTTCCGTGCTGGTGAATGGAGAAGCTGTGGGTTTCTTCGGTATGAGCAGAGGTGTTAAGCAAGGGGACCCCCTCTCACCCTTCCTGTTCAACCTGGGAATGGACATTCTGTCCTATATCTTAAAAAAATCCAATGAGGCTGGTCTTGTTACAGGTTTCTGTGCTGATGAATTGAATCGGCGTGGAGAAGTTACCCACCTTCTGTACGCCGACGATGCCATCATTTTCTGTGAAGACAGCGAAGCTGAGGTGATGAACGTCATGGCCTCTCTTGTTTGCTTTCAGAGCATCACCGGATTAAAAGTTAATCTTCACAAGACTAGGATCTTTCCTGTTGGAGAGGTTCAAAACATCGACAGATATGCTGACCTTTTAGGCTGTGATTGGGAATTCCTCCCCACTGTTTATCTGGGGCTTCCTTTGGGGGCTCACCCGGCCTCTCCGGCAGTCTGGAATCAGGTGATTACTAGAACTCGCAGTAGACTGGATGGTTGGAAGGGGAGATATTTGTCCATGGGTGGGCGAGTGGTTTTGATCAACGCTGTCCTCGCTAGTCAGAGCAGCTACATGAGCTCTCTTTTCCTGGCGCCAATGAACATTGTTAAAACCTTGGAGAAATTACAAAGGGACTTTCTCTGGACAGGGAACCTTGAAAAGGAAAAATATCACCTGATCTCATGGGAGCTTTGCAAGACGGAGAAAAGTAGAGGAGGGTTGGGGATTCGGGATCTGCACATACACAATAAAGCTCTTCTCCTTAAATGGTTGTGGCGTTTCGCTGCTGAGAGACAATGCTGGTGGAGGGAACTTGTTGATCTAAAGTATCCGAATCTGATTTCGGAGTGGTTTTCTGGTCAAGTTCCCGGGTGTATGGGCTGCAGCCCGTGGGCGCAGATTTGCAAACTTAAAAGCATCTTCTGGAAGATGGCACAAGTGGAGCAGGGCTCTGGAACGCAGATCTCCTTCTGGTACGACGTCTGGGCTAAAGGAACTTGTCTGGCTGACGATTACCCCAGGGTGCTGGCTGCTGCGGAGTCTCCGAGTTCCCGAGTTGCAGATTATTTGCGAGGTATTGGTGAGGTAGTCTCTTGGGAAATTCCTCTAAAATTCTTTCTTCGGGGTGGGGCTGAGAGGGAGCGTGTGAGGCTTTTGTGTTGGTTGGAAAATCTTCCTGTGTCTAACTTTGTTGCAGGACAGGCGAGAATAATTTGGCATCCTGCGCCCTCATCCGGATTCACTGTGCGGTCGGCTTTTGAGGAGCTGACGTCCGAGACTTTTGCAGGGTTGGAGGGCTTCCCACACAAGTTCGTGTGGCAGAGTATAATTCCAAGCAAGATCTGTATCTTTCTTTGGATAGTATTCCATAAAAGGATCTTGACGTTGGATAATTTGAAGAAGAGAGGTACTAGTTTGCCGAACAGGTGCTCACTTTGCAAACAGGAAGAGGAAAGCATTAACCACATCTTCGTGAGCTGTAACTTCGCAATGGAGCTGTGGAGTATCCTTAAATTTTTCGTCAATATCGAGGAAGAGGTTTGCAGAGCACCTGATATCACAGATAGGATCAAATTGTGGAAGAGGAACAAGCCGATGGACCCAGCTCAATGGGCTTCAAGAGTGTTTCTCCATGCCTTCTGCTGGATTCTATGGCTCGAGAGAAATGCGAGAGTGTTCGAGGAGGTGGAGGCTTCCCCTCGTGTTGTGGCTTTTAGAATAGGGAGTGTTATTGCTCAATGGCTGAACGCAGCAAAGAAGGTGGATAAAGTGATTTCTGAGTGTTGGTTAAATGTTCTGAAGATGAGGCTGTTCCCCCCCAGGAATTGAGGCCTTTTGCTGCCGCCGTAGTGCGTCTCTGCCGCTGCAATTGTCGATGGTTCTGCCCTATGGCGCCTCTGCTGTTGCAGCTGTGTGTTTCTGTCCTTAGTCCTTTTTTTTCTCTTCCCTTTTCTTTTTGTTCCTTTTTGCTTTTGCACCTTGCGCTGTTGTGCCTTGGTGTCTGTTTTGGGTTCTTTTTTGCTTTCTGTTTTCGTTTGCCTGGTTGTACTTTTCTCCCCTAATTAATTTATATCATCCATATCAAAAAAAAAAAAAGAAAACAAGGAAGCTAGGCTCACATTTTCTGAGGCGGCTGGCGGGGTAAGCGCAAGCGGAGCAGCGACTCTTCTGGAGGTGAAAGCTCCGGCGGCCACATCGGACGCAGAGGGTGTGGGTCTTGTTCCTTCGCTTCCCAAAGCTTCCTGTACCTTTGCCCTAAAGATAAGAAAATAGAAAAAACACCGTCAGGAACCCGATCGAATCACAGTAAGCACTCGCCTTTCCAGGCCGCGAGGAACTGGATCGAGGAGAGAGAGAGCGGAGAAGGGCTTTACCATTTCCTGCTACTTCTTCTGCTTCCGTCGCCGAGAAGAATTCCGTAAGATGTGGTCTCCGGGGATTTTGACGGAGAGACTGCTCGACGTCAATGTAAATTATGAGTAGGGTTTTCGGTCTCTTGTTGGCGGTAGGACTTGCGATGTTGGAGTGGGCTTTCTTACTGGGCCATGTTATGGGCTGAAGAAGAGAATTCTGGGTCCGAAATCATATATACAGTGGGTGGATTAAGCTTGTTGGTAATTTGATCCTGCGAATTAAAGCCCGCCGACATTGGCCGATTGTGCGGGTAATATTCCATCTACATCATATCAAACCAAGGTCAATGTTTGGATCCAATTGCAATCGAAAAAGCATAGGTTAATTAGGCTCATCTTAAAATTTAACAAATATTTATTGAGTATATATATATATATATACTCAATAAATCCTCCTAGTGATAAAAGAAAACACAACGCAAAATCAAGCTAAATCGTGTGCGCTTCTAATATTACTTTGATGCTTTTTTTCAAGTATCAAATCGATTCGATTTTCGACCCGATCAAGTTTTGTTCATCATAAAGAAATTTCTTTCATTACAATTCTTGTTGTTTATATACAAAATTCATACATAAAATCAATAGTTTCACGAAGCATTAAAAAAACTTGACATTAACTTTTAACGCTAGAAATAACACTAGGCACTAAAAATTAGTGGACTTCCATCAGAAAATAGAATAAATTCAACTTGACAAAACACATAAAATCTCCCACAGTTCATTTTGTGGCAAGAACATCCCTCAATTCTATGATTTCCATTAAATAACCCATTTGCTTGGGCCAAAGCAAAACATACAAACAGACCCAATTGCTCAATCAATACGAAAGAACAAGAGAATCCATTAGCAAAATCCTCAGCGGCCAAAAAAATTTCCACAATTTCCCCACTCCCTTCTACTCGGCCAGCCTACAAATTAGCTTTCTATCACACAGCTGCACTATGTATCGAAATTAATACATTCACTTTTTCTTACAAAAAAGGAAGCAATTAACCGTACGAATCATGTCATAAATGATTTGCTTAATCAATCACATTACCTTAATTGAGGAAATTTAAGACAACCGCATCTCCCCCACCAATATTTCCCTTTCTATGCACATATATATGAATCTTACAGTACAAGCAAAGATCAAGACAAAGAAGCTCCAGAGCTCGCTCTGCAATTCCAAAAACCCACCAAAGAAGTTGCCGTTTCTTTTGAATTTTGATCAGAATGGGGCACAAGAGGGTGAAGATGGAGCTGATAAAAAACGAGCGGAACCGTATCCAAACTTTCAAGAAACGGAAGGCCAACTTACTGAAGAAAATGTCAGAGTTCACCATCCTCTGCGGTGTGGAGGCATGCCTGATCATGTTCGGTCCGACGAGGACCCATAGCGATCCGGCCGCGGCGATGGAGGAGGAGGAAAATGAGCTGGAGACATGGCCGGCTGATCCGCAAGCCGTCAGGGCAATCATCCAGCGTTACAGGACCTCGGATGGCCCGAAGAGAACCTACCACCTCTCCGATTACTTCGCGGAGAAGAAGAAACGAGTCGACCTCGAGGTGGCCAACCTGAACAAGCAGATTTACAGGCACAAGTTCCCTGCCAGCTGGGACTCGAGGCTCGACGGCTTCTCCGTCGATCAGCTCACTGTCCTGCTGGGTAAGCTGGATTCCAAGCTCAAGCTGGCCGACCAGAAGCTCGCCGGTTTCAGCTTGGCTGCTGCAGCTAATCGCTCCAATCGGCTGGAGTTCGATTTCAGTCAGTTTCCGCCTGCTGTTCCTCCCGCAGTTGTCATTAATTCGGACAACAATATGGGTTTTGCTGGGGATATCCAGAAACTGGGATTCTGTAACGACTACGTGGAAGTCCAGCATAAGCAGTACTACAATCGTCCCCAGTTGACCCAGCAGTTTGATCATCATCCTCCGCAGCCTCAGCAAGAGCAACAGCAGCAGAGTTCGTTTATGGCTATGTTGAATGCGAATTCCTCCGAAGCAAGCGATGAGATTCAGTATACTAACCTACATTCCCACAGTGGGTTACAACAGCTTCTGCCGGATGTGAACAGCTTTGGTGGTTGCTACTCTGCAGCAGAGGAAGATTTGAGCCCGAAGGAGTTCAGCAAGGTCGGCTACTCGATCGATTTCGAGCTGTTCAACCATCATCAAGTGATGAAACCGGTACTTGATAGCCAAATGATGATGATGAAGAGGTTTGGAGGTTACGGTCAGGACTCGGCTACATATGGTTCGTTTGGTGCTGCTAGTACTTATATGAAGCCATGGGGGTTGGATTCTTGTGGCGAGTTTGGGATCAATTACTCTCATGATTGGTCGATGATGAGTTATATGAACTCTCCATTAAGCAGCATTCAGCAAATTCTGCAGCAGCCGCATCAATTGCAGTTTCCGACGACGGGTGCTGGATTCGCTGCTGCTCATTATCATCAGGGGCAGTTTTCTCAGCAAGTGGATGGTGGTGGTGGTGACGGTGGTAGTCATCATGCCCACATGACAGGAAGCTCTGGCTTTAACCGGAACTGAAGTGCAATGGTATCTTGATTTCTTCTTTCCTTGTAGGTTTCATTTTGGTGTCACAGGGTCTTGTGTTTTCTTTGAGTCAAAGTTCATTAGTTGTCAGTTATTAGCTCCTTCACTCTTCTATTGAACCTCGATCGAAGAGTATCCAGTAGATGATAATGAACTGTCAAGCTAATTCAATTTCTTATTGGTTAGGGTTTGTAAGTTGCTTCTCTTATTGCAACTATCGATAGGTTTTTCAATGGAGAATTAGGAACGCGTTTCTTTATATGATTATTGGGTTTTTCTTCTTCAAATGAATGCATAAATTACTAAAATTTCCTTTATATTTTTTTTTTTTTTACAAAAGATAATCTTATATTGATTCAAATAATAGGCCGTTACACCCTGGAAGACAGTCAGGTATGAAAATCAAATGAACGACTCATAGCCGGGTACAAAGAAAGGGCCTTTCTAGCCACCAAACGAGCTACCCTATTACTACGCCGACCTACAAACCGAATGCTAAACCCAGGCTGGTCATGGAGACAATTAGCAATTTCTTCAAGAACAGCACCCATCCTGTTATTTCCATGATCCCCCCCGATTGAGCTTGTCAACAATGACTTTGGCGTTGCCTTCAAAACGAACATCAGTAAGCCCCCATCCTTGACACCAAAGCACAGCCTCCCGAAGCACCAACAATTCCACAACCATCGGATCATCAATAAACGCAAATTGCACTCCCGTGGCCATACTAATCACCCCCGTAGGAGATAGAAGAACCATTCCACCCGCCGAATGGGACCCCCTCCTAGTGGCCCCATCCCACCTACAGACCATACGAGGATCACCCTCCTCCTCCAGCTGACCAGAACTAGGGGGAGGAGTCTGTGAGATGGAGCGGGCAGGCAACCGAACCCATTCCTCATACTGCTGGATAAACTGACGCATCAACACTGGGACCCCAATCTGTTTCCCTTCAAACACCACCCAGTTACGAGAGCGCCAGATCCGCCAGAGGATGACAACCACCGCCATGAACAGAGTAGGTTGATTGATTAAGGCCAAAAGCTTTTTGAGAAACAAAGGAAACGTCTGACGAGGTAACCCCTCCCCTAGATAGTCCAAACCCGAGTAGTCCCAAAGGGCCCGAGCCACCGGACAGTATAGGAACAAATGCTCTAACGATTCTTCACTATCCCAACAAACCGGGCAACCAGGATGAACCGGGACCCTACGCTCAATGAGAGCCTCGGTAGTTGGGAGGGCCCGAGAGAGGATCTGCCAGACGAACACCTTCAGCTTCGGGGGAATGTTGCCTCCCACAGGCGAATCCAACTAGCCTTATCCATCCAACTGACAGAGTCTTTCCACCCACCCTTCCGCTTATCCAGCAAGACAGCAAGGTGATAGGCAGATTTGACCGAAAACACCCCATCAGTAGTCTCATGCCAGATCATCCTGTCCTCCACATTCTGACGCGGGAGGGGAATAGCTTTGATGGCCTTACAAGTAGCAGGATCAAACCATTGCCTCAGTTTGTGGTCACACCAACGTCCCGCTGACAAATAATCTCGGCTACGACCGGATCACCCCCATCAGGCACAACACAAGGATTATACTGAGGGGGTCCAACTGATACTGCGGGATCCAGTTGGAGTTTAATAAAGATGCCGACCGACCATTAACTTTAATATTTTTCAGAAAGACGCTTAGCAGTTTGCATGAAAAAAAAGGAATAGGATTAGCATGACTTGACAACCATATTTCTTTCTAATTCCACTTTGGTATTTAATCACACGCGTTTTACTCCATAAGAGGAAAATTATATTTTAATTAGGAAAGAAAATCTGCACTATTAAGCATTATTACTTAATTGCCTATTCTTTTCCATTTACGCGAACCAATCAGGTGACAATTTTCAACCCACTCTAGAATTCAAACCGTGACCAACAACTGCACAGGAAGCTGCTCCTGAAACCTCAACACACAGGAACCAGGGCCAGGAGAGAAAATTCTTCCATTGTTCCTGTAGTTCACTTTTCTGACTTCAACCTTTTGTAAGAAAAGTTGCACTTAACTTCCTCCTGAGCTTTCCAAACATCCATGACCAGAATACATTGAACTAGCCCAATTAACTGGTGTGCCTTAGCTGGAGGTATGTGCCTCTTAAGGCAAAGAGGGTGATCTATCATAAAAAGGCTCTCTCTCTCTCTCTCGTCATCTTCATCTTCACCACATGAACCCATGTGGGGACGAGATCTGGGTTTCAGAGCTCCGAGAATTCGGATTCATGGCGTTCAGAGGACACCAACCCCAAATTCCCCTATGCCAGGTATGTGTGAGGTTCTGGTTTTTTTTTTGTTTTTTTATTTTTTCAGTTTTGCATATATTATTATTTATTATAGTTTTAAGACCTCTCTTGCTTCTTCGTCCCTTTATTTTGTTGCTTCGTTTTTCAAACAATTGAATTATGACTTTGTTTTGTTGTGCAACCAGATCAGTTGTGTTTTTAGTAGCAGAGTTCTCTTCTGTCTTCCCTTCCTACTAAAACATGGTAAACTAGAAAATTCTCCATTTCCCCATATTATAATATCTAACTAGCATTATACTAGCACTTGCCCGATCCCATTATCATCCCTGGACCAATATATCAGGTCGAAATCATCCTCTAATTATTGAACCTATCTTCGAATTCGATTCCATGGATCTCTATTAGTTGACCAAAAATAATTTCATGATTCTTTTATCATAACTTTTAATCTATATTATCGTAAAAAAAAAAACTTATAATCTACATTATCTGTAAAGAAGTCGGTAAATTAACAACAATATCAATATCCCGAAGTCAAAGACTAGCCAGTTAAGGACCAGTTCCCGCCATCATGCTTTCACGAAAACTATAGAACACAGAAGAAAGAGTAGAAAAATCATCCTGAGTTTTCTATTTATGCTTTATCATTCCCTATGATCAGAAAAGTAATAAACTACAAGGGGGGAGGGAGGAAATGGGGATCTGGGCGACTTTCCTTTCTTCAAACTCATCTACAGATTATTTAAAAAATTGCCTGCTGGCTGCTAGTTCTAATTTCCTAAGCACTAACTTAGCAGGTTCAATTGATTGGATTTGGCTATCTTGCTAATTTGAGTAGAAGTAAGCACCATACTTATACAGTTCTAAAAACAACATAGCCATTCGATCGGAGATCAGACGGTTGAGGAGGCATAAGGGGTTAGAGCTACGACGTGGTATGGACCTCTTGCTGGTAATGAGATAAGGGAGAGAGCTACATGGGGACTTTCAGGATTAGCTTCTGACTTTCACGAGTTTGGTCAACTGTATAGCTAATCATGTCGGCAGTCTTATACTATTATACAGATTACTGATTGCTAATTTATTAGAATAATGATTCAATCATGACCATTAAAATAATCAAGTCAGACAAGGACACGCTTTGATAGCTCCTTGGGAACTGTAAGCATGGGAAAACGCATACTTAAACAGGAAATAAGCCAGAGGAAGAGTACTAACCTTTGACCTTTCCCTGTTTCCTCATTTGTATCTGAACTGAAATGTCAGAAACAAGGTCGCCGCTGCCGCTGCTGTTTCGCAGGAGGTCCAGCGGGCAGATCATCAGGAACATCGCCACAGTTTCGAGCAGCCTTCTGCCAGCTTTTGGAACTGTGATTGATGAAGGATACTTGAAGCTCAAGAAACATGTCATCGCACCTTACGACCACAGATACAGGTAATTACTGATTAGTAGAGATTCCCAGCCCTTCATATGCTTTGATTCAACCTGAGAAAAGTTGTTAGTTTCTCACCTTTTTTGTTTTTTATACATGGCAGGATGTGGCAAACTTTCCTGGTGGTGCTGGTGGTGTACTCAGCATGGGCATCGATCTTCGAGCTGGCTTTCAAGAAAGCAGCAACTGGGACGCTCTCCCATTTCGATCTGGTCGTGGATGCCTTCTTTGCCATCGACATCGTTCTTACTTTCTTCGTGGCTTATCTCGATACGACCACGTATCTTCTCGTCGATGATCACAAGAAGATTGCTACTAGGTGTGATATACATGCTTATCTTCTCATTTCCCCACCTTTCCTGTCTTCTGAATAAAGAAGCTGAAATCAGTTTAAACACAAAATTGATGCCAGGTATCTTACGAAACCATGGTTCATAATGGACGTTGCCTCGACCCTACCATTTCAGACCATATACAGAATCTTCAGTCGCAGAACAAGCCATGCAGACGTCTTTGGTTTCCTCAATCTGCTCCGACTCTGGAGACTTCGCCGAGTCAGCCAGCTCTTCACAAGGTAAATCCAACTGAATACCATTCCCTCTTTTTTAGTTAGCAATGATTTTGACCCTATAAAATATTCTGAAAATACCGATTGTTTGGATGGATGATTTGAGAGAAGGAATTGGAAAATGTGGATCTGATATTGTTGATGGGAGTAGAAAAAATCTTACATGTCATGGAGAGATTTGGGAAGAGAGACTTGAGGCTTTAAGATTTCCCAGTTCCATCAAATACGGATGTATTTCCGATTCCTTCAGCACTTTAGATTCCATCACTCAATTTCCACGCCCAAACAAACCCCTGAAATCAAGCACCACATATCTGAAAATTTTCTCGCATGCTATTTCAGGCTGGAGAAAGACACGCGATTCAGCTACTTCTGGACTAGGTACTTCAAGCTAGTAGGGGTAAGACTCTAAGAACCTTGCCTCCGCTAACACTTGCCTGCTGAGCTATCTATCTTTTACCGAACTCTGCTTTATTGACTGACGACTTTGGCAGGTTACACTATTAGCTGTGCACTCAGCAGCATGCGTCTACTACTGGCTGGCTTACCATCATCCACTAGAGGATGACACATGGATTGGTTCTGAGGTCCACGGTTTCAAACACAGAAGTATTTGGCTGGGCTACACTTATTCCATGTACTGGTCGATAGTCACCCTCACCACGGTTGGTTATGGAGACCTGCATGCAGTAAACACAGGAGAGAAGGTTTTCAATATGTTTTATATGCTGTTCAACATTGGTCTTACAGCTTATATAATCGGAAACATGACCAATCTTGTTGTCCACAGTGCCGTTCGAACTTTTGCAATGGTACGCAATCATTCATCCACTTTCTATAAAACCTATCATACACTTTTTCTTTAGTGTTTTACTATAACTTTGGAGAAAGTTGTTTTCTTGAGCAAAAGCTGAAACATACACAATGTATTGTCAGAGAGATTCAATCAATGAAATATTGAGGTATGCAAACAAGAACAGGCTTCCTGAAAGCTTGAAAGAGCAAATGCTGGCACACATGCAACTCAGGTTCAAAACAGCAGAGCTAAAGCAAGAGGAAGTTCTGGAAGATCTTCCGAAGGCAATAAGATCTAGCATATCTCAGCATCTATTTCGTAATACAGTGGAGAATACTTACCTGTTCAAAGGAGTGTCAGAAGACCTTGTTACCCAGCTGGTATGTGATCTGCATGAAAGTCTGCAACCAGTAATTACACCGTTAAAGTAAGAGAAGCAATGGGCTACAAAGTTTCAGGAACAATAAGTCTTAACAATACTTGGTTGTTGCACTTCTTCTTTTCCAGGTGTCAGAGATGAAAGCTGAGTACTTCCCACCGAAGGTTGAGATTATATTGCAAAATGAAATCCCTACAGATTTCTATGTCCTGATTTCTGGAGCAGTGGTATAGCATCTCTCTCCTCTTACTCAAATATACTGATATTGCATTCGGGAACTTGTATCTGAGAGCTACTTCAAACTGCAGGATGTGATGAGCTACAAGAATGGTACAGAACAGGTACATCCACGAAATAACACTTCCATTATCTTGTCAAGAAATTCTCAAAGAACATCTAATGCATAAGGTTGTGATGAACTTCCAATGGACAACCCACTTTTACTAAGCGTGCTTACAATAGAAACAATCTGTGAAAAGAGTATATCTCAATAACATCTAAACTTGGTCCAAACACAGACGAATCTGTCAAATAGGCCTTGGCTCCCTGAAAAGTGTGATCCCCACCCCCCAGCACTTGTATTCTGCATCAGCAAGACAAAATGCCAGTCAGCCTATCAAAATCTAAGATCGGGAGCATGTATCCTAAAACAAAAATACTCCAGACTATTCCACGTTTAAATAGCAATAGCTAGATAGATCAATTCGAACCAGAAAATACTCATGCATGAAGAAGTACAAAACGTAAGTAGCTAGACATACACCACTCTGGAGAAGGAAAATTGAACATTGAATAGGATATCTGTAGTCATGACCCCTCTATCTAGAACCCCCAAGGGCATCTAATTTTAAGAGCAAACTATAATATTTAGGACTGATCAATTTATATCCTCAAAAAGTAGCTAAGCCCATTTCGATGCTTTCAGTTCTTGTCAAAACTAGGAGCTGGAGATTTGGCAGGAGAAATTGGGGTACTGTTCAACATTCCACAACCCTTTGTGGTGAGGACTAAGAGGCTTTCTCAAGTTGTGCGCCTGAGTCATCAGCACTTTAAGCAAATAGTGCAGCCACATACCGAGGATGGCAAGAAGATCATCTCCAACTTCACACAGGTATAAACAAGACATTCTCTGGTGCAGTCACTACTATTTTATATTGCTATATAATATCAGTTACATGCAAATTTTGTAATGTGGTGGCTTTATCATTCTCAGTACCTGAAGGAACTGAAAAAGGACATGCTGGACGAACTACCTTTCCTGACAGAATCCTTAGAAGAAATGGATATACAGGTAAGTTCACTCGAGTGAATTCCATATGGCAAAAAAGAGACTTGCTAGGAGTTCAAATTATTTTGTGTCAACTTCCCTAACTTCCATAGAGCGCAAAAGCTTCTAATGAATCGGATCAACAGAAACCAGTTTGACACTTCCGTATACCCTAGTTAGGCTTAGCAGATGACTATTTAGTATTTACGGATTTCCCAGTTGAGCATGTAAACAATATATTTTTTGTTTTTCTTTCAAATACCAACACCTCAATACATCATGGTCACTGCTTCCTACAGGAAAGAAACCCAAATGATGATCAACGAGATGTTCAAGCAGAGAATACCGTAGAAGATGAAAGTACAGAAGGTAAACTCAAGGCCCATATAACTTTTGTCAAATAAACTAAGAAAGAGATAATTTGATAGGAACAGAACAAGGATCCTAGGCTTTAATCCATGTATGTATTAAACTAGCACTTGGAAGATTTTCGGACATAAAAGATTTTGGTACTGGATAAAAGTTGGGCTTGCCTTGGAACTTAAAGAACTAGGTACACTGCCTAGAACATCTCTTTAACTTTTATTACCCAACCTGCTCTATTATGCGGGAGAGCCTAAGGTCTTCCCTGCACATAATATGCGTAAACAACCTGGTCGCCAGGAGCTTCTGCTTTCCCTGTTCAAACATAACTAAAAAGAGAATTTTCAATCTCATCCATTCATTTTAACTAACTCAGTCTGCTCAATGATCAAAATATTGATGTTTGCTCTATTGATGACTCACAGCCGAGCCTTCAGCAGCTGAGCTAAAAGAGATTTGTTAACTTTTCTTATCCACATTCATTTTACATTGATGTTTGCTCTATTGATGACTCACAGCCGTGCCTTCAGCAGCTGACCGAAAAGAGATTTGTTAACTTTTCTTATCCACATTCATTTTTCAGGAACACGGGAAAGTCCTGCTTCATTATCGACCAAGTCTATACGGGTAATAATCCACGGGCATCATCCAAAGGAACTTCCAACAGAGAAATATACCTTTGGGAAGCTGGTCTATCTGCCAGAAACAGTTGAGGAACTTCTAGGATTGGCAGGTAATACCATATTATAAATCCATAACAAGTACCATGTAAATAACTATGGCATCATTTTCTCTTACACAAGCCTGGATACATATTTTTTTCAAAAAACAATTTCTAACTGAAAGACCTAGCCAGAGGGAGTTATATTTCTTACGAACAATGGAAATCAGTGATCAAACATTTGCACAGACACTGAAATATGAAACAACAAATTTCCATCCTTCATGCTCGAAGTATCTATAATGACAGAACTAAAGACACTGACTACCAGCTTTAAGAAACATCATACACGGCTATACAACGTGTTCTCGTAAGCAGTACAGGGAATTGTAGACACGATAAGATGAGAACTTAACCTTGTACTCACTTTTTGTCATGCAGAAAAGAAGTTTGGAAAGAGAGGAAACAAAATCGTCGTGGAGGATGGCACACAGGTTGAAGATCTGGACGCCCTAAGAGAGGATGATCACTTGTTTATCTTTTAGATTGTGGACTGGCATTCGATACAACTCGTGGGCCTCATCTCCCAGACACAAACTTTCAAAAGGGCTGTGAGCATAATATTGCCGTCGTGTGTAATTCCCATATTGTTCTCCAATTCCAGTGATTGTGCTCATGTGAGTTCAACAATGCAATAGCCACAGGCAAATTTGAATGTATAGTAAAGCTGTAACTCTTTGAAGATTTAATGTTTCTTAAGAACATGTAGCCTTACTTGTCGTCATCAATGTCACCGATTGAGCATCTCCAGAACAGAATAAGCAGCTTTCTGGAACTTCTCTTTCTCTTCGTCCAAAGCTTTCTTCCTCTCCATAGCCGCTTCTTTGCATTTCCCAATCTCCTCCGTCACTCCAGCAGAGTTCTGGTCCATTTCGCTGCAAACACAGGCATGCTACAGCGTCAGAGAGGAAACTGGAATCCAATTCCAACCTAGGGCTTTCTTATCCGTCCACCTTGCCATCTTAAGCATATCCGCCATCACTTTCTGGACCTGCTGCGACACATCTGCGAACACAGAATAACAGAAGATCAATTTCCTCGGAAACGTTCTTTGATTTCAACACTCATCCGAGACTGAGCTAGACCTATCGAAACTTTCCGCGAGAAAAATCGTTTTCGAGAAATCAAAACCGACTGTTCTTAATCGGATTGAGATCAAAATTCTCAAGACATCAATGGAACCTGGAACGGTTTCCGATCTCACTGAGTCTTCTGAGATAGAAAGTTCTCGCGAGATTGAAATGCTTAACTTACGACTACGGAGGTTCGAGAGTGGAAAGGGGAAACGAACCATAGATGATAGATGTGAGCTCCAATTCAGTTTCCGAAGACGGAGCGAGAACCATCGCGGAGGCGGATCCTGTAGGCGAAGCAGACATTGTTGATCGGAGTTGCTTGAGAGTCGTGAGTGGAATCGGAACCTCTTGGAAACCGTTCGAAACTTTGAAATTTCGATGAACGCGAGCTGGCGGGAGCGCAAGTTTTCGCGTGCCTTTTATATCTGTAGTTTCCCGGAAAGGAGTCGCAGTGCCCCCGAAATGGCAGAGCAAATAATGAACAATTTCATTTTGAGACACCTATTTCTTGTTGTTTTAATACTGATACCTAATTAATTCTGTCCATCCGGATTTCATCAAAATCATGTTCAAATTCTTCTCTGTAAGGCCTAAGCCTGCTCGCGCACAAATTCTCGGGGATTCATCAGATGCACGCCAATTATCTGGTTGCTTTACGTCTATGGTTTTTGGGGAAATGAAATGATTCATATAATTTTTTTTCCTGTTCATAAACAAGTATAATAATTATTTGTCGCATGGAGGGACTCTTTGGAGGAACACTCTTTCCAGTATATATGCAAGGTACAAATCCATGGAGTTGTTTTTCTGCAATTCAAATCCAAAAACAGCAAGAGCAAAAGTTATAGAAAATTAGAAATATCAACAGTGGCGTAGCCAAGATTTTATTAAGGGGGTGCCGTAAAAAAAATTACATATGTTGTCTATGTTGTCTCATGTTTCATATTGTGAAATTATTTTATAACTATATGAATCGGTCAAACTATCAAGATTTCATACTTAATTTATCCCACCAAATAACAATCCACAATATCAGTTCACTAGATTTGACGATTGATATTAAAATTTAGCATTTAATATCATCATTAACTTAATATTACTACTAATATTTTGAACTTTTTCCAAATCTAAGGGGGTGCCATGGAACCCCCTTGGCCCTTGTTGTGCTCTAGTTACGCCCCTGAATATCAAGCTCTTGTATAAACCATTGAGCATTCATCATGCGCCCGGATTCTACTAGCGCCTACCCAACATGTGTTCCGTCGAACGTCGATATATCTTCACTTTGAATTTAAGTGCTCAAAACAAGTCAATTTGCGAATTAACCTAAACATTCACTGAATCGAATTGTCTCGCGAGCCTATAAAGTTTGGGTTGGGCTTGAAAGCCGTTCGGCTCGTTTGCACAAATACATACCCTGCATAATCACGGTCTGATCTGCTTTCAGCTCCCCTCAATAAAGCGATTAAACTTTGATGTCTGCAACCTCTAATGCTTTCGATGCTGCTGCTGTTTATGCAGGTTTTCCCCCCACGCTTAACCTTGCTTTAACATGTAGTTGTTTTATTTAATTAATAAAATGAGGTCGCCATTTTCAAAAAAAAATTGTACTCTTCTTGGTTGTTTTTGCATGCTTAACTTAATATTCGTACTTCGGCCCACAAATTGGAGCAGGGAATGATAACACCCTACTAATCTATTATTGTATTTTTGTCGTCACTTTCTTTGAGATTTTATCATCTGAGATTCCCCATCTCAAATCATGTCATTGGGCCATTCAATCAAGTAACTATGACAATAATTAAGCATTGTCATTTGCCAACCGGCCTTAATCATGAATTCATAACCATGAAAATGAGGATTGCTTCCAAGTCCCAAATATTTTTTTGATCTTACTCGGACAAAAAAAAAAAAGTCCCAAATATTCGCATAGGAGTAGTTGACAAACACAAGAAGAGCTTTTACCAAACCAAACACACGACGAAAAGAGAATTTCTATAGACGATTGAACTATTATATTTTCGAGCCCAAATTTAGTTTTTCTTAAAATTTAGTATCTACTTTTTTTTACAAATAGGCCCATAAATTTGATGGTAGAATTACATTTTTGTATCCAATTTTTCAAACAATATAGTCCCTCAACTTTTAGAATTTTACAAACAGGTTCAATGTGTTGGTAAGATGAATTTCATATCACTAATTGTTGCTAAGGGTCAGAGGATCGAAAAGTGATCTGGCACTAAGTTGACCTGATCCTAAACTGGCCTCGTAGACAAAATGGCTAGGGCGGATCCTCAAGATCGGGGCGGATCAGTAGATCTTTAGAGTCAAGCTTACACTCTTAAATAAGAATGCAATTTTTGAATAGGGATGGCAACAAAACCCTATCCACGGATACCCTGCTCAAACTAACCTGGTCAAAGCGGGTAAAACTCGTGTTGACGGATTACGGGTTGGGTTCGGATTTAAACCCGTTCTACTATTTAGCGGGTTGGGTTCAGGTTTAGTCATATCAAACCCGTTCCAACCCGTACCTGTCTAATTTGTTCTTTCTAATTGTGTTGAATTAAGTTGATATTGTGGAGTGGAGAGTGAAGAAGCGTAGTTGACAAGGAGGAAAAAAAATTTCAATTAATTATATTGTTTTATGGATTTTTATCTTTAATGTTGAACAATTTGTATGGATAAGTTGTGGTTTGCTTGTATGTTATAGATTGGTGTTTTTTTTGTACGAATAATTTGTATGGAAAGATTGATGTTAGACTTTTATTTTGACATAAAGATATTGTGCATTTATAGAACCCAACCCATGGGTATCCATGAACCAGCGGATACGCAGCGGGTTGGGTTTGAGTTTTCTAAACCCGCTGGATTTTTACTCTGGATTTTTTTGGTGGACATACCCATGGGTTTGGGTTCGAGGTTGACATAACCCAACCAAGATATTGTCCGCTTTGGGCCTCGACCCTCACGGTTTCTTACTTGGGGTGCAATTCAAGGTGATTTCTCATAAGGTCACTCATCCTTGTTGTACTCCACATTTAGCACGTTTAACTTCGGAGTTCTCACAATAACTCCTCCATTACATCCCAAAACGCGTCTCCTCAGTTAAGGATGATTTCTTACTTATGAACCATGGATCTCTCCCGTGCTTTGTCGATGTGGGATTTGCTTAAGGTGTTACAATTTCGGTATATTTCTCTTTTTTTTTTTTTAATTCTTGGCCCGATGATCTCTTGGTGAGCTATTGGTCCGCGGCAGATGTTTGTTTTGTTTTGTTGTTTTTTTCCAGTAATTTTGTTGCTTAGCATTTGATGATTGTGAAGCTGTTCATTTTCATTACGAGGAATGAAGAATATTAAGGTTGTTTGGTTTACGTGTTTTGTTATAATTGTGATAGGGACAATTATTCATCTTGAATTAATACAGGAATTAGACAAGGGTATTTAACAGTAAGAAAAAAAAATTACCAAAAATTGTTAAATAATCTTAAGTTCAAATACTACCATCACTAAAATTATATTTGGAGCACCGCACATTTAGTTTCAAGCAAACCCACTTTGACCCTAACCCAGTGAGAAAAACGGGCCGCACGCATCCGTCGTGTCGACCACTACAAGGTACCGGGTTGGAGGTTAAATTGTGTCATTTTTTTATTTGGTTTGCGAAATGCGCCTATTTACATATTTTTCTTTTCACCTAACTCAATATTTGGAATCCTTAGTTGAACATTTGAATATTGATGTTATATAAGTGTGTGTGGATCTAAGTACGACATGTTACTTTGGTTTAATGTTATATGTTATTACTCATATGCTAGATGAGATTTGATATAATTTATCAGGATAAGTACAATATAATGACTCTTTTCATATTTTCGGGTTAAAACGGGTGACCCGTTAACCCTTGACCCACTAACTCAACCGGCTCCGATAACCACTTTCAAGTATTCTTTTGTGCTCATTTCCGCTCTTACAAAGTTACAAAAGCCTTTAGAGTCTTTGGGTTCGTTTGGATGGATCAATCTAGAAATGAGTCAATTTGATCAATTGTCTCGTTTTATAAATGAGACAATTAAAACGAGTCAATTCGAATTACCTGCCCCCACCCCAGATAATTGAAATTGACTCAAAACGAATCAATTCAAAATACCTCAGGCAGATTGATCCATCCAAATTTTTTGCTAGCAAACGAGGCAATCTGTTACAATTGTCTCAAAACGAGACAATTGTGTCAAATTGATCCGTTACAATTCCTCATCCAAACGACCCCTTATTAATTCATTGCTCTTGCTCATCAGGTTTTGGGCTTTGTGGGTATTTTGAAAGGTGAGGCGGCAGGCCAATTCGAAAGCCCAACTAAACACCTCCTTTTGGGATATGGACGCCAACTTTGGCTTGGGCTTTTGACTGCGAGCGTCACAGACGAACTAGTAGTCAATGTCTTGATGCAGTTTTCGCTAAGCTGATGCAGCATATTCAAAACTCTTAACAGAACGATGTCAGCATGGGTCTAATAAATTCAAAGCTCGCCGCCCGCGCGGACCAGACCTCGCAGCGTATTATTGGCAGTTGAACTAACACAGATTTTTGGGCAGTGCGATGCGAAGCCCACCGTCGAGGGAACCTCTCCTCGCAATGACAACTACTACACCAACCAGAAGAAATTCGCACTACTCGTCATTTGAATTTCCTCAGTATATCTCACAGAGATTCGGTAGGTGCATGTGCATGGATTCATATTCATTCGATCTCTTTATTTATTTTCTCCCATGCATCATGGAGTGGTTGGATTGAGAAATATTGTGTGGAAGCTCCTATATATACACGAAGAGGTGGGTAAGATAAGAAGAAGAAAAAACGAGCAATCGCATAATAAGATGTCAGAAGATTTGTAGGGCATGATTATAATGCGTACATTTTAATTTGGAAAACGGGTTGACACCCCGTATCAATAGGTAGTCGGTGAGCCACGCGTGATTAAAAATACAATAAATTTTTTTTAATAAATTTGGTGATTAGAGTTTAAGATATTTTAGCTCCAAATTTATGGTTCATCGTTTAACGCAAAGCCAAATATTGAGAAATTTCAATAAATAATTATTATCTGTCTACTTCTTCATCCCCGCATACAACACTAGTCCCGATAGAGACACGATGAAATAATAGAACCTTTTGTTTCTTAGTGTTTTTATTTTTACAATAATAATTGATCCATTATGTACTGTTGCAGTGAGTATTTTTTTTTTTTTTTTTTTTGATTTTCCAGAGGGGAATTTGTACTGTTGTTGGTTGTTTTGGCATTCTTAACCCAAATATTCGTGCTGCGGCCCACAAATTGGAGCAGAGGCACCAACTACTACAAAATCTGATTATAACACCTAATATTATATTTTTATTGTCACTTTCTTTGAGATTTATCAATAAAATCCTTTTAGATTCTAACAACAATTTTCGATAAGTGAGTAATTGTTAGCAATAATTAAGCATTACCATTTGCCAACGGGCCTTAATCATGAATTCATCAGCAGGAAGTTACTTTCCAACAAGCCCCAATATTCTCAGCAGAAGTAATTGACAAATACAAGAGTAGAGAAGGAGAATCTATAGACGATTGAACAAACTAGCTATCTAGCATATAAAACCCCCCGTCGTCGGCCAATATATATATATATGCCTCCGGCCGGCAATACGTACGGCGCATCTGGGCAGCATATATGTAAGACGACAAGAAAAGGGCTAACAATTGGGTTAAATCATAAAATGAAATAAGAATTATTATTATTATGTATTGAAACCTAAATTATGAAAATATGAAACACCATGATTTCCATCCAATTAACGAGCATAACATGAATTTCATCTTGGGATTAAAAAATTATGTAAGTAAGCAATGAACCACCAACCAAAAGTGACCAACCTTGACAAAAGAGGAGCAGGCCATTGTTGGCTGCATGTGCTGCCAAAGAAGTGGGTTGGTAATGGTAATCGTAAGAGAAAGAGCAAAAAAAGGGCAGGCGGCGGCAACACAGTAGCCGGTCACTGAATTCCACTTCCGTCAGTCAAAAATGGTGTCCCGACTCCCAACTTATTATTAGCTAAGCGTAGTGCGGGTGTGTGAGCCCACGCCAGTCACCAGGTTTACCCTACTTTTGTTTTCCTAGGAAGGGATCTTTTTGGTATCATTTCAATTTTGTCAGATGTTTTTAATTGGATCTTACGAAAAGAAAGAATGTTTAATTTAGGACGGATCGGACCTTCCATTTGAAATTTCTTAATGATATTATCTGGACTGGGTTAAAATCATTCTTCTTTCATTGAGTTGTACTTGATATTATTTCATGTACAATTAAATTAGCACCCACACACAGTCAGTTCATCATCTGTGTCGCGATAGCGGTATTGGAACTGGCAAGGAGCTACAAGTAATTAAACTTAGAAGATGGTTTTAGAGCCTCGTCTCAATATGTGATCTGACGTTATAATATGTGTGCATATGTTGAACCAATGGTGAAAAATGATGCATAGTTTTGGACAATTAGTTCCTTGTTCTTGTCAAAGACCTCGGTTCAATCTTCACTTTTATATGCTCCTCACTTTAAATTCCAACACGTGTTTTTTCAACATCATGTTGGTTGAGTATTCCTATCATGCTTAATAGTAGCGACTTGATTATTTTCACCTGGTATAACAAGTTGTACAAACTGCATTATGCAAACTAGCTATAATACCAATTATTTGTTATTTATGTAATTTAATTAATAAATGTAGAAGCATCTATTATCTCAATAGTGGGAACAAAATTCTTTGCAGCAAATTTTGTCGAGCAGTGAGCCCCAGCTGAGATATGGGTTTTGTTTCTGCCTGCTGCAGCTTTGTGTAGCAGACCTAACATGCAAAAACATACTTAAAAAAACAAAAATCCCACCTTAGATGATAGAAATCCATTGATTAAATAATACCCAAAACTCCAATCCAATACAAAGTGATAAAGACCACCAAAAGAAAGAAAAAAACAAGTCAATACTTGCCAACTGATCATCACAAACTTAACCCACCACCAGCCTCTCTCTCCACTATAAAAAGCCCATCATCCACCAACAAACCCAAACCCAAACACACTCATCATACTTCCCCTTCTTCAACTCCTCTCCTCCCTTCCCAAAAATGGAGGCAACAAGAAGCTACACCGCCCTCTTCTTCATCCTCCTAATCTCCCTCTCATCATCCTCTTCTTACGCAAAGAAGAGGAAAGAATACAAGCCATGCAAAGAGCTGGTCCTCTTCTTCCACGACATCATCTACAACGGCCACAACAAGGCCAACGCCACGTCGGCCATCGTCGCGGCCCCCGAGGGCGCCAACCGGACCATCCTGGCCGGCGAGTTCCACTTCGGGAACGTCGCCGTTTTCGACGACCCCATCACCCTCGACAACAACCTCCACTCGCCGCCCGTGGGTCGGGCCCAAGGGATGTACCTGTACGACACCAAGAACACGTACACGGCCTGGCTCGGGTTCAGCTTCAGCCTCAACAGCACCGAGCACCAGGGGAGCATTAATTTTGTCGGTGCCGACCCGCTGATGAACAAGACGAGGGATATTTCGATCGTCGGCGGGACGGGGGATTTCTTCATGCACAGAGGTGTCGCCACCGTGATGACGGATGCTTACGAGGGGGAAGTGTACTTTAGGCTGAGAGTGGATATGAAGTTCTATGAGTGCTGGTGATGATGATGATTCTCTGTTTTTTGATTTGGGTTGGTGTGGTCTGTGGGGTTGTTTTTGTCTTTGGTTTTTGGTTTTGGTCTTTTTTCTGAATTGATGTTTCTGTGGTACTGTCCTTGAGGTGGTGACACATTTTATCATAAGATTCCAGAATAAATTAAAAGCAACCGATTTTGTGTACTTTGTTTTTTGTTACTTGGTGGTTTCAGCTTTCTACCAACCAACCTTCGTGCTATCCGTTGCCACTAAACAGTATAACTATAACATCCCATCCAAATAGGGATGGCAATGGGGCGGGTTTGGGGCGGGTTTGCCTAAACCATCCCCATCCCCATCTTCAAATACCCAAACCCATACCCGCCCCATACCCATGCGGGGAATGTTTTGCAAACCCATCCTCATACCCGTGGGTTTCGGGTACCCATGGGTAATACCCATCCCCGTACATCCAACATTATTATACCTAAAACTTACAAGAAAAGTTTTAATTATAACCATAAACAAACCTATTATATCACGAAGTCAACAAAACACGGTCATTTTCTAAATACGATTCAAAGAATATGATCCTAAAACATCCATTAATACATAATATAGACTATAATATTTTTTAAATTATTATGCTCTAATTCTTGATACATTTACTAAGTAATAATTAACAAACATAATTTTGTTGACAAGGGGGAAAGTGAAAGAGTGGAAGGAGAATTGAGGGAAATGAATTAGGTTTTGATTAAGGTGGTTACTCAATTGCATTTCTACTATTTATTTTCTCGAGTTATCATCATCATCATTGATAGATTATAATTTAATCCACGTATGTTTTGATATGTGAAGAAATTCTCTTGGTGGGGCGGGTATGGGTATGGGGCGGGGGAGGCTAAAACCATACCCGCCCCATACCCATCAAACCTTTTGCGGGTTTTACCCATACCCGCCCCATACCCGGTCAAAGCGGGGATTCCCCGCGTTGACTGGGTATGGGGCGGTCGGATACCCACGGCCATGGGTTTGATTGCCATCCCTACATCCAAATATTGTCGGTTTTTTAATCTATTTTCTCGTAGCTAGTTTTGATTTTGAAATGAATCATGATAAATTTTTTAGAGGTCATTAATTTTGGACACGTTTAATTTCAAGCTCTGGCAAGAAATCGTTCATTTTACTCCAAAAAACGTGTTGTTATCTGTTATAAACGCGCTGCTACGGATAGGGAAATCGCTGGAATCGACAAAGCAAGAATACGAAAGCGAGAATCGAAAACACGACACACGATTTACGTGGTTCACTAACACGATGTGTGTTAGCTACGTCCACGGGCGAGAGAGAGCCAGTTTCACTATATCGAGGAGATTACAGATTACAGAGGAGTATGAGAAGTATTTATAGTACTTCTCCATGTGGGTCTAAACCTAATCCAATATGGCAAAGGAAACGGTTACAGACCAGGCCCAGAATCCGAACCCAAATAACATTGAGCCCATACACCGTGGGCCGGGGGCGTTGCCCCTGGACCCCACTCGCTGACCGGTCAGCGAGAGATCCCCGATTACCAGTCGTAGCGGCTGATAGTCCGATTCAAATCACATCAACATTATCAGTTAAAAATTGATATAATTTATATCTTACGTGATTTTTCGATATGAGATTTGTGTATTGTCTTACACTAACTCCACCATAAAGCACCGGAAATAAACACACAACACACAAACATTGACTAAAACGAAAAACCCAAGAAGCAACAGAAAAGGCCTAGATTTGGATATGATTGCCATAACACGGCGCTAAGAATTTGAACTTGTGACTCATTTACCTTATAGTTAAGCATTTTTTAAACGTTGATATACTTCCGTGCATTTTTCCATTCGTACGTAGATTTGTTGATTAATATATTCTTATTTTTATACCAAAAAAAAATTGTACACGAGGAGAAAGATAACCTAAACAATAACATGGTGCTTGGTGAGCCAAGACACCACTACAACCGCAAGCAGCGAAAAATGTAGAAGAAAAGGAGGGAGGGAAGAAGTAGTAGAACTCGTTTAACTCAAGTTTTAGATACATGTTTAGTTAATCTTTTCGTCTCAAAATTGATTGATTGATAACAAGATTTTCTATAGATACAGACAAAAGTCAACCCGCCAGGAAAAAAAAAAGTTGTTAAACTAGATATAATGGTGGGGAAAAGTTACCATCTAAATCATTTCCTCGGTCCTCTTTTTCCACCACACCACCAACCCACTCCCTCCAGTTTCACAGTCTCTACCATATGTTTCTTCTTCTTCTTCTTCTTCTTCTTTTTTTTTTTTTTTTTTTGTGTTTTGTTTTTGTAACAGTAAGCATTTTATTCAAACACACAAGCCGAAAATTTCAAGAAAAGATTCTACATCCGAGGCCAAACCATAAAACCCTCATACGGATCACTGGCTTGACCCATGAGCTCGTTAAACAGAAGAAGAAAGAGAAATTGGTCACTACAGGAAAAAGTTTCTGTTGCAACACTCGAATTGCAACAATATTTGAAAGTGTTGTGTTAATCATACAATGATAATACTCTTTTTTTGTTGCTTATTAGATAGTTTTCCCAAGTGAAGTTATTTATATGTTGCATTTCTTTTATATACGCAACTGAAATTATTTATATGATGATCAGTAAATTGTTTTCATAGATGTAGCTAAGAAGTCATTTGTAATCCTATCTATTCAATATTCACAGAGCGCCCATTGTCACCATAGCAAAATTGCCTAGTTAGACAAAGTGCCTAAGTGCCTAGTTAGACAAAGAGAAGCTTAGGTATCTGACAAATTAGTGGGATGCTTTCAATTATCTCAACCATTGAGTTCACAACGAATATTTCATCTAGTGAACAAAAGTTCTACATTTTAAAGTGTTAATCGATGTCATCCGACAAAATAAATAAAAATTATCATCAAACCCTAATTATCTCATTCGATCAAACCTATAAAACATCTATATCCTCCAATCCTAAAGGCAATTTCTCATATCCATCTGACTTAGACCTGGATGAACTTATTTCCAAACTTCAACTCGTATATATAACTTGTTAAAGGTCACAGAGTCCCGCCAATGCCAAAGCTTAACCTAGCTAGCTAGATGATGAAAGGTCCTCTCTTCACTCCTACTCATCTGTCTCTTTTTCATAAAAAGTCGCCCACCAGCTTCTCATTTGATTGTCCAGAAGACCAGAACCACTAGCTAGCCACGAAAAGCCAAATTGAGCCAATTAATTATGAAGTATCTCTAACCCAAATCACTAACAAATCCCGAACTTTAATTAGTTTATATAAATGAACCGTTTGATAAAAAAAAAAAATGAACCGTTGACCATCTTGTAAGGGAAGATATAAGATCAAAACCAGCCAACTAGATCGCTTAGTGCGCAGTACAGCTTTTTCCTTTCAGGCTTTCACCAAATGAGATGCCAAAATCCATTATCTATATCAAATAATATTATAAACCAATTATTCTCAATACCTCGAATTGTTGGAAGAGATTCATATATGAATCTTAACCACTATGTACCTTAAGACGACAATTATATTAGGGACCGTGAGCATTTGAACAAGTGACCTCAATGACAAACCGACTATGATATTACGTCTAAACCAACTGATCCCGATAACTCAAGTTGGAAGAGATTCATGTATGAATTTTAACTACTCCCTTACAAATCAGATTTGGAAACCTTTAATTTATGTTCAAAATAGAGTATTCTAATAGGTATGGGTGTGCCACGGGTTGGTCAGCACAGGATCAAACCGACACTTGGGCGGGACCATACAAAATTGAATTTAATATGGTTCAATTGACCCCGTGAATTTCATAAATACTGAAGAAAATTAGACTGAATTGACATTTGGACCGGATCAAATCTGATTGAATGTACTGTTGATCCAACTTTTGATTCTAAATTATCTTTCATAATCAGACCACGATTTTCATCGGTTTAGTCAGCTCGGTTGCACACCTTACATACTCCCATATAGTTCTAATCCTTCCCCACGATTTTGCTGCATTAATATGCCAATGTTATCATCCAACATAAATGTTCCAGTCGTCTCAGCAGTATCAATCAAGCTATAGCTATAACCAATGTGCTTTTCATGATCATATATGCACACAGAAGTCAGACTTTTCATTAATATTCTTCACCTAAACTTCCTTAATTATGACGACTGGGTTGGAACAACACGGCCAGTAGGCTAAGTGGGTAGAACATGTACAACATAACAAAAGGAATGGCCCCATTGTCCATCTAAACTGTAGAATGACGTTAATTCTTAATTGGTCATGACTTGGATGAAAAGCGAATCAATCCCATCTGGCCACCACCAAATAACAACCCATTGGATGAGGCAGCCATTTTGGCTATGTCGGAGAAAAAATATTAAATATTGGGAAAATAGATAAAAATAAAATAAAATTAGAGAAACATATAGAAAATAATCATTTGCGAGAATGAAATAAAGAAAAAAATTACAACTTTTCGTGATACGAAAATAAGACACAATAAAACTTGGTATTGGTTGTTCTTTTTATGAATGAATTATTCTGTTATCAATTTTGAAAATTATATATATTTTTTTTATATCATATAAAAGGACACACCCAATTCATTCTTCTAACTCCTTCACTATAATTACAACCTGTAATAACTTCAAACCCAAGCCAACATTACACCAAGAATAATAGAATATCGATCACCATCCATATAACGATTCTCTCTCTATATAAGCAAACCCATTAAGCACTACTTCTCCACCAAAAGCAAAGTTCTAACCATAGCACCCAAAACAATGGAAGCCAAAGCACCATCATCAACCCTACTAGCTCTCTCCTTCCTCCTCCTCTTCATCTCCTTCCTCTCCCATTCTCAAGCTTCCCACGGCAACCACATTCGAAAACCCCGTCCCAAGCCATGCAAGGAAATGGTGTTCTACTTCCACGACATCATCTACAACGGCAGGAACATGAAGAACGCCACGTCAGCGATCGTCGGAGCACCGGCCTGGGGCAACATGACAATACTGTCGGGGATGAACCACTTCGGCGACGTGGTCGTTTTCGACGACCCGATCACGTTGGACAACAACTTGCACTCGCCGGCGGTGGGGCGAGCCCAGGGGATCTACTTGTACGACAAGAAGGAGATATTCACGTCGTGGCTGGCGTTCTCGTTCGTGTTCAACTCGACGGAGCACGTGGGGACGCTGACGTTCGCCGGAGCCGACCCGCTGATGAACAAGACGAGGGACGTGTCGGTGGTGGGAGGCACGGGGGATTTCTTCATGGCCAGAGGGGTTGCTACGCTGATGACGGATGCTTTTGAAGGGGAGGTTTATTTTAGGCTAAGGGTTGATATTAAGCTTTACGAGTGCTGGTAAAAAAAAAGAAGGGAAAGGTTTTCTGGGCCGGCTTGTTTGGGTATTTTGGGCCGAATGGGCCTGAAAGATGGCTTCAGCTGATTTCTCTATGTTTCTTTTTCGGATTCTTGGCCCAATACTCATGGTGAGTTATTGGGCCGCGGCAGATGTTTGTTTTTGCTGTTTGGAATGCTTAGCACGTGATGATTGTGAAGCTGTTCAATTTCATTATGAGGAATGAAGAATGTTAACTTTTTTTTTTGTTAACCTTTTTTTTTTATGTGAGTGTTTGGTTAAGATTGTATTTATATATGTATTCGTTAGATTTTTTTTTTTTGAATGATTGTATAATCTCGTCTTAGAGATGAAATAGTTGAAATTATTTTCTCCTTTGTTGTTCCGATTATATGGCATGATATTTCTATTAACAGGTGACTTGACGTTTTTAAAAATTTATTGACAAACAAATAAATCTAACATTATAATCTTACAATGCAAGTATGCAACCATTATAATCTTACATGGTAAGTGTGGTTTGGTTTGCAGAATATAGAATCATTGATATTTCATGAAATATGGAGAAGCCTCACAAGCCATAAGAAAAGAACACTGCTATCTAGCTACTGAAAACTACTCACCGGTCGCCACCTACCAATCATATCTCAGAGCTGTGTGTTTTTTTCCCTTCTATCTTGAATCATCCACCTACCACGGTCTCATCTTCTAACATGTGCTATTACTGGTCCTCAGTCCTCACCTACCTACTATTATGAATTTACATTCCCACGTACAAAAAGACAACACGGAAAAGGATAAATAAAGGCAGGAACCCTAGACTTTTTCTGATACTGATAGCAGGAACACAAAACCTATATTCAGTTCATCCAATCTGGCTATATATAGTACTAACAGGGTTTTGTTAGCACTGATAGCACGTATTAACAAGGTCCTATTACTACCATATTGTATAGTCAGTAACATTTTGGAGCAAATAAATGCGAGAGTGATGAATCGCAATATGACTATTGTCTGATTGCCATCCATGATCGTCAGGGTCTATATTTTGTTTGATTTCACTTCATATTTTGTTAAGAAAATGGTTTTGATGCTAAGGGCAAGAATAATTTTCTTTTTTATAAAATCAACATTAATGCTACCGAAGTCGATGAAACCTCAATCTAGCACCTTATCTTTATGTTCATGAGTGTGGATGAAAAAATGAGTTGAATTAATCATAATCTACATAATGGTATTTATTTTAGTATATTTTAAATTTTATAAATTGATTTTACAAAAGCGTGAACAACAAATACTATGTTTTTGAATAACCACTACTATTATATGAACAAACACCGATATATAGCATGAATAAACGTAAAAGTGTGTGAATAAACACAAAAATGCGTAAATTATGTGTCGATGACACCCTCCAAAGACAACAAACCTTCTTCGTCACAAACGTACATATCTACGGTACAAATGAGGAAAATATGACAGCCCCTTGACTAATCTTGTGCTAAACTTTACTCCAGCAATCATTTCAGTATCAAGAGCATAATCTATACTTCTGTTAACAAAGATCTGTCTCACGAGGTTTACATGTACAACAGGCTGATAATGCATGATACAGCCATTGTCACCCAATCCGCTCCCTAAAATTGATACTTATGGAATGGAACGTACATCACTTGTCTTTTCCACAAACTATTAACCAGTCGTGGGTTTAGTATTTACATTGGTGTTTCAGGTCAACTTCATCAACTAAGTCCCTTAAAACATGAAAAAAGTTGCAAAGGGAAACAAATTAAAAGCCAGACTCTGTATGGAAAAAGCCACATCTCTGAAAAGGATTGGTCCTACGTACTTAACTTTATGAACAATAATGCATCCATCCTCCACTAGATTTTCACTATAAAAACCCCCCGGCCATGCATGTCAAATCTACAGCGCCAAAATACTCGATAGAAGTACACACCAAAAGACAACAACAAAAAAAATCTCACGAGATGAAGAAAACCCATATTACCCATGATTCCCTCCTCCTTATCCTCCTCGTTGCCGCCACCTTCTTCTTCACCTCATCCTCCGCCACGTCCCGCACCACCGACTCCAACAAGAAACCTTTAGTCCCATGCAAGAAGCTCGACCTCTACTTCCACGACGTCCTCTACGACGGCCACAACGCAGCCAACGCGACCTCCAGCATCGTCGCCAGCCCCGTCGGCGGTTCGGGGACCCGAACCGCTCTGTCCCCGAGCTTCCACTTCGGCGACGTCATCGTGTTCGACGACCCCGTCACGTTGGACAAGAACATCCACTCAAAGCCCGTGGGCCGGGCCCAAGGCTCGTACATCTTCGACGCCAAGTCCACGTACTCGGTGTGGCTGGGCTTCGCGTTCGTGCTGAATAGCACGGACTACAAGGGCTGCATCACGTTCGCCGGGGCCGAGCCCGTGACGCTGAAGACCCGCGACGTGCCGGTGGTGGGCGGGACCGGGGACTTCTTCATGCACCGTGGGATTGCGACGACTAGTGATGAGGTGGTGGACGGTCATCTTTGTGTTCGGGTCCAGATCAGGTTTTATGAGTGTTACTAAGTGGGGTTTGGGCCGGGCCTGGCATGGGCTTTAATTAGCACTTGTTTAAAAGAAAACAGTGTGGTTTGCCTGCGAGGCCTGTAAGAGTTAAGAAGCGATATTGAGTTTCGGAGAGAGCCCATGTTGGCGTTTGGTTAAGAATCGAAAATAAGTTTCGAGAGACCATATTGCTGTTTGAATAATCATGTGGCTTTGTATTTTTCCCCACTCTACGATGAGGGGATATTTTTAGGTATTTTGTGTTGGTTTGTTTGACAGTTGCTTATCTTGCCGTGAAAAATGCTCTTTGTTGATTTCTTGATCTCGTTTTGATTGTTAATCTAAGGAAGAAAAAAAAAAAACACAATTGTTGGATGCAATGTAGATAAAATCGCGCTTTAAAACTTAAAAACTTACGATTTTACGTTTCTAGATCACTAAAATGCTTCTACACAAAAACTCAGTTTTTATACCTTATGTAGTTAACAACTCCGCTTTAAAACTTAAAAACTTACAATTTTATACTTTTCACCAAAACATTTCTACATAGAAACTCGGTTCTGACTACATTGGTTGGATGTTGCTCCAAGTAACAATTGAATGAACTCCAAGAATTGTGATAGTTCCTTTCTCGTTGAAGGGTAAGTTGATCTTGTTCTTCTTCTTCTTTCGGCCCACATATTGGGCTTCGGTCACCATGTCTCTGTTCATTTGGGCCTGAAAGACCTTCATCCTTCCTGCCGTGCGCTTCGGCCCATCAAATTTCTAGGTAATTTATATGCTCGCAACCGCCGACGAGTGAAAAAAGGCGGCAAGTTCCCCCAACAAGCGAGAGCATGCTAACGGCTCTCTTGGATTCCCGATCGTCCTCTCCGTCTCCAATCGTCTTCTCCGATCAAAGGGTATTCGCATTGGTCGCTGACAGTTCTGGAATCAACACTTGCAGACCATTACTTCGTAAGCGCTTTCTTGATTTCCCCCCTTACGACTTACGACGCGTTCTCCGATTTGCAATTCGTCCATCTCATTCTTCTTACTTGTTGTTCGGGAAATTAGGGTTTCCATATGTATTGTTTACCAAAAAGCCAATCCTTCCATTTGAATATGTTTTCGTTTACCAGAGAACATTTCATTTTCTCTATGTGTAAATTGGACCCAAAATTTGAGCTAAAAAAAGGTGAAGGATGCTATCATTTGCTCCACCTCTTTGCAGATAGCAATGAGTTCTCTTAGATCATAAGAACACAACAGACCACCCTACCTCCACACCCCATAGTAGCATTATAAAAATTAATAGATCAAACCTTTCTTTTATAGGGAACCAGAATACTCAGAATTCATTCACTCAGTTTGTTTCTCTCATCAGTTGTTGGTAGAATGAGACCAGTACTCATGAACGAGCTGGCGAAAGAGAGATCCTTCCTCTCTCATCAGATTTCCCGGTTCATCATACTCTGCCAACTCCCCTGTAACAAACCAACCAACCAATGGTTTAATGTTCTATGTAAATCCTAATGAGTTCAGGATTTTAGGCGGACCCAAATAGAGAGAAAAATAACGTTAGATACCTATGTATTAATATTTGGTCACATACCGTCGGCCATGGCGAGAACCTTGGTACTGTCCATGACAGTGGGGATTCTGTGAGCTACGGTGATGACGGTGCACTCTGCAAACTCTGTCCTAATGATCCTCTGAAGGATTGCATCTGTGGTATTGTCAATGGAAGCTGTTGCTTCGTCCAGCACCAAAATCTTGCTTCGCTTTAGCAGTGCTCGCCCCAGACAGAATAGCTGCCTCTGCCCCATGCTCCAGTTTGATCCATCTTCTGCAACTGCAATGCCAATATCAATGTTGGTAGCAGTAGCATTACTTTTCTTTCCCTTTCTCCTTTTAAATACCAACCACAAGTCATTTAGTAACTTTTTGGTTCAAGTTACCTACATTTCATATCTAAAGCTTAAGAACCCTTAAATTTAGTATTTGATATCAACATACGTTGTTCAATATTGATGAGTCTACCACAGTATTATCAACTCTAGTAGAAGGTTATCCTTGTGAAGACGAATGAATGTATTCTGAAAGCATAATGATATAGCTATTCCATTACCTGATGTGTCAAGGCCTTCTTCCTTCTGCAGAATGGCTTCCCGTAGCTGGCATTTCTCCAGAACTTCCCATATTTCTGGGTCAGTATGCCGAGACAAAGGGTCCAGATTGTACCGCACCGTGCCACAGAAGAGGGTTGGATCTTGTGGGATGATTCCGAAGTGTGATCTTAGGTCATGTAGTCCTATTGTGGAGATGTCAATCCCATCTATTATGATTCTTCCTTCCGTGGGTTCCACCAGCCTGAACAATGTGCTGATGAGAGTTGTCTTCCCACTCCCAGTCCTTCCAACTATCCCAATCTTGCTCCCTCCCTCGATCCTGCAGCTTATGCCATGCAGAACCAGTGGACTGTTCTTTTGATACCTCACCTTTAAGTTACAGATCTCCACTTGGCCATGACTTGGCCAGTTGGCTGGAGGCCTTACACTCTCAATCACTGGTGGAGCTTCACTAGGAATATGCATATACTGTTCTAGCCTCTCTACTGAAATGATTGATTCTGCTGTGAAGCACTGGTACTGAATTGATAATATGAGGAATACATTTAGTGATAGACCATATGACAGTGCCATACCAACAAACCCTGCAGTGAAAGCAAATCATGTGAACATACACCACAGTTGAGATTGCTAAACCTTAATGTCTTCACTATTGAATTTTAAGGATTGTTACCTGAAGCAGAATCACCAAGAGGTAGCAAAATCATGGTAAGTGCTGCAGCTGAGAGAACAATTGCACAAGGAATCTCGAGTCGTTGGATCAGCCACTGGCTCGCTGAGAAGTTGTGGAAGTAAGTGCTTGCATTTTTGTCAATAAGACCAAGGTTCTTAGCTAAGAATCTTTGTTCCTCCTCGAAAGCTCTGATCGTCATGGCTCCAGCGATGGATTCGGCGAGATGGCTCACAACGGATGACTTTGTTGTCCCGTTGATCCTCATTAGCTCTTTTGCCGTATTGTAGTAGTATCTCTGTGTGAAGACATACATCTTGAAGTACAAGAGAGGTAAAAACTTTCATGATTCGGGCAAAAGTTCGTAGTAAGTACCTGTAAGACCACGATTAGATAAAGGATGGGCATGATTATGAACAAGACAGGCCATGCTAGAATTGCTAATATGGCCAAGCTAGTGTATGCATTTAGAGTTGATCCCAGTGATACTGTTAACTTAAATGCCAGCTCAAGGTCTATGATGCTTAAATCAGAAGAAACCTGTTGAGCCACAAAAGAAAAAAGAGGGAATTGGCTTCATCAATATCATGAACTTCAAACAGATTTTAAAGCTGATTTTCCATAGGTTTCTTACCCGGCTGAGTATTCTTCCCAGAGGGGTAGAGTCATAGAAGGACATCGGTGCCCTGAACAGAGAGTTCATGAGCGTGGAAAAGATTGATTCTGAAGCATCACAGCCGAGTCTAACTATGGAAAGACTCCTCAAGAACATGAAGAATGGCAATGTGCATCCAATGGCAGTGTATAGACTGAACAGTGTCACTCTACTCACTCCAGGATTCTGAATGTTAGCAGCTAATAGATAGTTCTGTGACAGTTGCCCGACGATGAACAAGAATTGGAAAAGGACTGTCAAGAAACAGAACATGAACCCTTTCTTCTTGCTCAAGTAATCTATGTAAGGCTTGAAACCAGTATCCCCTGTTTCCCTTTCTTCCTTCTTTATCAACTGATGATCTCCTGATGCTGCTAAATTGGGTTGCTTACCAACCTGCATAATCTCTGTGGTTGAAACATCAGCTGTAGTCTCTCCACTAGCATCATGCTGGCTTTTTCTCCCTTCAGTTGTTGCGTTCTTGTGGGCATTGACCAGTTCATTGAACTCTTGACAGGATTCTAGCATCTCATCGTAAGTGCCGGTTCGCAAGATTTCACCTGAAGACATTAACTGCCAGAATGGACCCAATATGAAACATTTAAAGTCAGGAAAACAAAACCAGGGTTTTGGTTCATTCATGTAAGTTTCAAGGATCTGATTACCAGGATCAAGTTGAATGTTGGAAGGAAGTCAACTTGATGGGTCACTAGTAAAACAGTCTTCCCTGATAGAGCTTCCATCACATATTCCTGCCAGCTGAATCATTTTAGTTTCTACGAGAGAGACAAAGACTACGGTGAGGAGTAAGTGAAGTGAGTTTACATTGAACAGACTCGTTGCAGTATGTGCATCAACAGCACTAAATGGATCATCCAACAGGTATACATCTGCATCCTGATATAAAGCTCTAGCAAGTTGAACCCTTTGCTTCTGTCCTCCGCTAAGGTTAACTCCTCTTTCTCCGATTTCAGTTAAGTCCCCATTTGGAAGCATTTCCAGATCCTTCACCAGGGAGCACCTCTTCACCACCTCTTGGTATCTAACCGGGTCCATGGAAGACCCAAACAAGATGTTCTCTCTTATTGTTGCAGTTTGAATCCATGCCGTTTGAGAAACATATGCTATTCTTCCATAAACGTTGATTGTACCATTGATTGTGGGAACTTCTCCCAGGACCGCAGCCAACAGTGTTGATTTCCCTGATCCAACTTCTCCACAAATGGCCACCTTCTTTCCCAGTCCAACCACCAAGTTTATGTTCTTCAATGTAGCCTTAGATGAAGTAGTCTCCATGCTCCATGAAATTTCAGTAGATTGGATGAAGATGGGATTTATGCTTCTGTTGTTGTTGTCCTTTTGCCTAATGCTCCTGTGCTGCAACTCAGGTGCCTCGAGAAACTTTCCTATTCGATCCAACGACACTTTAGCTTCTATGTACATAGTAGCCACGTCAGGCAACATTCTAATTGGTTCCTGAACAATTCTCAATGTTGCTAAGAATGTGAAGACATTGCTAGCATTGAGTGGAATGCTGAGCAAGTAGCAAGCCCAGAAAGTAATTGCTGAAACTATCACAGGAGATGACCAAAACAGGATCATTATGCAGCCTCTCTGGAAAAGCACCATGGAAATGGAAACAAGCTCTTCTCTCCTAATTTTCTCTATGACTCCCCTGAAATGATTCTCCCAAGCATACAGCTTCAATACCTTCATGTTTGCAAGCGCCTCGGTTATCGCCTTCAGCCTCCTGTCTTGCTGTTGGGTGAGCCTTGTTTGATATGTAAGCTGTGATTTGGTCAAGGGTGAGCTTCCAATGACTGTTAACACAATGGCGACAAAAGCTGCTATTGTTGCCATTCCGATGGAATAGTAGACGATGAGCAATGCGAGGAATATCTGGAGGCCGGTGGTCCAAATCTTATGAAACCAATATGAAAACTCTCCTACTCTATATGCATCTATGGTGACGTAGCTCATAATCTCACCTGGGGAGTGTGTGATCCTAGCAGCATTTGAAAGAACTAGTTGCTTCTGGTAGATGGCTGCTGATAATAGAGACCTCACTCGAACCCCAACTGATCTAATTTGGAATTCGTATTGCCTCTCCGAGATTGACTCAATGCATTTGGCTGTGAGGAGTGCTAATGTGAGCACATAGACCTCATGTTTGAAAGCTGGCTTGTGCTCAGCGACATCAATGAAGGACTTTAGGAGCAAAGGGCCGGTGGAGAGAGTGAGTAGCTTGAGCAATGCAAAGAAGCCAGATAGCAGAATTTCTTTCTTGTAGCAAGAAAGTAGTGTTGACCATAATGCAGGTGGTGGCTCATTAGTTGATCCTGTTTCGACTTTCCATTTTCTTAATCTCTCCAAGTAAGTTGAGTAGCATGTTTCGGCTTGGTCTTGCTCTCTGAGGAATGGGATGTCCTCATCTTGAAGAACTTTCTCTTTGCCTTTTTTCATCAATGGATTCAGCCACCAGAATGAAAGCCTGCTGAAGAATCCAGCTTTGGCAAAAGGGCTGACCTTTTCATCATCATCAGTAGAACCCATGGACATTTCTTCTTTGCCAAGCAGAGGTGTATGGTAGGATTGAGAAGTGATCTTTCTTCTTAGGGCACAGGAAAGAAGCAGAGCTGCCCCTGGAAGCGACAAGATATCTATAACCATTTTAGCAGACACAGTCTTGTTCTTCATAACTATGGCTTGCCAAAGAGAAGTGAAGCAGAGAAAGGTGGAGAGAAGAGAGAAGGCCAAAGTTGAACACAACTTCATGGCAGCTGAAACTTGAAAATTGGTTTGTTTGTTACTACTGCTACTGCTACTGCTACTACCACCGCCACCATTCAGGCTTACACACAAATTCAGCATCAAGAGTGCCAAGCCTTGGAAGAGCAATACCATCCATCTTTGTAGTGGCAAGATAATGTTAGAGAGTTCCCATAAACCAACCCCGAAATAGAGCATGCTCACGAGGCTATTGAAGATGGCTGAGGATATCAACAGTTTGGAGAAGGCATCTGAGAGCGGTTCATGAGCTGCGGTGAATTTCTTCCAGCTGCTTGCTGCTGCTGACTTGTTGCAGATGAAGATGAATGAGGTGGTGAGCAGTAAAACGAGGTCTATGCAAAGTGTGACGACATGATCAAGACATGAGTCTGGATTGATAAGGTCGATGCTGGCTGACCGACATTCTTTTCCAAAGCCATCTGAGCATCCTGAAGCTCTGCAGAACATGGTCCAGAGACCAACCTCTTCCTCCATCGTATACCTCTATTTCAATGAAGCAGGATGACAAACTTGATGATAGTTCTTGATAAGGGAAAAGACAGTCAAAGTGAACTGTTCATATGATGATCTCCGTCCTGGTTTTTCTAAGATAATGAAAACTGCAGCAGCAGCATGGTTTCCAAATGTCCAACGTGAGAGATGATGATTGTTGTTGAAGAAAGGTTGTAGTGTTTTATAAAGTAATAACATAGATATCAAATGCACTCAACTCATCAAAAAGTTGCTCAAAGGAAGAGATATTTGGGGATCTGTGTGTTTCACAGCATGTCCATGGCAGAATCAAGAGCAAGAAAAGCATGCAGAGAGCACAAAACCTCGACTAAAACCTTCTTAAATCATTGTTTAATCCTACCAACCCACAACACAAACTAACCTCGACAAACGAATGTTGTGCTTGACTTGCTGCTCCTGGTTGGTTGTCTTGCCTCTTCCTTTCCTTCTTTGGTTTTTTCTTAGTATCTACTCTCTAGCTTTTAAGTTCTTACACATTTCAGTGGTGCACATGCATATTGTTATGATATAATAATAGTAATAATGTCGGTGGTTGTAATTAACATGTCCACACAGAACCCAGTTCTTCTAATGTTGAGATAACTTTAAGGATTGGCCCTGACCTGATGAGGATCATTATTGTGGTATAAATAATAGAAAGAACCAGGAAAAGAAGAACCTTTTTTCTTTTGCTTTCTTTTCAGTCTTCTTTTACCGTCTAGTGGGAAAGTAACTAAGTAAGCTTCTGTGTTCCACACTCATAATTGTTTTCGTGTCTGGTTAGAATTTGTTTTGGCCATCCAATTTTTCTAATGGATAGATAGTCAGCCCTGCCGGCTAGCCTTAAGTTTGGAGGGTGAAACTGAAACATCAAAGATCCCTTCATTCATCCATCCTTGTCCTTCGTCGACTCCATGCAGCATTGGTCTTCTCACATATCAACTTCATCAGTCATTTCTCTTTTCTTGGTATTGTCACGTGCCACCGGTTGTACCGGATTCAACCGGTACCGGTCATAAAACCGGCATGACACCACCGGTATGACCGGCATGATCGATATACGTATCTCTAAGTAAAATGACCTTATTTTAGAGAATTTAATTGATAAAAATTATTTTACTATTTATTTTATGAGTATAAAAGTTAAATATTGATGTTATTTGTTGGATTCAAATATAAATGTTTAGGTATTGACGTTAAATGTCATGTTTAAATATGAGTATTTATAATTTTATTTGTAATATTGACCGGCATGAACCGTCACAAATCGGTATGTGCCATCGGTTGAACCATTCCACTTGCTAAACCGGCACACTGGCATAAACCGGTTTGACAACCTAGTTGGTACTTTCTCGCTCATGAAGGTTGTCAAGACGTAAAAGTCACTAATTTGTCTGGTACTGATACAGTTTCGCGACCTTGCATTCGATACAATTTCACGAACCATGACGTAAAAGGATGTGGTTCATCTGCTGCTTATTGCATCGTGCAACACAGGACGAGTTCTCCAGCTTTCATAATCCGCATACAGAGAATGTCCCCTAAAAAGAATTTTCAGAATCCTTTGCTTCCCTATACTAGATGAAATGAAGTTCCCTTCTCGCAATGTACAACAACAAAAAAATAATATGGTGTGTTGATTAATTCTCAAGCACTTCTCCATCAAAACTTCTTTGCAGGCTGCAAACTTGGAGGAAGAATAATAGTAAGCAACCCCCATATGCTCGAGGGTGTGTGTCAGCATTCAATCCGAACAGCGCCACTCTGTGAAGAAACGAACTTGGGCTTCCGAACGACTTGCTCCAAGCACTGGATCACATCTCCAACACGATAATCTTGGCAATCACGGAGCATCATTCCGCACTCGCTCCCTTTACCGACTGCATCCACGTCCTGTGTCTCTCGTTTGAGGGACGAGCAGCATCCTTCAAACACGACTTCACCGCTCCTAAGGAGCCTCATCGTTGATGCTCTGCTGACTCGGCCATCTATCACCTTGCAGCCCGCAATCTTCATGTCTCCTCCTGCGGCTTTGCTCCTCCCCTTCAGTTCGAAGATGCTAAGGACTTCGGCCTCTCCGGCTACATGAGTCTCAGAAGTCCCGGGAGCTTTCTCTACTATCATGTTGCCCACGTCCTCTAAAAGGCGGTAGATAACTCGATGCAGCATGATCTGCACATTTATTCGACCGACCCATTTAAAGAACAAACGATTCAAGAATTGCTGAAGAATCCGGATAAAGAAAACAATCAGAAGTTACGTACCTTTATGCCGGATTTAGTTGCTGCAAGACTGACTGAACCAGGTGGAGTTTTGACATTGAATCCAATTATGCACGCACCACATGCCTGAGCTAGATCGATATCCGACTGACTGATTGGACCCACGCCTACATGGACTACATTCACGAAAACCTGGTAGCACCATCCCAAAGAACAAGATATTAACCAACAAGTGACACAAGAAGATAGCTACCAGAAGTCAGAGACTATGTTTTAGTTTTTTTAATGTTATCGCCGACTCTGGCTCATGAATGCTGATCCCACTACAGCTACAATGTGCGAATAAAGAAGTTGCTTGACTTTTTAAGCTTGAATCGATGCTAGTCATAAGACCAGATATAATACTGTTTAAGCATATAATACCTGAGGACTGTTCAAAGTCTTCAAAGCATCAGTGACAGCCTGGACAGTTCCTTGAACATCTGCTTTCACTACAATCGGCATCTCAACCCTTACAGCTACAGGCCCATCTTCTTCTGATGGTTCCTCAACCACAGGCCTGTCCTCCATAATCTGTCTCAGCCGATCTTTCTCGAACTTCTTTTTCCTACCAGCACTCAGCATTCTAGCTCTCTCCTCGGATTCCACAACAACGATATCGTCTCCAGCCATAGGAAGCCCCTTCAGCCCTTCAAGCACAACTGGCATTGCAGGTGTCGCCTGCTGTGCCAACTTCCCTACCATATCCCTTATAGCTCTTATTCTCCCCCACTCTGACCCCACCACAATGTGCTGCCCAGAGACCAAGGTTCCTGCCTTCACTATTGCTGTGGCCAGTGGTCCACGACCTTTGTCGAGTTTTGCCTCCACAACATAAGCTTGAGCTGGACCATCGACACGAGCTTTCAGGTTCATCAACTCTGCTTGAAGAAGCAAGCATTCCTCCAAGTCATCCAACCCAGTTTTCTTAACAGCGGAGACTTCAACTACCTGGACATCACCGCCCATTTCCTCTAGCTGCAAACCCTCTGATGCCAACTGGACTTTGACTCTCTCTGGGTCCGCAGCTGGCTTGTCACATTTGTTGATAGCAACCACAATTGGCACATTGGCTAATTTTGCATGGGACACAGCTTCCAATGTTTGAGGCATCACCCCATCATCAGCAGCAACTACAAGAACAACAATGTCGGTGACTGCTGCACCTCTTGCTCGCATCGCACTGAATGCAGCATGGCCTGGCGTGTCGAGAAATGTGATTGATGCCCCAGAAGTCATCCCTACCACGAAAGCACCAAGGTGCTGAGTTATTCCACCAGCTTCAGTGGCAGCCACAGCTGTTTGGCGCAGGGCATCCAGGAGAGATGTCTTTCCGTGGTCAACATGACCCATGACTGTAACAACTGGAGGTCGTGGAAGGATTTGTGAGCCTTCGGATGAATGTTGCCTCTTGACATTAACCCCAACCTCCTGCAAGAACCAATACGAAGCCATTTCCTGTAAGCTTCTAAACAGGCAAAAAGTATTTTGGTCTAAGAAAGATGATGATGATGATGATGATGATGAAATAGAACTACTATCTTGTAAGAGTCCTAACAACCCTAGCCCTAGAGTCTATGTGGAGCATTGATCATGAACTTCCACCCAGAAAAGTATTGATAATCAATAAATCAAATAACTGAAATTATTCAAATTCTGACGGTAGTATACTAGAGATTACAGAAGTATTTGTTCCCACTCTGTTAGCTAGCATGGTTATGCTTTTCTTTGGGGCATAATGAGAAAAGAGAAGTACCATAGCAATGAGCTCCGCAACATCAATGCTGAGAGGATCAAACTCTGACCCGGGCTTTTCCCCAACATTAAGAAGAACATCCTGTAAGGTGCTGATTGACTCACCAGTACGCTTGGCAAGTTCAACGATGGTCATGCCTTCAAATATGTCGACCATTTTAGCTTGAGAGGACTTCATATATTGTGTTAGTTTAGGGGGCACGTATTTAGCTTCAACAGGAGGTTTCATCTGTGCCTTGTCCCTTCTCTTAAACTTCCCTTTCCTTTCTGTCTTTAAACCCAAGGCCTCATCAACTGCTTTTCTGCTATATAGGACCGGAGTGTTATGAAAGTACCTGTTCAAGATAACAAAATGGTTTCCTCATTCCAGGCCGAAAGTAGAAAATGTTATCACAAACAAAGATAAATGAAACACAAGAAAAGTCTAAAAGGAAAAGGGGAAAGACAGCACCAGAAAGGAAGATCGAGATATCAAAAGTAGCCCAGAGTTTTTTTGCTATACGCTTGTAAAATTCAGTTAAACATATTCCTTTTTATGCCTCCTTTGACTAACCAAATGCCTGGTTAGAGAAGGACTGTAGAGCAAGATGATGCTACCACTATACTACAACATCAAAACCGAAGTAGCTTCTCCTCGCTTCTAACTCTAATTACACAAAATCCAATGGGAAAATCCAGAAGATTGAATCAGAAGAAACAGAAAAGGTGGTAGAATCACTAATAATCTTGTAGCCAAAGAACAGAGGCGAGGGATTGCAAGAGAGTAGTGAAACTATGATCCACATGAAAGATGAATATAAACATACCGGATGAAGGATTCTTTAGTCAGAACATTGCCATGAGAAGCGCCAGGTAAAAGAGAGCCACTAGTAAAGCCTGCAACTCATATGTTATACAAGTGAGCCATGATAGTGAAACAAAACTTTCTTAACCACAGCTCCAGAACACCAACACAAGCACTACCCTTGAGGATTAAGATCGTCATTTATAGAAGAAAATCAAGTCAATTGATATCCTAGATTAAGAGTTGCCGTGCAGTTAATGCCTTATACTGCCGCTCGGGCAAGCTTTTACAAAATGATTCAGTACAGTAGACAAGATAAACTCACTAAACTGGAAAGGCAGAACTTCTGCTATTAAGATATGATAATGAACCAAACAAGAAAGCAGACAATAGGCTTTTGTCAAAACATATCATTGAAGCAAGTGAACATCCAGATTGCAGGTTACCTTGTCTACAATTAGCAGCTGAAACTGATCTCACTGTGAAGTCAAGGTTAACTTTAGAGGTTGACCCAACTACATGTTCTTGAGATGACAAAATGACGCGTCTGCCAAGAGGAGACCGAATACCCTGAAAAACAGAGAGTAAGATATAACTTTGTCAATGCCAGACCTACCATTACAGAGTTTCACATTCGAAACCATATCTATGGATAATAAATTGACAAACACAATACATCAGCTAAGCTAAGTATCCCGTTTCTGGGACCGAGGAAAGGAAGTACAATGCTGATAGGAAGTACAATAATAGGAGATCTCTTCCTAAAAGGTATAATATCACCATAACCAGAATGAATCTGAAAAGTCGAGGGCAAAGCCAAGAACTTAATGCATAACCAAGGGATTTATGTAATCAGCAATATCAAGCATAATATTGCACTTTACGGTCCCAAGATATAAGCCAATATGAGGGTTTGAGTTTACCTAAGCCAATAGTTCTTAGTTCAAAAGAACAGTAATCATATAATTTACGATAAAGGCATCAATGATAAGTGTCTCAACTCTCAATCACAAACACAGTCCATCATCTCAATTGAAATCTCATAAGCTCGGCAATGCTTTGTGAAAGTCCTAGACAAGAAGGTTCAAGAACACAATCTACCTTATCACCAATCGCTCTCCAAGCCATTGACAAGCTTCTGCAACTCTGCACAAACCATCATGAAGAAAACAATCAGTTAGAAAGCATCGAGCACCAACACCCCCAATAGAATAAGGGAAAGACAAACAAGCTTGTGGCCCTATCGGCTTCCAAGATACCATTGATTTCTTGGGAAGACATCTATTGCCCTTTACACTCCATAACCAATTAGCTTTTTCTCGTTACAAAACTTGTTACATAAACCAGAACATAGAACTCAAACTTCCATATCCAATTACTTATTCCAGTCCCACCCCATCTTAGTAAGCAGGCACAAGAACCAAACTTTCTATCATCTTCCGTAAATTATAAACAACCCAAGAGGAAGGCGCCAACCCAAACTGAACCCTTCTCATTGATACACAAGCTACAATGCTTACCTTCCGGCAACAAAAACAAACAGCGCCACGGACGAATCACCGCTGCAAGCCAATTAGCAACTACGGAACGAATTCTTAATGAAGAGCTCGCAATTCATGGATGAAACTAGTCTGCTTCGCATCAATGAGATCCCAGATGAGCGAAAGCTGTCTCCGCTGCCCCGTGTATCCAAAAGATTCAAACTTGGAAGCTGTGTTTATGAAATTTAGCGGAGAACAGGGACAGGCGGGAGCCGAGGTTCTCCCGGCCGCAACTGCTACTCCGGAAAGACGGTCCGGTCCGGGTTTGAGGTTTGATGTGAAGCTGCGGGCTAATTATCATAAATGATCATAAAACTATTCACTTTGTACAAAACGGTCACAAATCTTTAATTTTGCACGTTTTAGTAACATATGTTTGGACTAATAACAAAAAGGTAATTCCGTCCATCTCCATCCAAAAAACCGTTACTTTCGTTTAGTCAACACGTCTCGTCATTTAAAATATCAATAAAATATTAATGACCAAACCCAGAACTGGTAACCCAACCGAAAACACTATTTCTTTCCACCCACTCGAATTCTTGGAGACAGAAACATGAGCCAAGTTACGCCGCCAGTTCCGGCGACTCCAGCACCGCCTCCCACCGCGTTCATCAATACCTTGCCGCTATCTCCTCACCTCCCAATCCCACCCGCTCCTCATCCTATGGCGGTACCAGATCCCCCAGCCTTTCACTTTGAAAGAGTGAATTTGACAGGTTCGGCTGCCTCTCTTGGTTATGACTATGAGAGTGGACTGGAAATGCTAGGGCCAACTAGAAAAGGAAAATTGACCAAATGAATTCGAGCAGTGAGGATTTTTGGCCATGGCTGGGAGCTAGCTATGGTACTTATGACCAATCGAAGGCATAAGAAGAAACAGAAAGAAGGCTAGCTAATTAATTACCTGAAGCATCTTGTTGATATTTCTGGCGCTGAAACCTTGTGGACATTAGCGAACTTGTGGGCGGATTGGTAGCCGAGGGCGGCGAGCAGTTGGTCGGAGGTTCTGCCAGTGGCCCCGCAGGCCACGATGCGGAGGGAGAAGCAAGCTTGTACTTCCGCCAATTGGGTGATCTTGACGGCAAGGTGGTGGTCTATCGAGAAGCAGAGGTCCTTGGCGACGACGAAAGAGAGAAAGAAGTAGAGCGGGTGGAGGAATAGGGCGAGGCTTTGGGTTGGTGGGTATAGAATTAGGGTTTTCGGTTAGGTTATTGGTTTAATTGGGTTTGATCATTAATATATTATTGATATTTTAAATGACGTGGCGTGCTGACTATGCGAAAGTAACGGTTTTTTGGATGGAGATGGACGGAATTACCGTTTTGTTATTAGTCCAAACATATGTTACTGAAACGTGCAAAATTAAAGATTTGTGACCGTTTTGTACAAAGTGAATAATTTTGTGACCATTTATGATAATTATCCTGAAGCTGCGAGTGGGGAAGGGATTATCTCACAAGTTGTAACACATTTTTAAGGAGTATCAAACAAGCCCTCTACTTTAGGTCATATACAAACTAACACCTCTACTTTAATTTTGTAACTAAAAACGTGAAACGCCCCCTCCATTTTCTATATGATATGAGTAATTGATTATCAAAAAAGAAATTTCCATATGGGTGCTTGGTTATAAATAAATAAAAATTTCATATGGGTGAGTGACTCTGTCTAAGGATGCCCTAAAATTAGTGATGGCAATGGGGCGGGCGGATATCTTAGTGACTTAGTACATACTCGTCCGTATTAAGTAGGATTGGGTAATACCAGCGTGAGTACGGACGGATAGGCCAATCATTGATGTATTATTGAAAGAAATTCTGTTATTTTTAACAATAAAATAAAGAAAAAATAGTTCGTACATTAAAGTTTGAGATAATAGGTAGATTTATTGAGTTCAATTAGTGAAAAGAAGAAGTCTTCACTTATCTAAATTCTAAAGTATCATTGGATGAAAATATGAGTTAAAATAAATCAAAATAGGATAAAAATAGATATTGGGACAAATAGAAATAGAACGAGTCAAGAACTAAGCGGAAGTGCGGGATGAAAATAGTACACATGCTCGCCCCAAGCAATCGGATATTAATCACTCAGCATGGACCAAGTCGGGTAATACCCGACAGAGCGAAATCGAATTAGCATAACTACCTAAAACGTAAGAAAGTTTATTATGGCGTAGTTGTAAACAAATTTCATCCAACTTGAGCAATCAAATCCATTGAAGCGATCTCTTGGAGACATAACTTTAGTAAGAAATCGAGTGAGATTTTTTACATTAAGGTGACAAATGAATTTTTATAGTTAGCCGTGGGAACATTTTGTTGAATGGGGAAAAAGAAGGATCAAGGACGGGCTGTAAATAGAGTGCCAAATCAAGGGACTAGCTTGTTTTACGATTAATTTGAGCAGCAATTTGTATCACGTTAGACTTGTTCTGTGGATTGCGGTTTTTACAAAAACAGCTTCTTGTTGGAGCTTCCAAGAAAAAAACAACTGTTTGATGGAAAAACTACTTCGCTTTTCACATAGAAATTTTTTGTTCAGCATGAAAAGCAAATGAGTGTACACAGACATTAGACAATAGACATACACCAAATGCAAAAATGATCAATCACAAAAGTCACCACTTGAATTCCACAAACATTTTTTTTCGTTCTGTTTATTATTGCGTACACTAACGAAAACAACAGAATTCTCTACGAATAGCAAGTTATTTGGCAAACACGAAAAAAATACACAACCCCAAACAATCGGTGATATGTTCTACAAAACCATCGAGTTTCTGGACATAAGAGGTGGCAATTCATAATACGTGAAAACAATTATACAATCACGGACATCAAGCAGCAACCTGGCTGAAGAGTAACTTGCGGATCTGCAACACGCAACAAGAACAAGCAAAGAATTCAGTTCAAGTTTGAAAGGTAATCCACATTAATCCACACCGAACAGTTTTCAACAGTCATCGACATGCGAATCTATTTCAGGAATGGAGGTGAACAGGAACGTTCATCCTAAGATTCAACTTTCAGGAATCCCAATAGCTGGGAAGCAAGAGTTCTACTTCTATTATCAAGCGCTAATGGAAGGAAGGCAGAGGCAGGGTAAGGGTAAAACGTTAGACGAAAACGCTCTATGGGGAGGAAGTTAAAGCATGGAGTGCTTGTTCCTGCTCTAGAAAAGAAGTGAATGGGAAAAGGTTTGATTTAATCAATGAAACAAATACACATTTTACATTCCAAATCTAGCAACAACTCGTCCTATTCCTCATAGCTTACTCAAATCCCAAAGTCACATCAATAAATTAAATCTCGTTTCCAACTTTGTTCCTTTGCAACAAGAATCTACTTGCCTATAATAGTTACCTGATTTTTATTATATCGTTTTTAAACACACGCCCATCCTATTAGTTACCTTGCATTGCTGTAAACATTTCATAGCCATCAATTCTACTTTTTCTAGAACTCGATCAAATCCTAATCGGAAAGGAAAATGAACTCAGCCAATCCTGATTCATTTCTTCTACCAAACATAATAGTGTCAACTCTCTGTTGCAAGAATGTAAAAATAGAGAGAATAACAGTGTTCATACCACGGGGAGCTTCTGACGGAACACAACATCCAGACGTGCATCGAGGGTATTCTCAAACACGATCTTCCCATCTCGGGACGCCAGGACCACACCTCCAGAGCTAAGCCAGAAAACATTGAAAGTTATCAGGAGAAGGATTTGATTGATCTGCAAACCTCTAAACAAACCCACTACTATACTAGTAAATTTAATGTTAACCATAAACTTACCAAGAAAGAGCATGAACATTGTGGTGGCTAGGAGCAGGTGGCAGATAGATTTGATGGTCCAACAGAATTTCTGGTGCATGAACCTGTGCCTTTTCAGCATATTCCTCTTTGGCTGATTCCAACACAGATTCTACCAGATTGACGTCCGCCTCACGGCAACGCAGCAAGACAGCAGGTTCCTTCAGTCTAAGCAAGCTCTGTAACCAGCCAAAAAGTTGCATAGCAATATCAGAACCGAAGACAACTAAAGTCTCACATGACCATATGTAGGCAATATTTTCTCCAACCGCACCAAGGAAAGCAACCCCATGGGTGGTAACAAATCAGGAACAATGTAGGTTTATGGTCTACAAAGAATAAACATTCACAAGATGTTGAAACATAAAACAGGAGAGTAATTCATTATAAAAAAGGTATCGTTCCGGTCTCAATGATGTATTCTGGTCATCTCTCATAACCCAGTATATGACTGCACATGTATTGCTCACCTGAACTATGAGATCCTGCAGAAGCTTCTTGTACTTATAATCATCACCGCTCACATTCAGAAGATCCTTAGCTGCTGACTCTTTCATGGAATTGACCACATCATCTTGGGCCTGAAGAACTTTGATCCGGGAAGCATTAAGCTGCATTGAGTACTCACTGCCAAAAGAAAATGTAAAGCCCATTTAACACAACAAACCACTTCTTGAACTTCAGTAAACAAAGGGATCATAGGCACAGCAATTGTCAGGCAATCAGGAGCAGGTTCTCAATAGAGAAGATAATCATAGCATCAAATCCTTCCATTCTGACAAACCACTAAACTTAGCAGTTCAAACATTTCTTACCGTTTAAAGATTTGGAATCAGACCAAGAAACTTACATTTTTTTACGAACATCGACTTGCTTCTCCTTACGCTCATACTCCTGCCTGATCTTCTTCTTCTCCGCTTCTAACAGCTGCAACTTCTCGATGTTGAATTCCTGAAACACAAGCAACGAGAAATTGTGTATCTCAAAACCACATCCATTCCCATCTCCGCCACAGCATTCACAGAGCAGACCAATCAAATCCAAAAACCCCGGAATCCGACAATCGGACCAGATTCTAAACCACGGCAGTCAAATCAAAATGAATAAACAAAATTCACAAGAGAGATCGATTTTCTGAAAGAAAAGTAGAGAGCATAAAGGTTGAGGGGCGTACCTCTTCGGCAGAGACGGAGATCTCGTTGGCCTTCTCTTCGGCTTCTTGCCGAATGAATCGGCACATCTGCTGGATCTGCTTGGGGACATCGGCATCATTCATGATTGCTTCCGGCCGGCGACGGTGATGGACAGAATTGATTGGAGAGATAGTGCCGATGGATTGCGATCGGAAGCGATGAGACTGGAGAAGAGAGACAGTGAGTTTGTGGATGGAGAGTATATAGAGTCCGTGCGTGATATGAGTAAAGCTATGTATGGCTGGCTATTTGGACCGGGACCGGATGAAAAACCGGAAACCGGACCGTATAACCCGGACCGAGACCGGACCGGGATCGGATAGTAAACAATCCAATCCAATCTTTGGGCTTAGATTTTAGGTAAAAAACCGGATAAAGACCGGATAAGAGAGCTCAACACCTAAAACTTAAGGGTAATTTGCATAAACGGTCACAAACCTTTGCACTTAGTACAAAACTTAACCAACTCCTCACCCTTTTAGGCCTTAGGCCACTCAAATTCCCACAATCTCAATATAAAATCAAGACCGAATTGGGACCGGACCGGGTCAAGACCGGACCGGATCAAGACCGGACTGTATCCAATCCAATCTTCGGTCCTTATATTTTCAAAAAAACCGGACTGGACCGGATCAATTTGGGCCAATTTAACCGGACCGGACCATACAGCCACCCCTAAAGCTATGGACGCACAGTTTTTTACCTTCTCGGCTTCTCCTTTTCCCCCCCTTCGGCAGTTTTGGGTTATTTCCTCTTAATTTTTAACTTGGTCAATAATATTTGCTAAGCTCTTGATTTTAGGTTTGTATATTGTAGATTTTAGCATAAAATTAGATGTAATGATCACATTTTAAAGATTTATGTTTGTTTCGTATGATAATAATTAATCGAATGAATTTGTTTCGTAGATCAATAAAAATAGCAGATTACATGTTAATTGTGTAACACTCGACCAGTAACCCTTATGTGTACAAGGTCGATCTTACGATACTCCAATTGACATTTATCAGTCTTATAGAAACACAACTACAACTTATTATTAATGTAGACATTTCAATTAAAAAATCATTGATTTAGATAACAATAAGGTTAACCGATATAAGCTACATAAAGGACATCACATATTTTTACTAAATTGATATTACCAATTAAGTGAAAAATAGATTGAATTTGTTCCTCATATTCCCAATGATTCTTAATTGATGGTTAGCCCAAATTTACTCGGAAAATTGAAAGAAATTTATTTTTATTTCAAATAAACAGTCAATTTCTTTCCCCACCAAAACAATGTAGCAAATTGAGGGGCTCAAAGTAACAATTAGCCTTGGGCCCTGGGCAGTTGTGAATTGATTTCAAATATATCCAGCTCATCCTCCAAAGTCTTAACCGGACCGGGATTCCTGAATGGATACACTCTGTGATGCTATTCATGCTCATGTCCCAGGCTTGTAATCCACTTCTACATTGGGCCTGGGCCTCCAAACTCCATTACACCCACATGAATTCGGGCCTCGAATCAATCCACCCCGTCCCAGAATTTGGGCCTCCGTCCAAACACAGACAAGACAACCATTGGAACTTGGAAGTAGGAATGTCAAGGGGAGGTCCGGGGCGGGTATCTCGATACCCATACCTGCCACATGGCAGGTCGGGTAATTTATCACGGGGCGCGGTCGGGGCAGGTCGATTAATTGGGTATGTAATTTATGTGAAAAACATTAGAAATATTCGTTCTTTTCATTGAAAGACCAAGAAAGAAACCTTAATATGATAAAATGTAGTTAAATTATTGAAGAAATTGAGGTTTTCACTTATTTACAACTTTATTATAGCTAAAATATATTGTAATAAGAGGAAAATCTTAAGTAATTTGACTAAGATTATATGTAATTTAGGCAAGAACGGGTCGAGAATGGGGCGGGTCATGGCAGGTCGGGTCGATGAGAGGTACCCATGCCCGCCCCGCCCCGCCTACGGGGCGGGTTAACAGGTCAAACAGGTCGGGTAAATCGGGTCAGGTCGAAATTGCCATCCAAACTTAGAAGGAGTTGTTTTCTTTCATCACATGCTCATCGTCATCAATAATCATTCATCCTTGAGCTAACCTTCGCACAGCTGTGGACAGATGAGACAGGTTTGCATTATCGATCTCAAAAGGCTCGTAATAGGAAGGGTTGGACATAATAAACATCCTCTGAATCACCATGAGTTCGAGGGTTTACATGTAGTACCGATCTGAGTTTTCAAAATGTAACAGATCCAAAAGTCAACTAAACAAAAAACTCGCCGATTAAGAACTGTATCTATCACCAGGAAACTTCCCAAATTATATATTCTTTTCTTATGACGGTTCCTTCATTTCTTAATTCTGTGGGGGCTGTGTGGAATCTGTTGGATTATCTTTCAATCTAACTGACCTTTCTTCTTCAATCCCTTTTTCCCCCCACAATGCTGCTTCCTATTTCCATCCCCAGTCCCCACATCCTGTTTAACCTGAATATTCAATTCAAAGCTCGTACCAAGTTGTGGATAAAATCATCAATGGTTCCCAATTCCCATCCACCATTGTTTTTTACGACTTCTTCAGAACGGTGGGAAATTAAAAAGGAAGTTTTTTTTTTTTTTTATATCTCATGTGCGCTTGTGCTCCAATGTTGACCGACCCTCCCCTGCCCACCAATTCCGCCCCTTTTCCTTCCCTTTTGTCCCCTTTTCAAACTTCGCTGCTACCCATAAATGGTTCGATTCAGGGCTCCTGTCATTGGCTGGGAAGTTAAAGGCCGTTTCTTTCTGTTGGTCATCTGGGTACCAGTTCGTGAGGAATTCAAAGCTTTCTTGTCCGTTTCCAGAGAGGATTGAGTCTCGTTTTCCCACCCGAGTTGGCTCGTTCGGTCCATAGATATACAAACAACTGAAGGGTTGCAGGGAATCAAGTTTGCGGAGAAGAAGCCTTTTTAAGTAAAGGGTAGTCCAGAGATCTGTGATTGCTCGGAGATTTTGTTGGTTTGCTCGTCACGGGAAGTCTCACAAGTTCGTTGTTTCTTTCTTCCTTTGCTCCTCCGCCTTTTTGGTTTCTCTTTCTCACAAGAGAAGTGCTGTGGAGAAGTAAAAGCAGGAAAGGGGAAGGCTTGTGGAAGGAAAAGATCCAATCTTTAGCACAGATTTCTCTGATTGAAGCAATCTGTTCTTCTGGGTAGTATATAACAGAGAGCAAAGCAAGTCCAGAAGCATAGAAGAAAGAAGGAAAGGAAGGGAGTATTTGAAGTTGGTCTTCTCCTTTGTTTTGCAAATCTGGTTTTCTCTTCGCCATGGACTATAATGGAGTAGTTGAAGTTAGCAGGGATAAAAATGGGATTGATGAGATTCTACTTCGCAACCCTAGAGGAGCCTCAACAAGGGTCAGTCATTACTACCTTTGTTCTTCTGTTCTTTCCCTTCCTTTTCTTCTTCTGTAACAGCAGTTATGGTGTTGTTGATATTCCTCAATGGAATAACAAAATCTCCGTTTACAGGTAAGCTTGTATGGAGGACAGGTTCTTTCCTGGAGAACTGACCAAGGAGAAGAATTGCTCTTCACTAGCAGCAAGGTGATGATGAATCAAAATCAGATTGGTGGTGTTTGTTTTTTTCCCCCAACGCCATGGGAGGGAACCTTTTTCTTCTTTTGGAACTGTCTGTTGCTTAAAATTGATGTTTGGTTGCAGGCAATTTTCAAGCCACCCAATCCAGTTAGAGGAGGAATCCCAATCTGCTTCCCTCAGGTACTTCACTTTCATGCCATACTTGGACATTTCTGATTAAAATCAGTACTGTACTGTGAATTGGAACCTGAAATTTCAATGTTTCTCTAGTTTGGCAATAGAGGAGCTTTGGAGCATCATGGATTTGCTAGGAAGAAAGTGTGGATAATTGATGACAACCCGCCCCCATTACAGCCTAATGACTCCAATGGCAAGTCCTACGTCGATTTGCTTCTGAAGCCATCTGAAGATGATCTCAAGTTGTGGCCTCACAGGTAAACAACAAGGAAAAAGGAAAAGATTGAAGCTTTTCTTGATAAATATGAACAACCCTTCACCAGAACATGGCTTGATTGTTGGTATGTTGTGGGATTTTCAGCTTCGAGTTTCGCCTGAGGGTAGCGATAACAGCAGAAGGGAACCTGGCCATGGTTTCACGCATCAGGAACATTAACTGCAAGCCTTTCAGTTTCTCAATTGCATACCATACCTATTTCTCCATTTCAGACATCAAGTAAGTTTGCAGGATCTGCAGATTACTGCAGTAAATCTTCTCTCATCCAATGATTTCCCAAACTGACATGAATCATTTTGCCTTCTGGTGACAGTGAGGTGAGGGTGGAAGGACTGGAAACTCTCGATTACCTCGACAACCTTTGCGAAAGGGAACGATTCACAGAACAAGGGGACGCCTTGACTTTTGAATCTGAGGTCATTTTTTGGCCCTTCACTACTTCCCAATCTTTAATCTTCCTTCATTTTTCAGGTTGAATATGGAATTTTAGAATATGTGGACTTGTGGCTTCATGGTATTGAAAGGAATCAATTTCTGAATCCCTTTCTTTATTATTTCCCCTAGGTGGACCGTGTTTATCTGAGTTCATCAGATGTGATTGCTGTCTTCGATCACCAGAGGAAGAGAACATTTCAAATCAGAAAGGAAGGGCTCCCTGATGTTGGTAAAAACAGTCTATTCCATTCCCAACCCACTTCTTCCTTTCTTTTCTTTCTGCCTTCTGAGAATTTCAACCATCATTCTCCCCCTTTGAAATTTCAAACTCCTGCTACAGTTAGAAGCTAGTTTGGTAGGCACGGCAGAAGACACTTGTACTCTAAGCAATCATCTATATCTTATTGTATCCTTTCAAAACCTGTCTGCTGCAGTGGTATGGAATCCATGGGAGAAGAAAGCAAAGGCAATGGCAGATCTTGGAGATGAAGAGTACAAGCAGATGCTGTGCGTTGATGGTGCTGCAATTGAGAAGCCAATCACGTTGAAGCCTGGTGAGGAATGGACCGGCCGTTTAGAACTCTCCCTCATCCCTTCAAGTTGATTGGTATGCTGCTGGTGGACCATCAAAAACACTGATAAAGTAACCTTCTTTATCTAATTCAACCAAATACAAATGGACAGAGATGGCCAAACAAGTAAACCTAATTTTTTGCTTGCTTTGCACTATTTCCACAACTAAAGTGATTACTGAAGGTGATAGTTACCTTAGTTGGGGAAATAGACATGTATTCATATATAGCTGCCTCTTTGACTTTTCTTTCTATAATGGTGGCATGACCAATTTTAGGGGTCTCTGCTAAGATAGAGAGAGAAAGTGGAGAAGAGGGTGTTTACAATAAAGTTAGAGAGAGAGAGAGAGAGAAGATGGGTTAGTCTGCTTGGATGGAGATAATATGAGGTTTTTATTTCTGGTTTCTCCATGTTAGCAGCAAGCAGGGAGGAGGAAGAAGAGTGTTATATTATTAGAGCATTTCTTTCTTCCATTGTGTTGTGATTTTTTGGTTGATTTCTTCGGTTTTTATTTATGTAATTTGGGGTTCTTTTGGCCTAATTGTAAGTGTATATGTATATGGATCTGGCCATGATTGTGTGCCAATTGAGACATGCTTTTCTGATAAATAAATTGTTTGATTATTTAGTGTTCCATGCTCACAATGTTTTGTGTTGTTTTATGGTAGTTTTAATTTAATTATTTGTTATGTTAATATTACCAATTTTGATTTATAATATGGAGATCCCAAATTTAACTTATAAAAGTTTAGTATAATATATTTTTTATGGGAATTTAGTATAATATACATCAACTCGCTGATTGTGGATCATTCCACTAACGTACGGCCTAATTACTAAAAGTTTGGTTTGATTATCGGTGAACTGTAATTCAGAAAAAAAGCTAATTGCAACAAAAATAAAGACATTATCCACAGGGCCCAAAAGCATTAATGGACCAGTAAGGCCCGGATATGGTCATAACGAAACGCGTCATTAGCCCACTTGTAAATTGGGGTGGTCTACATGCCCACATCCCTCGGGCTCACTTTGCCCAAGATACGTACTCGCCTGCCTCACTTCGCCTCTTTAAATTTTCTCCATTGCATGCATTTTGCCACATTGGTAAAAATGCAAGATAGTAGATTTGCATTCTTATCATTGTGTATGCTATGAAATCCGGCGGCTTTGTGACTGGCCGCATATCAAGGTTTAGGAAACTGTACCGGAAGTTATACAAAAAAAGTGAATGGTAGGGTATTTTAGACCAAAACTGTGGTTTAACTGTGATTGAACTGTATCATACCGCTAAAACTGCCTACCGTTTTGAGTCAGGTATCTGATATGCCTGATCCGACCGACCGGTACGGTAGGGTTTCCTAAACCTTGATTTAAATCGTTGCGGTTTCTTTTTTATATATATAGAGTTTGTGATGAAACGAAAGATCACACTGGAAAAAAGTACATTGATAATCAGTACTCACACTAGTCCATCTTCGTCTCCCTTTTCCCGCTCTCCTCTTCGTGCCGAAGGATCCCTTAACTATTAGGATTAATCGAACGAATCACACTTTTACCACTAAACTATACCCGCTATTATTTGATTATTGTATAGAAAAGAACCTTTTGTCGAGTAAGAGCATCGCCTCTCCCTTTCATCATTTTGTAGTATGTGTCTCATTGCCTTCTTTTTTAGTTGTTCCGCCATCCAACCCTCTTGACAATTTGTTCAGTTTTTTTTTTCATGACTAATAACAAAACATCACAAACCACAATCACTCTACGATTTATCGATTCATCAGAAAAATTCTATAAAATATTGTCGTAGTTGCTCGTCCCGCCCCACGTTCAGGTGCAGTTAACCAACCAATCCGGTGTCACTAACCACAACTGCATCGTATCCCAACCCTGATGGTAAGTATCCAACCTTCATTTTCTATCTTATTCAAATTCAAATTATATATGGATAAAAAAAACCCCAAACAACCCACAAACCTAATTTTGCTTGCCTTTCTACTATCCCCACAAGTAAAGTTCCAAGTGGTCATCTCTTGCCACTATAGTTATTTCCGTAGTGGAAGTGGAATTATACCTATTTGCCTCCTAAGAATCGACTAGTTTTATGACTACTCTATGTGTTTACTTTTCCTCTATATATGGCGATGGCACGAAACTAGCCTTTGTATGGTTAGCGATTGGGACATCCGTAGATAAGCAACTTTGTGTGGTGGGTGTTGGGCCTCTTTAATTCTTGGCCCTTAGCGACAAAATTAAGATCCGGTCTGGTCATGGACTTCAATTCCATCGATTCTCAGTGGCAAGTGCAATGCATGAACCACACTTCATTAATTAAGCGATGCATTTATAACTTACAAAGCTGTAGTTTAATGACGACTGTGACATTGATTACGACCAATCTCAAACATTCTCTCATCTCATCTACACCTTCGTTGCCTTTACTCGGACCTCACAATTGAGAACTTGGACCTCCAAACGTACAAGACTCCAAATGCAAAATCATCGTTTTGAAGGCATCAAGAGAGAGTTCTAAAAGTTTCATGACAAATAAACAAAACAAAAAAGGCAAGTCAAGAGTAAGTATGGATTTGATATCGGACTATCCACATTAGTACAACATTGTTTGTTCTTGATCAAGTCTTGAAATGTCTCGTATTATTGGAGTTAGGTGGACACTTATAACATGTATGTAAATTTCATTTTTTTTTTCTTCTGATTATTTGGCACTCGAGTTACTACACCTACATGTATTTGGTTGGTTAGTGAAACTTTATGAGAAAATAAATTTTAACGATTGATTTATTGGCAACTCCAAAAATACGTGTTTATTTATGTATTTTACCACTGGAAGAATAAATTCAAATCTCAATCCTATATTTTTGAAGAGAAATCGATTAATGGTCCTTGGTAGAACTAGAATGTAGAAACCTCGATTCATCGTTCTCATGAGTTTGTGAGTTGTATGCATCTAGATTTGTTGTTCTTAAAATAATTAATTCTTGATATAATTAGTAAGTGCCAATATGTAATTCCAAAGAGATAATAATGATTACCTAGTAAGTAGCATCTCTTTCCCAATTCTTTCTTTCTCAAGTGCCATCTTGACTTTTTTTTAATTACTGGCCAATACTACAGTGCCGCACTAAAAAGTGCGGCACCGGTGACGCCGTTTTTAATTGGGCCACGTGGCGCTGACGTGGCCTGACTGGTTTCATAATTTCGAGCCCATGACCCATACGAATTTGGAATTGTCAATTGTCCAAACCAAAAGCGCTAGCCACAGACGGAAGTTTCAACAACCGTTTACTATTTCCTTTTTTTCAATAATTAATTTTAAATTAATTTAACTTTTATATGCATTTAATTTTATCTTGAAAAAAAAAACGAAGGAAAAGGAAAATCCTAGGGTTCTACAGCGAGAGAGATGAGAATTGAGAAGGTAAACAGATAATCAGTGTACAGAGACATTGAACTGGCCGGCAGAAAAAGGGAAGCGGTTGAGCCCTAAACCAGGAATTATTTTCCAGTCTCGCGGCGCTGCTGAAAAATGGAAGCGGAAACGGCTCAAGAGAATCGAGATTCTCGTGCCGGCTGAGAACCCGGTCAACGAATCGGCAGAATTCCACGTCTCGCTTCCTTAGAATCACTGAAACAGGTACTGGCGCGGGTGAGGCGACGTTCCAGCCCAGAGGCTTGCAAACCAAGCGGTTGTCGAAATCGAGACTAGAAACCCTAATCTATAGATCCTTCCACCGTTGGCTCAGGACTGCGGTGACGACGGCGTACTTGGTTGGCAGGTAAGAGAGGATGTGGGTGATGATTTCGTCCGGCAGTGAGCTCAGCCTGTCGTGGTCGATTCCGGTCGCCGGGACCTTCCGTTGACGCGTCCTCCTTGCGATTTTACCACTCATCGTCTTCATCGACAGAGTGCCGCGGGAAAACTGAGACAGGAAAGTGAACGGCGAAGAAAAAAACAAATAAAACTGAACAAAATAATATGGGGAAGAACGCTGTGGAAAAAATTAATGGAAAGAATCCGTCCGTTTGGGTACAGCTTCGGTTCGGGCCAATTTCAATAGGTCAGTAGGCTTTGGACTCAAATTAAATAAACCAGTCAGGCCACGTCATTACCACGTGGCCCAATCAAAAACAGCGTCACCGGTGCCGCACTTTTTAGTGCGGCACCATAGTATTGGCCTTAATTACTTGTTCTTGTTCTTTAATCATTTTGACTCTTCCATTTACTTTTTTTCCCCCCTAGTAATCACTCGGGAAAAAACAGTAAGAAAATCCAAGTCCGGCCACCTACCGTATCCAACGGCCCAAAGCCCCCATCTCGTCCCAATCATGCTCCAATCCTACGGCCACATTCGCCGTAGCGGACCCCACCCGTACAACTCTTGCCCAAAAGCAAAACGACATCATTCACGTTATTTCACGACAACGAGACATCCCTTTCCCTAATCCAAACCCCAAAACAGAGGTCAACAACAAAGTTTTAATTTGTTGGGCCCCAATTGTCACTTTCTCCAAGCCCATCGGGTCCGCAAGGATCCGCCCCGGAGGCCCAGAATCCGACTCCCTTGTTTGTTCTCCCTCCCTTCTTTCCCCTTTCTCCTTCATCCAAGCTCTCATCCATCATCAAAGCTCGTTTCTTCGTAGCCGTTTTGTTTCAGTTACCTTGTTCCACCGAACCGCCATCATAGCCGTTGTTTCGAGCTCAATTGCAACTATCCCACCACTTCTTCCCCTCTTCTTACTACACACTACTCCATACCTTTTCTTTACCTTCACTTTCTCGGGAAAAATTCACTTCCCCTTTGTTGGTTTTCCACTTTTCGCAGCTGGAAATCATCACTAATCAGAGCTACCAGTTTTCCCAGTTCCCACTCTCCAATTAATCATCATATTTGGTAAGTCTCAACTCTCAACCACTATTTTCTCCCCACTTTCATTTCTCTCTCTGATTACTTTATAATTTTCAATTTGGGTCTGCAATGCATTGAGCAGAAGGTTTTGGTGGGTGCAATGTGAAAGTGGCATGAGCAATCATGCAACTTCCACTCTGGGTTTGAGCTTTTTGTTTTTTTTTTTCCTCTTTCCCTTTTTTTTTGCAAGGAAGAAGATAGATAACTAACAGAGTCTTCACCTCCAGCTCCAGTTAGATTTTCCGAGTATTTTAATGGTGTGTGCCAAATTTGTTATTTTTCCCCTTTCCCTATCCAAATTGATTCCTGACAACATTGAGTGCTGTTGTTTGTCTAGTTTATTAGCTTAATCCCTTGACTCTTGCTACATTATTTGTGTGGGTTCACCTTCAAATTGAGCTGGATTTTTGTTTTGTTTTGGTTGTTCGCTTTCAGATCTGAAAGAAGAGAGTTAGTAAGTAATCTCTTCTTTTCAGCACTAGTTTAGGCTGGCTGACGGCTTTGATTGATTTCTTTATTGAGGCCATTAAAGTGGCGAAGTAAGAAAAGCAGCAGGCCATGGAAGGAAAGGAAGGAACAAAAAGAGAGAAACCTCGATTCCTGGTGTGGTAGAAGAAGCACAGCGAGAGAGAGATTTTTGAATTACAAAATTCACATATTTTCTTTTTGACCCATTTATTATTCAAATCCAGCAACCCAAAAAGCTTCATCCTTTGGTGTTTTCAAAACACCAGCCTGCTGCACAGAGTGACAGAGAGATGTTTTAGCTTCTGCTTTTGTCGACATTTATCTTGGAATCTCCCTTTCCTTTCCTTTATTTCTTTACTTCTCATTCTGTGTTTAAATTTGGGATCTTTCCCCTTTTTTCTCCCTTTTTGTACTGTATTTTTAGTTGTTTCCACCTCGTCATAAAATTCATTCTTGTTACAGGGGAGAGGGTGAGAGAACTGTGGGAAAGAAGCAGAAGAAAACAGCTCGTTTTTTCGGCCTTCTCCGAATTTTTCCTCTCCAATGGAAGACGCTAGTAAGGCTATTGTTCTGTTCTACTTGGTGGGTGTGATCCTGCTGGGAGCAAATGCAGACCCAGTTGAAGATAAACAAGCTTTACTAGACTTCATCGCCAAATTCCACCACTCCAGAGCGCTAAACTGGAACGAGAGCTCCTCACTCTGCAACGAATGGACTGGAATCACTTGCAACGAAGATGGCTCTCGAGTAATCTCCGTTAGGCTCCCCGGCGTCGGCTTCCAAGGCCCCATTCCTCCCAACACTCTCAGCCGTCTCTCGGCGTTGCAGGTTCTGAGCCTTAGATCCAATGGGATTACTGGGGAATTCCCTTCTGATCTTTATACTCTAAAGAACTTGTCTTTTCTCTACTTGCAATACAACAACTTATCTGGGTCGTTGCCAGCTGATTTCACTGTCTGGAGCAACCTCACCATTGTGAATTTCTCCAACAATAGGTTTAGTGGCACTATCCCTAGCTCACTTAAGCAATTGACTAGACTCGCTGCGTTGAATCTCGCAAACAATTCCCTCTCCGGTGAAATCCCTGACCTTGGTTCACCAGCTCTGCAGCAGATCAACTTGTCCTACAATTACCTCTCTGGTGATATCCCTAACTCTCTCAGGAGATTCCCGATCTCAGTGTTTGCTGGTAACAGCAATGTTTCGACTGAAGGAGGTGGTTTCACTCCACATTCCTCTCCATTTCCCACACCATCACCGCCACATTCGGTTCTTCCTTCGTCCAAACCTGGGAAGCGTCTCAGTGAAGCAGCATTGCTCGGGATTATAGTTGCTGTTGGGGTGTTAGTATTGGTGGCTTTTGCTCTATTGCTCGTTGTTTGTTGCTCGAGGAAGAAAGGAAGTGGTGAAGATGTGTATTCGATTTCGACAAAGTTGCAAAAGGGTGGAATGTCCCCTGAGAAGATGGTCTCAAGGAACCAGGATGCTAGCAACAAGCTGGTGTTCTTCGATGGATGTAACTACGCATTCGATTTGGAAGACTTGTTGAGAGCTTCTGCTGAGGTTTTGGGGAAGGGCACGTTCGGAATGGCTTATAAGGCGATATTGGAGGATGCTACTACAGTGGTGGTGAAGAGGTTGAAGGAAGTGGGTGCTGGGAAGAGAGATTTCGAGCAGCAGATGGATATCGTCGGTGGGATTAGGCACGAGAATGTGGTTGAGCTCAAGGCTTATTACTTCTCCAAGGATGAGAAGCTTATGGTGTGTGATTACTACGCCCGGGGGAGTGTCTCAGCTATGCTTCATGGTAATGCTTTGCTCTACTCGCTGTGTTTTTACTTCAACAGTCTTTTATTCCAACGTCTTACCTGCCTTGATTAGTACTAATTAATCCTTTGGCTTACCCAATTATGCTTTTTTCTTGAGGGGTTTTGCTGGGTTGATAGATTTCCATATTGATGGGTCTGGATTCTGAAAAGTAAGATGCATTTAGTTAATAATAGAATCTGAAATCTAGCTGGTACTTATTTCTGTAAATTTAGGTATGTGGATTGTCTAATTGTGTGATTGCTCTTTACTACAAGTGGGTTGATGATTTTTTAGCCGTCATTTATATATCCATCAAGTCGATGATTTGTTTTGTATATTCATCACTTCCACTCTTTGTGAAACAAACACAAATTCCTGAAATTTGAACACAATGGATCACAGTAAATCCATCAGCCAAAATGATTCTCTTAGTAGTATTCAAGAGTTGCAATTTCATGGTTGAAAAAGCATTAATGATCCCTGACCATCTGATCTTCACCTTGCAGCCAAAAGAGGGCACGAGAGAGTGCCATTGGACTGGGAAACGAGGATGCAGATCGCCATAGGTGCAGCATGCGGCATCTCATGTATTCACCAAGCAAATGGAGGGAAATTTGTCCATGGCAACATCAAGTCCTCCAACATATTCCTGAACCCCACCACCGGCTACGGATGTGTCTCCGATGTCGGTTTATCAGCCGTGATGAGCGCACTTGCCCCTCCGATCTCTCGTGCAGCTGGCTACCGAGCACCGGAGGTCACCGACACGAGGAAAGCAACACAAGCTTCCGATGTCTACAGCTTCGGCGTGGTCCTGCTCGAGCTTCTGACAGGGAAGTCTCCAATTCATACCACGGGTGGGGACGAGATCATACATTTGGTGAGGTGGGTTCATTCGGTGGTGCGAGAGGAGTGGACAGCCGAAGTCTTCGATGTGGAGCTGCTGAGGTACCCGAACATCGAGGAAGAGATGGTCGAGATGCTGCAGATCGCAATGTCTTGCGTGGTGAGGGTTCCTGATCAGAGGCCGAAGATGGACGAGGTTGTGAAGCTGTTGGAGGGCGTTCGAGCTAGGGATACAGAGAACCGGGGATCTACGGGAACTTCAACTCCACAGATGGCGTCGACACCGGTAGCAGCTCCGCCGCCTCTAGAATCATGAACATGATTGATGTATTAGCGAAATCCGTCGTAGTCCTTCGTTATTCGTCGTCCTTTTGGTTTTGGGTCTTTTTAGCCATTGATGATTCTGATTGTGATTTTAGTTGAGTGTTGAATGAATGGCTTATTTGACACTTCCTTGTGATCTCAATGTTGCTGTCAAATTTGTCATTTGTTCATTATGTTTAGTAGTGATGGTTGTCAAGTTTGGATCTTTGTTGAAGTAATTCAGAGTCGAAAAGCAAGTCTCTGTCTAGCTCCGAGGATCAGATTTCGTTAGTATTTTATTGAAATTGAATCTTAATACTCTTTTTCTTTCACCAAAAGTGAACTGAAATGTCTGCTTTGGGGAGTTCAAGCTTTTATTTGAGCCTTTATTTTGAAAATGCATTCGTCATACTTCTTGTATACACAAGCTTTATTGATAATACTCGGCTGCATTAAACTGAAAAACAACTAAACAAGCAAAGCTTACGAACTGAATACCAGAAAGTAACGGGCCATTCATAGAAGCCCACCCAAAGCTTCTTGAACAATACAAACCAGAAAAGCCTAACATTTAGAGGCCCAACATTGATGAACACATGCCACTTAACGCCGGACACCGCTTTATCGTTTTGGGTCTAAGTGAGTAGGTTATTAATAGCATGTTCTATAGTTAGAATTTTCTGATGAATTGATGAATTTATGTATTTTAATAGTTCGTAAGAAAATGAGAAAGAAAAAATAAGAGATTGACAATCTCACATTTTAGTTGAATTTACACTATTATGTAATATTAATTTTGGCGGTCTAATTTTTTGCTCAGGTACAAGTATTGAGTATTGTTTTTCATTTTAAGATAATAAACGACTAATACTCCTAATTACAAATATTGATTAAATACTTCATATGAAATATCGACCGCGAAACAACTCCTAAAGCACACAAACCTAGTAATAAATCTAGTAAACATATCAGAACATGCCCTTTAGATCACGAGATAGAATATTTTCGTTTTAAATCAAAGTGATAATCATCTTATTGAAACTTTATATAATTCTTAAGATAAGTCAACTCTCATTATGCATAAGAATATACAAATGCAACATCATTCAACAATGCACAAAACTTCTTATCCAACGACGCCAAAATATTATATACGCAAGTGGATAAAAGCAATTTCTATCCATGAGTTAAGAATTGTAAACACAAAGATGATGAGAACGAATCTGATGTGATTATCACTATGTCAATCAAACTAATCACTAATCAATCACTAATTATATAAATTCAAAATAATGACAAAGGAATAAAACAAACTGTTGGTCGAGGGTGATAGAATCTAAAAAGGAAAGGAACCAATCAGGAGCAAGGAAACACAGTAGAGAACCTGCACCTGATCACACGTAAAATAAAATCCCAATCTCTTTCTCCTTTCACAATTTCGCTGAGAAACAACAAAAAATTAATCAAATCGTTTCTCTTGCTCACAGTCACAGGTCACAAGTTTCTTCCCTTCAGTTTCCCTTTCCCGTAAACAATTTAGTTGTTGGTTTCTCCTTTTCCCTACCGTTTCGCGCTGCCAGAAGCCCAAAACACGAAACCGTAGCCGGCCGAGGATCGCTCTCAGCTCAGGTGCGTGTTTCCCTCTATCATTTCCTCGCCTGCTATGCTTTGGTTATCTCAGATTTCTGTTGTTTCTTATCAGTCTCGCGCTGCTTTTTTGAATTTGGTAGAACTAAGGGAGGCTCAGAACGATCTAGGGTTTCGTTTTTTCCTTGGGTTCGGCGGCGATGGCGTCGAAGCGGATTTTGAAGGAGCTCAAGGATCTGCAGAAGGATCCTCCTACCTCTTGCAGCGCAGGTCTGTGTTCGATTCTTGCTGCTGTGCTTTTTGACGGATCTATCTGCTACTTGCTTGTATCGTTGATTTCTGTCGGTAACATGATATGTTGGTGTTTTGAGAATTATATTTTGCTAGTGGGTTTGCATCCTTGTTGAGTTTATTTATTTGTTTATTGTGGGAAGTAGGGATTGAAGATTCTTAGGACGATCTTTCAGCTTAGTGAAAAGGATTGGTTGTAGTTGGAGATGAAAAAGGTGTAGCATGTTTTGTTTTCACTCTGAATTTTGACGATTGACAAATTAGATATTGCACTTTCATAGGCTTCTATCTGTGATATGATGAGGGACTGTTTGGCGTCCTCAATGTAGCATCTTCTACAGGGATGTTGTTTGTGCAATTGTGCGTTTAAAGCAAGCTCTTTGTCTCTGCTTATTTTTCATTTAAGGTAATAAAATTCAGTCAGTTGGAATCGTCTTTACTTCCGCTAAGCTGAGCCAGAAGAGAAGTGCCCTCTGTCAGTAATATGACAGTAGCACCATATTAGGAAGGAGTTTGTGAAGTGACCACCTTTCAGATTGCTGTTTTTATTTTGCTATGGAACATTTTAACTCACCTCTGGTTGAGTTGTCATGGCGTGCAGGTCCTGTTGCTGAAGACATGTTCCATTGGCAAGCAACGATAATGGGTCCTCCAGATAGTCCCTATTCCGGTGGTGTGTTTCTAGTCAGTATTCATTTCCCGCCAGACTATCCGTTCAAACCGCCAAAGGTGCTTCACTGAACTTGGACGTATATTGTCATTCCCATCCTAATCTTATTATGATGCATCCTGGCTTTCGTGATACATGCTTTTAATAGTCACTCTACATATTTATATTGTTGGAGTGAATCTGATAATCATCCCTGCTACTGTAATGAATATACATGTGCAGGTTGCTTTCCGTACTAAGGTCTTTCACCCCAATATCAATAGCAACGGTAGCATTTGCCTTGATATTTTGAAGGAGCAATGGAGCCCTGCACTCACCATATCCAAGGTCATTGTCTCAACTGCTTACCAATATTTGGAAATGATCAAACCTCTTCTTGTGGACATGTTCTGTGCTGTGTACTTTGGCAGTTTGGCTTATGTCGGAACCGGTTTCCATTACTCAATATCTGGCAGTAGTACTTGTTCCATGGCTTAATCCAAAGGAGCAGTAGTGTAGGCAGCAAATCAATCTCTATGTAGATAGCAATCGGAAGCAAGCAGTGTGCTTCAAACTTGTGGTCTACTTTTTCTCGTATTTGTTATATATTTGCGTCCTATCAGTACTAAATAGTCATGGAATCAACTTCTGCAGGTGTTGCTTTCGATCTGTTCCCTACTGACAGACCCCAACCCGGATGACCCTTTGGTGCCAGAGATCGCCCACATGTACAAGACTGATCGGAGCAAGTACGAGACGACGGCTAGGAGCTGGACTCAGAAGTACGCGATGGGCTAGCATAATCTGCCGATGTGCGTTCTCTGGGAAAGGGAGAACTTTCTTTACTTTTGTGCCATTAGTTCATGAAAGAAAATTGTTGTGTATGAAAGCAAAAGTATGATATTGCTGTGCGTCTTATGAACGGGACCTTGAAAGACAAAATGGTCAGGTCTGTCTAGACAGACTTGTGCCCTGTTCTCTCTGAAATCAAACACATCGGTTGTGTATTAATTGTCGATCAGAATCTATCTATACAAAATTTCCTTAAGAGAACAGTTCTACTACAATCATCGCCCCACTCGCGTCGTCTAGCTCAATCTTTTCCTTATGGTTTCTCTCTTACATGAGAATGATAGACTTCAACATTGTTCGTATGGTCGTTTTTCATGCGAGCCTAGTTAGTTATATGTGCATTGTAATCGTCCGATTTGGTTCTTACTTTTGCCATTATGCCCTCAGTTGAGTAGCGTGCACCAAAGAGAAACAAACAATTATTATGACAAATGCTAATTAACAAGTAAATACATTCTTTATCTATTTATAGGTGCGGTGTGTGTGTGTCTACATGCGTGTACAAGGGGATTGGATCATTGGAACATCAGGAAGAAGAAGCGGACCAATGCATGTACAAACTAATCAAGTCCTGATTGCTCTGTATTTAGGATTAGGATAAGTGCAAATCAGCCCTCATAATCATATCCAACCTTTCCTTAATCTATCATAATCTAATTTGTCCTAGTGCTAACAGAGTCTAAAACTCTAGGGCAGCGCTCTTTCTTTCCATGTCGGATGGCACCAATTCGGTACTTAGAAGTTAGAAAAAAGGTAGAAGGACCGAAACGTCAAAAATAATAATTTGAAAGAGTAATGTGATTGTAAAGGTCGGTACAGGGAGTGATTGTGTAATTTGTTTTCCTTCCAGCGAAAGGAGGGCGGGCGCCGTTGTTGCCCTGTGGAATGTTGATATCTATATATATCAAGCGTGCGTCTGGGTTTTTGTTTTCTACAGAATCTAATTCTCTGACGATCAGTCTCAGGTAATCTCGCGTTTCCGTTCCTTCCTCTCTTTCTATCTTGCTTTCGGTGCACGCTTCGGTTTCTGGTTCTTATAATACTGTTGATTTCGAGAGCTGTGTTTGGATTGAAACCGATTGTGACCTACCTCTGTAGGGTTTGCTGCTAGGAGAGGGGGGGGAAGAGAGAGTTTGAGCTGTGCGCTTCGGGTGCTATTTTAGCTTCGGCCATGGCTTCCAAGAGGATCTTGAAGGAGCTCAAGGATCTCCAGAAGGATCCGCCTGTCTCTTGCAGCGCAGGTTCATGATCTATACGCTGCTTTGATTAGCTCTTGTCCTATTTCTATTTTTGTTGATCGTAGCATCGTAATATATGCTCTACTAGAATTGCGATTGTTGTAGCCTTTTGCTTATGATTCCCAGCCTACCGATTAGGGGAATTCAGTTACTATACGTGTGTGTGTACTGTGTATTGCAACTATGTTTTGGGACTCTGGGACGTGATCGATGGATTTCGTTGTTTGTATCTAGTGATCCTCTCTGTGGATTGTCGTGCTTGAATTTTGAGCTAGTTTGTTGGTAACAATTCGTGGAATGTTTCGTTCAGACTAAGAGTGCTCTCGAAACTGTGTTGGATAGTCACAAATCACACTGTTGATCTTGGTAGACTAATTAGAAGCGCTTGGTCACCAGCACTGTGATAGTCCTAGCTTTAACCCGTTATGTTTGTACGCTTCAGTTAAGTTTAGTCTCTTTAGTTTGTTTGCTTGGGTAGTCTTCCCTCATCTTCCTTGTTCGAAATTGTTATGGTTTGAGAAAAGGAGACTGGCTGAGTAACCTCATTGAATAGGAAGTAAACAGTAGAGAGGATCAACTGATTCTTATTGAACCAAGTTTATGCTAGCAACATGTGGATTACTACCAGGAGGTTGGTAGGAATTGATGGACATGTCCCTTAACCTAGGTAGGGCTACCAAAAAACGCAATTGGGATGAGCCAGGGGTGCTTTGCTTCCATGTTAGATCCTTGCAGTGGGAGTAGGCACAAGGCAGTTTCGTTGAAGGGTTCATTTGAAGTTGATTGAAGGAGTTGGCATCCAAAACTTATAGGCTTTTACCTCACTGAACAACTGGTCACTTCTATTCTGTGATAATAATGTGTTGGTCTAAATTTTAAGTATGCACCTTCAACTTCTGCTTTCCTCAGCTGTATCTTGATTCTTCTAGATGTATTACTGTGAATGACTCTTGTGTGTTGATATATTATCCGACTACTTCTAAATAAGGCATGAAAGGTGTTCACCTGACTGGTTATAGTAAAGGGTAAAGTTTAGCGAATTTGAATCCACTGCTCGCTTTTGGTCTTGTTATCCTCGATATGTTGAATCGTCTTGCGCCATATGTAGTGAGATTGTTCGGGAGACATGGTCCAAGGTCGGTAAAGAGAGAAATTTACTCGATGCTTTTTCATCTCCATCTTCTCACTTCATTATTTGCATGAATTGTTCATACACGAAGTACCTCTATTTTGGAGAAGTCTGGTATCTTCATCTGCATCTTCAATCTTCACCAATATTGAACTGGATTTTTTTTTCCTGCTTTGGGTGACTTTAGGTCCTGTTGCCGAAGACATGTTCCATTGGCAAGCAACAATTATGGGCCCTCCTGAGAGCCCATACACTGGCGGAGTGTTTCTAGTCAGTATTCACTTTCCACCAGACTACCCATTCAAGCCACCTAAGGTATGTTAATCCATGAAGTGGTAGATTTTTGTACAATTCTATGTTTCATTTGGTTGCTTGGAATTAGAACTTCTGGTGAGATGTTATTTTAGAAATGAATGGGTGTGGAAGGTAGGCTTTTCGCAAAGATCAGAAGTTGGATTTATTCATCCTTATCAGAAAAAAAAAACTTGGTTTCCTGTTCAACACTCCATGGGAATTGGGAGCAGACATTCTCCATCCTTATCCTTCTTTCTTCAGTGGAATCTTTACATGTTGGATGGTTAAATCTCAAATCATGCTTTCTGTTCGTACAGGGAGTGACTTTGTTGACATTCTCCTCTTTGCAAAGACACTATTCAGTTTCATTAGATATTCTAATTTGCGAATGTTTCCCATTTTTTCCCCCAAAACTTTGTCAATTTGGTCATCATATTTTCCCCTCCCTCTGTCCTCATCTTGGTACAGGTTGCATTCAGGACAAAGGTCTTCCACCCCAATATCAACAGCAACGGCAGCATCTGCCTTGATATTTTGAAGGAGCAGTGGAGCCCAGCGTTGACCATATCAAAGGTTGGTCGACTTACACCTTAATGACAATGTGCCTCATTTGCTTTTCAAGAGCTTCCACACCCTGCCATGTTAAGACTTGCTCATGTTTTCCCCCCTGGTACTCTTTCAGGTTTTGCTCTCCATCTGTTCACTATTGACAGACCCAAACCCCGACGACCCGTTGGTGCCAGAGATTGCCCACATGTACAAGACCGATAGGAACAAGTACGAAACAACCGCTAGGAGCTGGACTCAGAAGTACGCGATGGGCTGATGAACTGCAGCTGCTGTTCTATTGCTATGTGTTATATAAACTTATATAAGGGAGACGGGGGTTAAAAGGGGCGTGCTTTTACTTAACTGCTTTGCGTCTTTTGGTCTATGAATGGAAGTTGAGCGAGTTCGTGTGTCTTCTCGTTGTAAGTGGATCAATTACAAGTCGTCGATCAATTACTAGTCGTGGTGTTTAATAACTGTTTCTTCTAGACTTCGGTGAACCTGGAGTATACGATACTCGTGGTGAGGCATTATGATTTATGAATGATGCAAAGTGTATAGATAGAACTCCCCCGAACCACAACCTTCACCTAAACTCTTTCATCTTGTTGCTGTTCTTCACTAAACCCTTTGTGGGTAGTGTTTCTGGAATAAAACTCAGAAGTCAAAATTGGAGGAATTCCATTCTTCAGGTCGCCGTGCAAGTTGCACTGACACCTGCAGAGATTGAGAGAGAGAAAGGGGAAAAAAAGGAAAAGGAAAGGCTATGGTGGTTTGTGGCAACTTGCAAGTGTCGAATAGAAGATTTGGGTTGAAGATTTGCAGGTTTTGTTTGTTTTCGTTCAGCTGGCAGGCAGGCAGGCAGGCCACCCAAACCAAAAAGACTATAAGGGGATAAGTTGCAGACTCGTGAAAAAAGCCGAATAACAAACGGTCCATTTACACTTTTTCTCGCAGCATTTGAAGGTTCCTTCTTTCTCCTTTTCTTCTCTAGCTTTTGACAAATCTCTGATTGATTGGGCTGCCAACAAAATCTCTACCACTGAGGGCCGTTTATCGGCCCTGCCATTGATACTCCCTACCGGCTAGGGATGGCAATGGGTCGGGTTGGGTCGGGTTTTGCCAAACCCAAACCCAAACCCATGGGTTTATCTTTGAAAAAAACCCGGGGTAAAACCCACTGGGTTTGAAAAACTCAAACCCAACCCAACCCGTTGGGTATCCGCGGGTTCATGGGTACCCACGGGTTTTGTCGTAAAAAATTTACAATTACAAGTTCTTATCAAAATTAAAGTCAAATATCAATCTCTCAATACAAATTATCCATATATAAAACACCATTCTAGAAAATTCAAGCAAATCACAAATTAACTATACAAATTGTTCAACACCAATCTAGAAAACTCAAGAAAATTGAAGCAAATAACAAATTATCCATAAATAACATGTTTAATTGAAAGCTTCTTTCTTTCAATTAAGTTTCTTTACTCTCCACTCCATAACATCAACTTCATTCTACACAATTAAAAAGAAAAAATTAGACATGTCTCCACAAACATAAATAAGAATAGTTGTTTAGAATATTAAATATACCGAAAAAATTAATTATATGGGTGGGCGGGTACCCACGGGCCGGGTTTACCTAAATCCAAACCCAACCCAACCCGGTGAATAGTGAACGGGTTTAAACCCAAACCCGGCCCAAAACCCGTCAACACGGATTTTACCCATGTTGACCGGGTTGGGTCGGGTGGGTACCCGTGGGTTCGGGTTTTGTTGCCATCCCTACTACCGGCCCCTACCCACTTCGCCCTCAAGGCCTATATCCCCTGCTTAATATACCCCTTTCCGTAATGACGACAACTCATTTCGTTGTATAACTATGAGATTAGATATTTGTTTTTCGTTCATTCGAATTATATCACATGTAGTGGATATCCTAATTATACTCCACAACGAAAGAAATTTGACGCAATTTTATACATATATGTGCTTAAG